CTCTGGGTTATGGGCCCAGCACGCTTCCGCTGCGCCACTCTGCTACGCTCGGCTCTCAGGTTTATGGGCCCAGCACGCTTCCGCTGCGCCACTCTGCTACGCTAGGATCTCAGGTTTATGGGCCCAGCACATTTCTACTGCACCACTCTGCTACACAAAGACTTTGGCGTTATGGGCCAAGCATGCTATTACTGTGCCACTCTACTATACAAGGAAAAGAGTTTATCACTCATTGTAGGATTTGAACCGATGCAAGGATACACCAGGCGCACAGTAGCCCATTACCTTAAAGTCATCAGTACAGTATATTTTGTTATCATTATTTAATCAAACACCTTAGCAGGGAAGGGTTTCAATCCCTTGACCGCTAGGTCATGCGCTCAGCACGCTTCCGCTGTGCCACTCTGCTACAAACGAAAGGATTACTACCATTGACAGTAGCATATGAACCTGAGTAGGGACCCGGGAGCAGATTTTTCGCCCATTTGCCTTAAAATGCTCAGCCAGTACTATAATAGTGAATTTTATTGAGGATAATCTAATCAAACTGCTTTACAGAGGACAGTTTCAATACATTGACCTCTGGGGTATGGGTGCAGCACACCTTTGACCCCCAGCTCTCCAGCACCTGATGTATCAAAACAACATAGCCTGGAGGTTTTGATCCTATGTGGGGGATACAGCAAGAAATTTCCTGCCCCTAATCTTAATTACTGAGGCAGTACCACTATGGCATATTTGATTTTCCTTGGGATAATTTTCTGAAACATTTAAGGCTCTTTTCAGAAAAATAAGGATTAAAATTTATTTCAAACTCATGGTCATTCTGATTGGAGAACTGACCCTCTCAGCACCTTTGGGCCCAGTGTTATGCTTAATACATGCCTGGAAAACCATCCCTAAATACAGCCACTTCCTTTCTCTGGATAATACCTAAGTTGCATGGTGATGTGTATTATGGGTCATGTAAACTGGATGAGTGATGCACAGCCAGCCACAAATGCCTGACAGGTCCAGGAGATGCTCTGATAAGGAGCCAAGCTGCGATTCCTTATCCTCTCCCGCTTGGGAGGTAGACAATGCAAGTTGTGCTGGAAAACTCCCCCTCAAAATCGACCAGCTACAGAGGCTAAATTTGATAACAGTTTCACAATAATTCACTTTATTTTATCTTTGTGCAACTAATTAGGTTACTGACCTTCATTTGGCTTTTCACAACTCCCTATTTGTCCTTAAATTTATGCAATCAAGGTATGCAGAATGTGTTCCGCTGGACATAAAACCAAACGCATCCAAAAACTTTGTGTGACCCACCTCCACTCTCTGCTGCCCAGTGTCAGGAGAGCCAGCGAGGAGCACTGGCTGACATGAATGGTATATCCCCGACATCAGAGGTACCCCAACAAGGAAGGTGTCAAGCGAGGGCAGGGAAGCTGCAGGGAACACAGCAGGCAGACAGGATGTGCCTAGTGCTTGTTTATAAAATGGTCTAAATAAGCATGCTATCCATCTTTCCAATGTTGCATACGCTATCCACTCAATATAACCACAACAATGTCATGTGACACAAGAAAGATAACTGAACACCTTCTCAATTACCCATATTAGCATTTAAGTAGTAATCTGAATACCTATTGAGACATACTATTGCACCTCTGGGGCCTACCTGCAATTTCCTTCTGACAGAGGAAGGGATATTGTTCGCCACACGCCATGCTCCTCCACTGCCCCACGGAGCCCAGTGCCATCTGTGTGCAGCCACCCTGCCTTCCATCGCCTTTCTCCCACTCCTGGCTGCTTTCTGTTGTCGCTTGGTACAATCCTTTCCAATCACTGTCCACCAGCCATACCCACAGAGAAGCCTCCCTACATAGATACACATATGCAGACACATGGCCATCCTTAACTGCAAAATCTACAATCTCAGAGAACAGTTTTTCTATTATTATGTATATTATTTTCATTATACCTTTAGATAGTCAGATAGATATTCAGAATTTCATATTTTAGATATTCAATGTACCTTAGATATTCATTATCATGGTACACCTTTTCAAAACATTACATTTGTATTCACATGGGGACCTGTGTTACAATTAAATTAAATGTCCATAAGTTAATACGTTTGTGGCTCTAAGTTCCAACAGCAGTTGCCTTCCTTTGATTTGATGCTACAAGCAGCACACAATGCAATATTTTAAATACTTCTCCACTCTTGTTATGTTCCCCAACACCTCCACGGGATTCCAGAGACAGAAAATGAAAGTCAGAAGTCAGGTACTCACGAAGGAAAGGAGACTTGGATAAAATCCTGCTCTTCAGCACTGTTGATCCTAGCAAGGTCACCTCCTTCCGTCTGTCGGCAGACAGTCTGCGCCTCCGCCCACGAGGATGCCAGTGTGTTCAGCCAGTAGCAGTGCAAACTGGCCAGATGGACCCAAGCACCCTTTGGACAAGGGTACTCATCTGGTACAATAAATATACACGCAAAAAGTGACGTTACATTTAACATATACACGGTATTACATCAAAATTGCATTTTTAAAAGAAATTATACTATACGGCATTTGGTGTTATTTTGTTGCTACATCCAGACGTAAATTTATTTTTAAATACATTAAAATCCACATACTACAGGCTGAAAATATAATGGACTGAATATCTTCTCGTTAGTGATACTATCCCTGGAAAAAAAAACTCCAAATTTAACAGTATATTCCTTAAATGTTACCAAATACTTTAAAAATAGTTCTCCGAGTATTCCTGATTGCTACCCTGTTCAATTACTATATGTAAATTAGCCAGCTAGGTCCTGTCAGTTGGTGTCACACTTTTGGAAAAGTGCCTGGCCACAGAAGAGATGGCCTACCAGCACGGAGACCCCCGCCGAGAAATCGTGAAGAAAACAAACAAACCTTCACCACAAGCAGTGCTTGCTACCGCAGTCAGGATCCAGATGAGCTGAAAGTACTTTTCAACAAACATTTTTTTAACACCGTTGACAAGGCAACCCCAACTATAAAGGTAGGAAACACACCACAGCAGTTGTGCGAAATTTCAGATTCGTAAGCAGCCTCAATTGATAGTTTATCACCCCGTCAAGAGAAGTGAAGCACCGCTTTCATGCGCTTCTCCCTCCTTTCCATCTTCCTTTATATCTGTTATTCCTCATCGTCTTTCTGCTGTCTGCCTTTCCCTTACTTGTTCACCGCTGTCTTTCTATCATTTTTGCTTTTGACGTATTCTACTGCTGTCCCCTCACTTTACTCACCTCATTCTATTTTTCCTTCTGTCCTCTCCTCCTTTCTCTCTCTCTCCCTGTACTCGTGCCCTCTCCCCCCAGATGACCTATCAGCATCAAGGGGCCTGTATTTAAGAACACTTTCTTCTTCCCAGAAAAGGAGCTTGGCACTTTTGTGCCTTTTGGTCCCACAGCAACAAGAGTCCAGAGGCTGCTACTTCATTAGCATGTTAAAAATCCATGCTTTTCTCACCTCCTCACTGGACATGCCATTAAAACCCTTCTAGAAGTACAGCTTCATTTAATGGCCTGAAAAAAGTAAAGACAACATAAAATATGGGTCTGTGTGCTGGTCTACAAAACTATGGCAGCACAGCCATTGTTGTGCAGATTTCTGTATCTGGGCAACCTGGTCCAAAAGAACAAATTCTCACATAAAACACTTTTTGTACTTAGTTGTTGCAAGCATTTAAAAGTCTTGCGTGACTGGACAGTAATCTAATTTATACTATCCCCAATTTAGACATCAGAATGTTTAAAAACCAGGTATTATATAATTAGAGAATGAAAATTCTTAATTATGCTAAACAAGAAGCACCATCCCATGAACCAATTGGCATTGCTATGCAACAAAATGGATAAAGTGCTGTGTGAGATTAATTGCCTTTTTGTCCAAAGCATTCTTGGCCTGTGAAACAGATTCTTAGTTTATACCACAAAAAACTGAAGACGATGGACAAGGCTAAACACTCATTAAGTAATAGTAAGGGCATAATTCTATTAAACAAAGCCAGAAATACCTTCTGTTAGCATGAACCACTTGCAATTCTGTACTGGCACAACAGTCCATACACTTAGTATAAAGTCTTGCCTTTGGTTAAAACACTGAGACTGAAACTGAAGATATCTCCCTCAGTCAAACAACAGTGCCAGTCAGAAAATATCATAATCTATTGTCCACTATCCAACCAAAAACCAGCACACTCCGCTTTGTTCGCTGGAAAAAGAAAATTGTTGGAAGTAGTTTAGTTCATGGGATACGATCAGATCACCGCAGAGCCCTGACTAAACTTGAGAACACCTTTAGACTTACCAAAGATTGCTATCAGAAATGACTAAGGTTTTCTTTGCTGCATTTAAACTGTCATCAATCTAAATGTTACCCAACATGCTACTCAATGATTAAATATTTAGTATCTGTTTATTTATGCATCACTTCTAGGTAACAGCAGTTTGTTCTTCTGTGGGGATTAAATCAATCACCATAGATTAATGTTAATACCTGTTTCATAACTTTCAAAATGGGGCAGATATGATGAGATTTGGGACTGCGGGAGCCTCAGGCAGCTAACAGATCATCATATTCTTGGTTTTAGTGTGGCTTTTATTCCATTTTGAACCACTGTTGTGAATCTCGTGAACAGTGAACACATATAATACACACAATAAATAATTGAAATTTGAAGGTTAAATGCCACATCACATAACATTACAATCTGTCATTTAACAACTGTCCTCCATGTTGCATTTCTAATTACATCTAAATTGGATTCACATCAAAATGTTGTTTCTGATTCATGTTGCTAAACATCTTCACTTTACAGTATCCTTGTCTGAATTTGTTGCTCATCTGATTTTGCATGTCTGTTTCTCCAAGTACACTTGAAGGTCATACTGAGTTTAATATTCTCTCCTGCTATCCCTAGTCTCTCACATAAACTTTACCTAAATTAGTTCAAATGCCTCTTTTTGGGAAATGCCCGACTCCTCTGTCATGGCCCTAACAAGCCACACCTATCCCTCTCATCTTGCTTCTAGTTCATATCCCTTGTGTGGAAACCACTTGCCATGCCCTGCTCATGCCGATCCTCCTATTTAAGTCCATGTCTGTGTGTTTTGCGTGAGTCTGGTCATTAATGTTGTGAAGTCGTTGTTTGTTCCTGCCTGTCTTAATCTTGATCAAACTCCGAGTTGACCCAATTCTTTGAATCCTGCTTCTGTTTCCCCAGTCCATGCCCCGTGCGACATGACATTACTCCTAGCGGTCTCTCATTAGTTCCTTCGTTAGTCCTGTATGTATGTGCTTCCCAGTCCTGTTTTCCCCGGTTCGGTCATTGATGTCGAAATCTCTTGTTGCCTGTGCCCTCCCTTGTTCCACTCCTCCTGATTTGATCCCTCGCTATCCTGTTTATTTCCAGTCTCTGTTCTTTGAGTTCAATAAACTCCCTTTTGGTTCGCTACAACGCCTGCCCTCAAGTCCTTCTTCCCGAAAGTCGTGACAAGGAGGTCAAAAATACCAGACATTTCAGCAATGGCAAAAGATATCTCTATGGTGATGAGGCCAAATTAGAAAGGTTCCACCTCCACTAATAACATTCTTCTTCTTTAGCAGCCCTGATGGGAAAAAATCTCAATAGAAGCACTGACCTATTGCCTTACAGATACAAAAGAGAGGTGAATGGCATTTGGACAAAAAGTGCAATTAGTTTCCATGCCTAGTCTGAGAGCCTTTACCCCAACAATGTTCAACTATTCAAATAATTTTATTGGTCACCCTCCAGGCTGGTGTAAAATAGCTGTCACAATAGAGGCTAAAGTAGGATTTGGCTGCACAGAATGCACAGAGGTTTTCACATGTGGAAAACTTTAGGTGGATTTCTGTTGGAAACCCAGTTAACAAGATGTGACAAGTGATGTGTTCCTTCCAAATTATGGCAAAACATTACTTCCATTTACTAACTGCCTATATGTGCTATTGGCAATTAAACACACTTCTTTAAATAAATGAGGCAAAATGATCACATAAAACTTTGCCAGGAATTTTCCTGAATATTTCAAGCACCCTTGTTTTTTCAAATGGTAAAAACATTGCAAAAAGTTACAAAATATGCAAACTTGAGGGCTCAATAACACCTCCAGTCTGTGTTTTTCTAAGCACACACACACACACACATATATATATATGTCATGTTTTTCCTGTGTTGAAGAATATATTTAGTGCAGTTATTTATTACTGCCTTAATACTGTGACAGTAAGTCAATATTCCTGAGGATGTGCAATTAATTTGAATTATACTCGCTTGTAGGACATTTCCTAATAGGTACATAATTTAAGTTACATAATTATGCATCTATAACCCTCAAGTAAATAAATTGTTTCCAGAATTGATGGATTCTATATTTTATGCAATTTATGACTATAATGAACATCTTGGGAGTGTGGCAGATCATTGGTTAGCATTGTGGCTCCATTTATCCAAAGCTATAGATTCATTTACTGCCCTGTAGCTATGTGCGAGGAGCTCCTCTCTGGAATTGTGCAGCTTGCCTCCTGCAGTATGAAGATATCTCAGGTTCCTAGGCAGAAGGTCCAGGATCTGTGACCTTGCATCAAATAAGTGGTTACAAAAGATGTATAAAACATTGTGATCTATTAGAAGGGAAGTCTAAAGACTGTAAGTCCCATTGCATTGAATTAAATGACACCAATAATTTGAATATGTATAAAAAAAAAAGATAGGAGTTTTTTGGACCACCACCAAAGACTGCATTAGAAAGCCCTGGTGCATTGCAGTTAAAATTAATTACATATAAAACATTATGAACAATATATTAAACTTAGAAGGTACTTATAAGGGTGGCTCAGTTGGTGGTACTCTTGTTTCTGACCTTTATAGTCAAAATCATGAATCCTGCCTCTACTCTGCAAGTGAGAAGATTGAACATTTTACCCATGTTAGGCAGGAGAAAGAAATGTAGTGCTTGTACAGTATATATACCCTTTCACACCACAGGAACTTTTCAGGAACCAGAACCTTTTTCCAGAACCAATGTTCACACCGCAGGAACTCTGCCCGATTGTATAGTTTCTCGGAGGCAGTTCCAGAATCTTTTTTTAGTCCCTACTCCACACTTACCGCTGTTCAGGGTCTGCATCCTTCGAAGGACACGTCGACGTAGCTTGGGTAGGCTGCGTCTATGCCTCGAGAACGAAAGGTGAAAGTGAAATACCTAAAATGTTTTTTTTAATCCCATTAAATTCTCGTAAAATTGTATCTGATAAATGTAAGATTAATAGCCTGATCTTTCTGGTCTTCTGCATACAAACGTTTTATTCAGAGTAGTTCAGGTATAACAGGTATATCAACATAAATAGCAAACTACAGCAATTAAGAAAGTTTTACATAAAACGAATCTAAAGAACAGGTGCATAACAAGAAATAATTTAAGCTATAAGTAAAATTAAATAAAAATTCATAAAATACTATACAGATACAATAAAATGAAAAACAAACGAACAAACAAATAAAACGGATTCTCTCAGGAATCCTTCTTTCCCTTATTTTTTTTCTTCGTTTCAGCCTGGCAACCCACTCTTCACCCCCCATAGCACGATACTTCTTTCGGATGCCATCTTGAAAAATCAAAGAACAGTGACAATTAAGCTAAATAAAATAAATCACATAAATAAAGTTCTGTTAGTCCTATCGGTGTTAATGGTTGTTCTTAATGGAAGGAGGACCGCAAGCTATTTGGTAAGAAATGGAGGGTAAAATTAGAGATTTCATTGGCTTGTGGCGCTTGTGCTCTGGGGGCGATCAGCTGTCACACATCTCCCCCTGGTGGTAAGATGGTGAAATGTTTATAATCTCTTCTTAATAATATGATACGTGAATAATTATTGTTTTGCCGCTCTCGTACAGAATGGATGTATGGAACAATAATTTTTAAATGGAAAAACAATTCTGTTTAATTTGTTTGCAAGAAAAAATAAGAATGATAAAGCCGATTGCATCAAAATATTATTCCTAACATATAAAGATCTTCATATTCAAGACAAAAATATGTATTGCGTACTAATAGTTTTCAAATATAATTTACAAGTACAAAACAATCTACAGTCAATATATCATGAAGACTTGAACAAATGAATTTAACACTGAGTACTGTGTTTTCTGATTCTTCGGTATGGAGCCACGATCACCGTGTGACAAACAAATCCAAACATTACTATCTTAATTAAGACAACTGAACTAGAAATCATATTAAACTCAAATAAAACTGTGTTTTTTAATTTAATATATAAAATTTAAAGAGAACGTGAAAAATTGGAGGATGCGGGCATCGATCCCGCTACCTCTCGCATGCTAAGCGAGCGCTCTACCATTTGAGCTAATCCCCCGACAAAAAGTCAATCAACCTATTCCAATGATATACATAAAAATACTGGAACGTTGTTTTATAATAAAATTACTATGCTGTGTATAACATTTAATTAAACCTTACATGTGTGTACGATGTAGCATCTAAAGTATGATTAATTAAAATAGCCTTGCAAGTGTGCTGTTCATTGTCTGGCCGAAATACGACAAAAGTAACCTGCGGCAAAAAAAGGAACGATCCGGAAGTACCATGTGACTTGTATAAGCCAATCGTGTTATTAGCACTCATTGCACACAACGCCCCTTATACATAAATATAGGAAGTGGATGATCGAAGTCCCGCGGTCATCAAATTACTAACAGACATTATACCTTATATTTGGAATCTAATTAACATTTGGGTGTTTCCTTTTAATTGACGTGTAAGTATCATCGGAGTAGTGAGGCATGATCTTTGCAAAAAAATCTGATTCATAAGCTTCAAAAGAAATCAAACTATTCGTGTAAAACATAAGCTTCTTAATCGCAAGTTATTTTGTAAACTACTCTGCAAAACAATAACATTGTGATTAATCGACTGCGGAACAGGGTGATTAGTCCACCATGGCGGGCAGTGTGAACGATGTTGTCGAAGAAGCCCGCCGGCTGTTCCGGAGTAGCTTCGGAGGACTGGATCCGGAGGTGGCTGTGTGCGCCCCCGGACGGGTCAACTTGATAGGGGAACACACCGATTACAATCAAGGATTCGTCCTGCCGATGGTAATGCAGTGTTTTGTAAAAGTCTGCGTGGGTCGTGACATATTCTCAGTTCGCCTACTAATAAGAACTTTTTTTTAGAAGTTTTTGTGGCCCTTTTTGGAAGTTCAGTAGCAATCCAAATCTTCTCACTATGTTGCTTCTCCTGTAAGGGAAAAATAGGAAGACGTGCTTTGTGATACAAGTCCAGGCCCAACAAACTAATAAATGACGGATTTAGTACAAGAAAAGCAAATAGTACATCACATAAATATCATGCTCCGCAACTAAATTTGTGCGGGTACAGTAATTGTAAACAATGAATTAATATCGAAGCAACCTGATACCATTTTGCTTCAACTTTGCAGAGTTAACCTGGAGCAAATAGGTTATATATTATTCTAGTGAATACGGTTCTAAGTGTACACATGGTTATTTACTTTGTGTTTGTAGGCATTGCCCCTTGTGACTGTAATGGTGGGCAGTAAAAGCTCAGACCAGAACGTTTCTATTATAACGCTGACGGAGGCTGTAGAGGACCCACGCAGGGTGGACTTTGTTCTGTCGGAAGATGGAGCCTCTCTGTCTCCAGGGCAACCTAGCTGGGCTAATTACATAAAAGGAGTCTTGCATCACTACAGAGGTATTTCAAATCCCATTTTATTTCTGATAGAAATTTAGAAGTTTTCTAAGTACCTTTCTTTGGGACACATAAGGTGCTCTGATGCTAGTCCAGTCCATGTTTGGAGATTTAGAGGCTCTGTCAGCTATAGTGATACAGCATCCATTACCTCTCTCTACAGCCAGCCCCCTGCCTGGTTTCAGGGCTGTGGTGGCCAGCAGTGTGCCACTTGGAGGTGGCCTGTCTAGCTCAGCCTCCCTTGAAGTGGCAGTGTACACTTTTCTCCAGCAGCTGTGCCCAGGTGAGATTCGGGCTCAGTCTTTCCTGACCCTGTCACGCATAAGGAGATAAAAAAAAAAAAAAAATGTGTGCATATCAGTACCAAGAACACAAAGAACGTTCTTCTGTTCTTGGTAAGAGTGTTCTTGCTAACTTATCTCCCAAGAACGAATGAATCATCGGATTGTTGTTGTTTGGTGAGGATGCAACTGTTTGATATTTGGGCCAAGGCAAGAAACTACATCTGTGGATTTTTACCATCCTCCGTACTCCTGTTCTTGAGTATAGGAACTGTACCTCGACAGTGGAAGATGAGGTCAAACGGGTATTTGAGGACTCAAGAGCGGCAAGCATGCATATTGATAAACGCCAATGCTCTCCCCTTTACCCACAGATGATGGAGACATGGTGGCAAAGGCTCTGGTTTGTCAGCAGGCAGAGCATACACACGCTGGAGTCCCTTGTGGAATTATGGACCAATTTGTGTCTGTGATGGCAAAGAAGGATCACGCCCTCCTTATTGACTGCAGGTGTGGGTCATTTCAGATCAATGCCGTCTTCTCCCTTTCAGTCTCACAGTACTTTTAAAATGTTGCATCCAGTAACGTTGCACATTTCATGTTCCCGTTGCTTGTATAGAACCTTAGAGGGCACACTCGTGCCCCTGAAGGATCCCAAGTTGGTGATCCTTATTACCAACTCAAATGTGAGGCACTCGCTCACAGGTAGCGAATATCCGACTCGACGGAGGCAGTGTGAAGAGGCGGCAGCTATACTGGGGAAGGGGAGCCTGAGGGAAGCCACGCTCCAAGACCTGGAAGGTGAAGAAGTGGGAGATGACTAATGGCAAGCATGGGTGGTACAGCACTGGGAGCGGCAACGGACTTGAAGAGAGGAAGAAAACACTGTAGACAATTCCAAGGTTGTGCCTCTTGTAAGAGGAAAGTAATCATTCATATTTTTCATTCTAATGGTGATTTGTCCCGTGGTGGCAGGTGCCAAGGAGCAGCTGGACAGTGTGACTCTCCAGCGAGCGCATCATGTGATTGAAGAGATTGAGCGCACTGCCCGAGCAGCAGAGGCTCTGAAGCGTGGAGCCTACAGAGAGTTCGGCAAACTTATGGTTGAGAGCCATAACTCACTCAGGTGACAGTTAAACCCACTGTAGTGCAATAATTCCTGTTGTTATTTCAGATGTAAGGCCGAATATCATCTCTTTGCATACAGCTTATACTGGTGTAGTGTTAGTTGAGATTTTGTATGTAATACCTCTAATATTTAGAATCAAGGGCGTATGCTTGGTTTCAATATTGGTAGGGATCAAATCAGCTTTGAACCCCCACATTAAACACACACAGTACTCCCACAATATTGGTACGGACATGTCCCTACTGTGCATACACAAATATACACCCTTGGGCAGGATCCTTACTAATTAGAAAAATATTATTATTATAATTATTATTATGCATACTTGGAGCTTAGAAATCTATGTTTTTCCATTATTTCATTTCCATTGTTTATTTTCAGTGATTTGCTTTTATATGCACTGTCGCCGTTTTTAAACTGTGCAGTGCTATTATTTTACTAATACATAAGATGCTAAATACTTGAAACTAGTATTTTGCAACACTTGGTACACTGCTTCATACACATGGATGTTATTTAAATTAGTTTGAGCTAAGTTCTGTTTCTTGTGGGCGGAGTGGTGGGTCTGAGGCTGGGGATCTGTGCCAGCAATTGGAAGGTAGCTGATTTGAATCCCATGAATCCCTGGAGTGATTCTACTACATAGGGCCCTTGAGTAAGGCCCTTAACCTGCAGTTGCTTTGTTTTGACTATGATGTTAATCTACACCCAGCCCTGCATGCAGGTCCTCCAACTTAGAGGGGAAAAACTTGGGGGGTGGTGGCAGGATTGGCACTCAAGCCACTGGGAAAAAAAAACTCACATAGTTCCATTGGTCTAATGTGGTGCTGAAGTATCACCTACCTCATGGCTGCATTCAGGATCTCAACCCTGAGGTGGTGCGGTGGGTGCAGCAATGTGCTGTAATCAGTGTGCGCTCCTTACCTCCTCTTAAGTTCTCTCAACAGAAACTGAGAATGAGTATTAAGAGGCCATTTAATGGTATGTGGGGTATATTCGCATGTCTATGGCCTGTAGGCCTATAATTTGACCTTTTCTAGGGACCAGTATGAAGTCAGTTGCAAAGAACTCGACGAACTGGTTTCTGCGACCTTGGAAGTGGAAGGGGTGTATGGAAGTCGCATGACTGGAGGGGGATTTGGTGGCTGCACTGTCACCCTACTGGAAGCTGAGGCTGTAGAGAAGACCATGGAGCATGTTAAGGTTAGTGTGAGTTATGCATTCAACTGGTTTAATTCACTGTTTCTCTTCGTATGGGATGGAATAACTGGACAGAGTGACCTGAATTTGTTTTCCCTTAACAGGAACGTTATAGTGGAACACCAACCTTTTACATCACTACTCCATCAGACGGAGCACGAGTCCTTGAACTCTGAAAACACAATGCAAATCCTACACAATTATTTGAAAACTCTTATCTGTCCATATATATTCCCATACAATTACAGATCTTTAATATGTTCAAACTCATCCTATATACATGAGAAGCTTTACTGTTACAATCATGGTACATTCAATTAAAATTAAACTAATTCAAATTATGTTGATTTACAGTTTTGTTTCACTATAAAAAATTCTTGCACTTTCCATCTCTGGTGTTTGTCTTTTAAGAAGAAAAGTTCCAAACAAATCTACTAAGTATATTAGCCTGCAAAGTAGAATAGTCAAGTGTTTGTTGTACACGTGATCAGTGTAGCCTAGTGATATGTATACTTAAAACAAATTCATCATAAAAATATAAGCAAAAATATTTTGTAGATTGCAATACAATTGTCAAACTGTATACATCGTTTGCACATATAAACAAATACATCTAAATATTTTAATAGCGTTTTACGTGTCAGCGTGATAGTAACATTTTAATTAGAGCGTACCTGGGGGGGAAATCTACCCCTCTCGATAACTTTAAAAATAAATTTGGGTGTTACATGTCACACCCATGAGGTAGTGAACTGAAACTAAAGCTTATGAATGAGTAGCGACCCTCCGCTGGTAAACAAAAAGGGAGGAAAAAAAATCCCGGAAGCGGACTTTGAAGGAGGAGCCGAGTCAAGTTGAGAGCTCGAGCCGGGCGAGGGGCAGCAGGAAACACCGAGGCTGAATAAGAGGGACCATCGGGCGTTAGAGGGGCTGCGAGTGCCCCCCGAGAGACCCATCGGCCCGATCCGAGCTTATTGTTTTATTTATGTAACGCCGGTTGGAGGAAGTAAGAAAGGCGGAGAGAAGGACGTGGAAGAGAGCGATCCGAAAGCGCCTGGAAACAAAGTGGGCAGACCCGACGCCGCCGATCAGGTGAGTGGGACAGCGGGCCCGCTGAAAGCCGAGTGTCGCCGCTACAGGTGAATCGTGTCTTTCTGGAGAAGCTGACTACTTAGCTTGAGGACGGCCGACGGGGCTCGGATGGGCTCATCGGGAGGGAGCTAACGCGTGGTTACGAAGCGGCTGTGCGGCATAGGAGTGGACCGGGCTGGGGGGGGTGAGTAGCTTCGTACTGGCGGTAGCGCAGCCTAGCGTTCCCCCCCTCCATCTGAGCCTACACCCAGCCGGCATAGCGGGGTAACCCGCCGGGGGAGCAATGGCACGGTCGATGTCGCTGGGTTTTGCCACTTTTTATTCGAAATCGACAGAGTTGTGGTTGATCACTTTAGCAGGTTGATTAGCGGGTCGGCGTGGAAGTGGACCGAAGGACACCTGGATAAAGTTTAACTGTGGATCATGTTCAATAGGAAGCGTTTGAGGGGCTGCAGTGCTGTAATTCGAATTTCGTCATTTAGTCAGCCTCGTAAGAAATTTACGTTTGTGGTCTGCTGAACTCGGCAATCGACAGTGTGTATGCAGGGATATATGAATAGGTGCATGTCGAATTGGATTATTGCACACGGGAACGGCAGGGTAACGAAAATGCAAAACTTGACCAGGGAGGTGGAAACAGAAACTAACACGTATGAGGCGTGTCCCCCACGGATCAGGTAGTGCTGGCAGTCGGCGTGCTGGTTTCAGCTGGTGATTATTGCGGGGTAAGTTAATTTCACCCATCCACACTGGTTTGTCCGGTTACTAGTTGTTTCGAGTGCAGCAGGTCACAGTGATCGATCGCAGGTTACATGAACCCGACCTGCACCGGCCGTTTACTTATGAGATCCGCTCCTGTATTTAAGCAATGCAGTTACACTCCTAAATCAGGGGTTATATCATTCATATTCAACTTTTTTTGTCCTTATTAGTTTTAAAGAGTAACGTCACGACGATTGCGTTACATCCCACAGGGAAAATACGCCTCTTCAATGTCCTTAACTAATAATAATTACGTAGGTGAGCAATTGTGTCCCGATGCATTGAACCGCCCTGACAGCTGATGACTTTTTTGTAGACTAATTGTTTTAAGGTATGCATTTGGTAGACTGAGCATCTTTTTTAATAACAACGATTCAATGGGAAGCCGATCAGTCAGAAGCTGTTCCCACGAACCCCCAAAAAGCAGCCTTTAAAAAGCAAGTTTTCGGAATGACGGCGGTGCACTTCTCATCTGAAGAGTTTATTCTTTTGTGAAATTGCAGGAAGGGTTTAGTTTGACTGTCGAACCACACCCAAGGCATTAGGATCATATTTATTTAGCGTTTTTGAGCCACGACTCAGCTGCTCGCAGCCGCCGTGCGCGTCATGTTGTCGGCTCATCAATAATGGATCCTTGGATATATCTCGGCTCTTTTTCTTATTGATAGACGATCATTAACCCTAACCCCAAATGAATCCTGTTGTCCATGTTTTTAGCGATGTATTAAGAAAAGGTGATCGGCTTTAGACCTAATGAAATCCCACTTCCCATGGAAACTATGACTGAATAACAGAATTTCCTATATCCACACTAATATCTGTACATACTTTTCATAGAAACTGGCGAGGCTATCAGCACTGACTAGTGTTTTGGCCACACCCTGCTAGTTTGTATTTACCGTAGTTACAATAAAACTGCAGTGCGTGTCTCAAATTGATCCGAGCCAAAACAAGGAGGGTGGTTGTCGTCCTAGTATGTCAGCAAAGTATTTTTTGGCACTTGTATTTTGTATAGCAGTTGGACTGGTTTTTTGTTTTTCTGTGTTTTTGCCTGTATGAGAATTGGTCTTTTCCCCCCAAATCTGCATTGATTTTGAGTTAATGTCTGTAGGGACTACGGATAGGGCTTCCCTTTTTTCCACGGTATTCCTTGCATATGGCTTGAGCTCATAGTTGAAATGTTTTAAATGCTGTGCAATTCTGGCATATCTTAGTGAAACGTGTTGTAGATGGCAGCAGTTCTTCCCTGCTTCCTATTTTAGTAAAGGTCTGCCTTCTACATTAAGCAATGCTGAGAATGCAGTGGTCAGTTTTTAGGATACTAAAAGCTTAGTCGGGCAACTTTGCATATACTTTTTGGAAAACTTAGGACTCTGAGCATGAGGGCTGGACTGTAACCATGACTGGGCAAGGTAGCCTTTAACGTGTGATATATGACTGAGGCACCTACACTGCTGGACATGTAAGCAGGTTGTAGAATATATAAGGTACATCTAAACTGCCATCTTTATCTGACACCTTTAATATGGTTTATGTGAAGTGAGAGTGCTACCTGGACAGAAGCCAGGCATGCAGGTTTACTGTTTGAACAACTGGTTTGCTGTGTGCTAACAACCGTGACTAAATACTGGTGTTTTGTTTGTGGGGTTCTGAGGTGCTAATTTGTATGTCGGACAGCACATGTGGTCCTAGCTTTAGATCACGGATCTAAAGACTCTGTCTTCTGAAGACTGGGGTAGAAGGATGGGAGAGTGTCAATATTCTGTGTTCATATTTTGTATTCCGCGCGTATTTTATTCAGTATGTCTGAAGTTTATGATGTCTGAAATGAAGTAAGATAATTTGTTACTTGACATTTATGACAAGATTTTAAAATTAAACGTGCATCATGCTAAAAGTAGTTCTCATTAAGAGTGAGATGGGAGTATTTTTGCCATTGTAATACTTGGTATTATTGACAGGAAGTTTGTTAGTCTATGTATGCACTCTTCTGTAGCTTGAAATTAGTTATGCAAATCATGCCAGGTCTATACGAGCACGACCCATTTCAGGTGAAGTTCTGGGAAAGAATACTTCGAAAATGATCATTTTAAATTGCAAAGCTTCCTTTTCACACATGGGTTAGATATGTATTTCTCTATTACTATTTTACATTCCCGATATTTGGTTTATTTCCTTTAGCAATTGTATCATACATTGTCTCTAACAGTAAAGTGGCATTTGCACTTGGATAACGAGATCATTTGCAGTATGATATAGTGCATTATCGATAATGCTTCTGGTTTGTGTTAAGGATATTGGCCATCACATTGCTTAATTGATCTGTTGTATAGATGATTAACATAAGCCGGCAGTGAAATTTCTAGCACAGTGGATGGTCTGCACCATGGTATCAGAATTTCACAAATTTGTGGTTGAACTCTCAGATTGACTCCTCTGTCAGTGCAGCAATGTCCAGCGATGGCTCGTATACTTTTCCATAGTTCTTGGGACTTGAAGAACCAAGTGCTTTCACATCTCTCTCTCTGTTAAAACTGGGTATAATGCTCCAGTATTTAAACTCAGGCCATATTGTCATAAAATCGCAATTGGGCTAGCTAAGTTTGAGTATACAGTACACAACCAGTGTGTTTTGAGAACTGTGTCTCACAGTCTGAGCTGATTGGCAAGAAGCAGCTGCATACTTTACAACTGTGTTCAGTTAGTATCCCACACTTTCGGAGTAGGTCAAGTGTTCTGGTCAGATAGTAAATGTTGGTTGTAAAGAAGACACCCTGCAATCCATATTGTACCATCAGTCCGGATCTGAGCACAGGGCATATGTGGTCGTGTATGTGTGAGCTGCAAGTTAAGACGCTTTATTTAGTTACTGATGCTTTTATACGGGGAGTTTCCCCTTTTGAGTAGCATGTGAAGGGTTGGGTAGAATGAGTCTGTCTGTGATCAAGTACTTATGCATCCTATGACTATACTAAGGTGATCAGGTGAGTAATGATGTGAATATATGAATATCTAGCCATTACTACTTGATTTGGAAAACCTTACATACTGAGTCACACCAGACAGTTGGTTGAGTCAGATAATTCTCACACGCCTCAATATATGCAGACGCATTTGAGTAGATATTGTTTTTAGATATGATTGCAACATCTCACAGAATTCTGAGGTTATCACCGGCATGTGGCTCAGTACAAACTTCAAATACTTGCTTTATTTACATGACAATCATATCCAACTGCTTTATTTTCAGTATATACTGTGGTAATGGTGCTGATTTTCAAATTGTTAAAGACGCTGCTTCTACAGTTTTAGCGGAGACTTTTAAAGTGAGGGACGATCAGATAATCTTGCTTCCATGCAGGACCATGCGGTGACAGCACACACAAGTTGTCACGCCTTGGTATTCCCACAGCGTCGGGAAATCAGCGTCACGGCCTTGAATGGCATCCCAAGCGGAGCGACGCTCGCTTCTGCTCAAACATGGTCTTTTTTCCCAGGAAATGAATACCTGGCTCTGGTATTCATCCTTGTACTGATGTAATGACGGCTTTGACAAATCCTGAGTTTGCGTAATATCATGCTTTGTGTAAAAGTACTGTTTTTTTTGTTTTTTTTTCTCCTCCAATTATTAAATCAAACTGATCCAACAATATTAGTCAGGCCAAAGATCACTGGTCACAAATGGGAATGAGTCAGTGGTCCTTTCAATATAATAATATATGATCATATATAAATAAACGCTGTTTTTGCTAAGCTCTCATAGATAGCATAGATGTGTACTTAAAATGCACTTGGGAATTAATGTATATGTGATAACCTTCACTATTGAACCCTGTTTGTCCTTGTTGACTGCAGTTGTATCCCAGAATAGCCAACTTATTGAGGAACTAAAGAATACAATTAAAAGGTGTCACAATCTTACTCTAATCTCAGCTACAACGGGTGTAGGAATAAGTCAGGGAGGGTTTTTTTTTTTGTCTCGTTTAGCAACTGAAATTTTGAAAAGTAAATTAAGGTATTGGTAGCATAATTCTTGTTTAAGATCTCTATGTACTGGAAACTGGAAACACACGGACCCTTTAAGCGTTTAGCTGTTTTGTTTGAGGAGGCACTGATGGAAACAGTGCAACATAGTTGTATATTCTAAATATTCCTCCATCTAAAAGCAGAAATAAGAATGTTACCAGTATGTTACTATTTTTGTTTGTTTAAGTCCTAAATTTGATTTCCTTGTGTGCCCCCCCCCCCCCATACTTGTGTTCTCATTTCATAATGGTGAGAAAGAGCCACAGTATCTCCATAGATTTTACACGCTTTCCCCAGCAAAGTCCTGAAAAGCTCACAGGCTCTCTCTCTCTCCATGTCTGCGGCTTTGTGTCAGTGAAGTGGACACTGCTTTGAATTTCATGTCTAATTGGACTGATCGCAGTGAGCCTGACACCCGACCCACCCCCTGACCCCGCTGCTCTGAAGGGTCTGCTTTATGCAACAGGTGTTTATCAGCTGCTGTTTGTGCAGGAGGTGGGTTGGGTTGGGGGGGGTTCTTGGCTGGGTTTGCTGTGGCCTGAGAACAATGGACGCTTCATTTGGGCCTCTCTCTTCTGACCTCTTCGCTCGAGTTTAGAGCAGCCATCACAGGAAGGTGGGGAGATGCGAGTGCCGGTTTGTAGCCACGGAAATGTTTGTTTTGTATAGCTGCAGAGTAATGTTTTGCTGCCTAATTATTCCTCCTTAAGATTCCCTCCTGTTTGAAAATCAGCTCACATTGGGCAATACCTACTATGGCGTCCTTTATCTCTTGAGTGGCTAGACTTTGACAAAGGATGCTAAATTTGAATCCTCTATTTCCTGCCTCCTTTGGTTACCCCCCCCCCCCACCATTTTTCTTCTTTCCTCTCAGGAAGTGCAGTGTGAGAACGCAGCAGGGGAAGACTTTGTCGTGGGAGGATGAGAAGGTTCCGGCGGCACGGGCAGGAGTCGCACAGGGACAAGCTTAAGCAGGAGCTCTACCAGTTCAACAAGGTGACTGGCATGAGTCGCTACCTTACTGGCAGCGCTGAGCCACGCCGCTGTGTCGACGCCTTAAGATTCCCTTCCTCTTTCCCTGTGCTCTGGATGTTATGGTGAATATCATGTTAATCATTCTCCAATCCCCTCCCCATGCCTCCTCTCTTTGCTGGCAGACTGTAGAGCATGGCTTTCCCCACCAACCCAGCGCTCTGGGGTACAGCCCCAGCCTACAGCTCCTGGCTATCGGTACTCGCTCTGGCGCCATCAAGCTGTATCCTTCGCTCCGTTAATCCGTGTCCACTGCGACCGTCGGATTAGCCTGATTCGCCACATAGGACGGATGTGTGTATGATTTGCGTTAGGCTCTCGCATTTAGTATTTGAGCTCGTAATTGTAAGCTTGTCTGTTTTGTAAAATTTTGTATGTGAAACACCACTCCCACTATCCAGTGTTATTGGTTTAAATGGAGATGAATGTGTTTGGATGCCTTGGGATCTGCACGCCTCACTTTGTGTCTGTGTACATTCTTTCCCATGGTGTAGTACAATTCAGCCCTGTCATGGTGGAATTGGCTTGAGGGTTTCCCATAATGCCGGTTGCTCAAAATGTAGTGGAACCTGTCTGAATACCTGCACAACTAAAACACAGGTGCTCTGTTAGTTCTTGCCTTTTGGGCAAGGAGACGTTCTCCCTCTACGTAAATGTTTTTTAGGTATAGTCTTGTAAATCTACACCGACCCGCATCATGCATTATCTTTTATAGCATGCATTACGTCTGTTTTTCTTTAAACTTGTAAATACTGGATTAAATTAAACTGAGGTGTGTCAGCAGAGTTTGAATGGTCTCTGTTTGCTTGAGAGCAACTGAAGCCACCTACTGCACGTCTGCCCTGTTTTTGTGTTAGTTTGGAGTGTTTTTGGGTATACAAGGCTATTGTCAGTAAACAGCTCCACCGGTATGACAAACAGATACCCTCTCCCTTCTATTCCAATGTCATTGGTGGGCAGGAGCTGGGATTTTTTTCCTTAACGTAGCATTAGATACGGAGCACCAGGAGTTGAGTTCATGGGGCTCCACGATGAGACCGCTGCCGTCACTCAGGTGCACTTTCTCCCAAACTTGGTGAGTCTCCGCTCCCTTGTTCCCTGAAATGGTGACTCTCTGTTTATGCAAACATAACCGGTAATATCTGGTTTGGACTAGATGAAGTGTAAATGCTGCCTATGGTTCTGAGAGTAAAAGTGTTACATTTTTTGTAATCAAATTTATCTTTAAAGTCCCCGAATAATTGGCCAACTTGCATTCCTTGACGTTTGTTCTTTTTCAGCATTTCTTTGTAGCTGAGCTTTTCCTTGAATTTTCCACACCCACTTCCTCTTGTTTATACTTTTTTAATTTGTGCCCCCCCCCCCCCCCCCCCGGCTTCCTCTGTCTGGCAGGTTGAGCTGGTGACTCTGCTTGATGACAATAGTCTGCATATGTGGACCCTTCGAGCGCACCACGGTGTCTCGGAGCTGCTGGAGATCGGCCGCTTCGTGCTGACTGGGCCTCCAGGGTGGGTCTCTGAACCCCCTCCCCCCCACCCCCCCATTTCATTATCAACATCAATACACATACATCCAGCCTCGCAAGAAAATATCGGGACTGCAAAGTAGCATAGTAGTTGTCCCACGTGACACAAACCCAAATGCTGATCGTACAGTAGCAACGGCATGTAAGCTGAACCCTGCGCCTTTGCTCCCTCCCCTCAGTGCCCCTCCTAGTGTGACACGGGTGACCGCAGTGCTGGCGCACTCCTCCGGAGAGCTACTCCTCCTGGGCACCGAAGGCGGGCACGTGTTTGTGGTAGAGGTGCCTGGCTTCCGGGAAATGGAGGACAAGAGCATCAGCCTGGAGTCCGTGCAGAGCCGGTGCGAGTCCTGGACGAGGGTCAAAAACCATCCATTACTCAGGCGACCGAAGTGATGTCGACTTTGTGCTGCTGTGCCAACCTACATGGTCCTGTCAGACCAAGCCGGAGTTTAATGCCTTAAATTGGCTTGAGTTTGGGTCGTTATCAGGATACGTCTGCCTCAAACATTGAACACATTCATGAAGTTGCCAACTGAATATAGATATTATGGGAAATGTTTATACGAATCTCAGTGCCTTTGTTATATATCTTGGTATGCATACTACTGATTAATTTTAAATCCCTGTGTAAAGATCAAATGAGAAAAGAGAGAAAATAAGCTGCAGAGGTGTGGCACCTTCCCTTGCATGGCATGAAATATCTATGTTATTTCTTAATCCTAAAGGTCAGGGTAACTGGCCCCCCAGGGGACTTTGTCAGCATGGCGAGTAAGGAAGTTGCCTGATTCCCTCGTGGCAGTTTCCACCACCAGGAATTTGTAGAATAGGAAGTGCTTCCTACAGCAGCCATTTCAGTCCCCCTCTCTCCTCACAGAATTCCGGACGATTACGTGGGTCGCCGAAACCTGCAGTGTGTGGAGGCTCTTCAGGAGAACCCTCTGAACTCTCGCCAGGTCCTAGTGGGCTACGGCCGTGGCCTCATTGTATTATGGGATCTGGATGCAAGACGTGCTGTCCAGCAGTTCCTGGGCACGCAGGTATGTGGCTGGATCGCCACGCTCTCACCTCTTTTTTTTGCTTGTTAGCCCCAGTTTTTCGTATTTATATATTCGTGGCGTTTTACTGGGGAGGATCTCGACAAAAGCAGCAAATCATGAAAGTCGTAGTGAAAAGTAGTGGCTTTGTTAGCGTTTCGATAACCCACAGAAATGCTGAGTCTTTCGTTCACTCCTGAGGTTTCATGTGTGATGTTTTGCAGCAGTTGGAGAGCATGTGGTGGGTGCCGGACGGAGGTTGTGTTCTCAGTTGTCATAGTGACGGCAGCTACTGTCAGTGGAAATTGGGCGAGGAGAAGATTCAGTACGCGCCCCACAGGACGGAGACCCCTTACGGTGAGCCTCTAGTGTTTTTACGACACAGGAAGCACATAGAACTTTTATTATTATTATTATTATTATTATTATTATTATTATTATTATTATTATTATTATTATTATTGTTGTTGTTGATCGCCTCCATTTGCTCTCATAGGTTCCTTCCCATGCAAAGCAATTTCCAAGATTGTACAGATACCAACAGCAAAAGGGTATGTATATATATTTTTAAGGTGCGGCAATTATGTCTATTTAAATGGTAAAAAGTTAGCATGTTGTCTTTCTGGTTCATCCAGGAAGTGACTGGAATGGATATGTAAATATATGCAAAAGACATCTTTGGCTTTTCCTCATCCCGTTTGTACTCTTTCGTCCTTGTTTCTCTCCCTTTCCATTGTCGCCAGAATTCTGTTTCCTCTTAACACTCTTTCTCCCCATCTGTGAAATAATTTGCACCACCTCCGTCTCCCTCCTCTTTCATTATTGCTGGTTGTTGTTTTTTACTTTGTCAGTGTTTTGATACGCAGCTTGCAGTGTTCATTCCAAATAAGTAGCTGGACAACAATCATAACAAATAAAGTATTGACCTTGTCTAAGCAATACTCACTCTCTCCCTGGCCCCACTAGGCCTCCATTCTTAATCTTCAGTGGCGGCATGCCCCGGGCCAGCTACGGTGACCGTCACTGCATATCAGTCATCAGTGGCAAGACCCACGTGGCACTGGATTTCACGTCACGCATCATTGACTTCTTCGTCATTCAGGACTGGGACCGCCACAAAGGTGAGGGGACTTGAGTTCCACCTGTTTCGAGAGGCAGAAAGAACCTCACCAAGCTCTTCGGTGGCAGGTTTCCCTCCTGCAGCCCAAAGACATGCAGTCTGGCTAATTGGTACCTGAATTGCCTGCAGTGCGTTTGTGTGCCCCATGACTGACTGGCATCCTGATTAGGGTTTGCTGCAGCCTCTGGATGGCTTAGATTGGCTTCAAGCTCCCCACTAGGATAAGCAGCTGACAGATCGATGGATAAATATATAAATATGCTATTTTTGATTTTTTTATTTAATTACAGAGCTTTCAAATGCCTTGAGTGAATAGATTTTTCCAACATGATGATAATGGCAAAGGATCCTGTATGCATTAATATGCACTGGTGTGCATATTAATGCATATTTAAAGGAGCTTATCAGTTCTCAACTAGCATGTTGCCTTATGATTCTGCTTCTTGTAGTTTGTGGGTTAGGATACTGTGCTGGTGGGCAAAGTGATTTTACTGTTGGGCCTTTGAGCAAGGCCCGTAAACCCACAACCTTTGACCCCTAACTTTATAGTCTAACGCATGCAAATGTCCATCACTCGTAAACATTTTGTAGGTTATTTATGATCAGTTAACCCTTAATGGGCTCATAGGCTGCTCAGCCTTTCAAGTGAAACTAAACCGCATTCTGTACTGTATGCAGTGGTTCTACTTAAGGGAACAGTATTTCAGTAACATGAACCTTATTATTTTTCAAATAACATTATTGCCAGTCAAGTTGGACCCAGATAATGTTAGCCTACATTTCAATATAGATTACTAGTCAGGTTATTTCTGCAAACCCACAAGAGATCTTTGTTTTTGAAGTAAATACCTTTTGACTGTATGTATGCTATTGCTTTGCCATGATTTACACAGGTTCTATGAGGCGAGAGGTGAAATGCTGGCAGGAAACAAAACCATGTGGGTTTTTCAAATGGGAAATATGTCAGTTTTGCCAAAGAAACATATATACAAACAAATAAATATGTATTGGTATAAGCACGTCTCTGTAGAAATTTAACTGTTTTGAAAACAACTTATAATTGCAGGATCCACTCTTTGTATTTGTGACTGTCTAGGGAGGGTGACGGACCTGAAATTTAATAACTTTATTAATGCATTCTTTTATTCATTAGTTTCTGCTGAAATCCTTTGTTCTGCTGAAATCCTGCTAGCCTAGTGGACTACCATATGCATTCAGAATTTGTACACCCCTGAATTTAATAATTTTTTCGGTTATGAAACTGCCTCGAGTGTGTAAAATGACAAGGAGCTCAAAATTAAAACCCTAGTTAATAATAATAATCGATACTTTATTGATCCCCGTGGGGAAATTGTTTTTACGCCTCCCCGCCTCCCTCAACTTCCTCTATTTTGTAGAGTAAGCTGTCCGTGAAGGGCAGCCACCCATAGCGGCGCCCAGGGAGCTCAGACGTGCTGAGGCTGGGTTTGAACCAGCAACCTTGTGATTACAGGCACACAGGCTTAGCCCACTGAGCCACACGCTGCCCCTAGTTATGGGTAATATTTTATTAATGGCCCAGGAAAGGAATAAGGTGGTAAGTCTACAGAGCTCAGTCAATTCCACTGTCTGTAACACGGACACCTCCATTAGGGCTAGTGCTGTAATACGAAAGCTTCTGTTAATGATCGAAGGTAGTATGATCAGATGGGTAAGTCTGCATCTATAAACTGTGTAGTGTGAAGGAACTAGAACTTCCCGCTCCTGCATTGTGTTTCAGATGTAGGTATCAAATTGTACTTCCTGTGTCTTTCAGTTAAATTGGGAACAGTGATCATACCAGCGTATGGACAGTATGATGACCTCGTCTGGTCTGATTGGGAGTTTTCCACTCGGCTCCGTTCTTCTTCCTCTTTAGAGCTTAATGAAGTGAACGAGTCGTGAACAGGGAAAAGCTGAAAAGCAGCTGCATCCGCCTTCAAACAGGCATAGGTTAAAGAGTAAAGCAGAGTAAACAAATTTGCCTCATCACTTTCAGGCGTGTACGCGGTATTACTCTCCTGGCTTATAAAACTCACTGCGTACTCCCGTTTGCGCAGTGGCCTCCTGTTCAGTGTATACCAGTGTGTGCCTTATGCACTGCGCAGGCTCCAGCCTCAACCCCAGTGATGGGGGGTTGGATAAATGTAGTGAAATTGACTTGCTTTGGCATATAGTTTTCTGTCTGTGTACTTGGGCGTTAAGTTAAATAAGTGTGATTGAGTGCCTCGCTCGGTGGTCTATCAGGTGGGCCATTTCTGGGACTCGAAGCTGTTGGTTGCCCAAGTGCCTCTGCCAAAGCAGCGCGCTAAAACCGCTCGTTATTTTAAAGACAATCGTTCGTCAGCCGCTTGACAGAATCTGCTGCTTAATTTATTTTTTAATTAAATTTTTAATTTGTTGTACAGTGCTTTTCTCATACCCTGGAGCACTTAGCATAAGACAATGAACAGACATGGCACAATTACCTTTTAGAAGCGCGTTAAACATTTGGTAAAAGGTAATTAACTTTGAGAAACTCCCAAGATGGGACCCTGTAGGAGCCGCTGCCCTTCAGTGCTGCTGATACTCTGTGCACATAGGAGTTTTCTGTGAGTAGCCGGAGGACATCTGGTCCCGTTTTAGGCGAGCCAGCCAGCGGTAGTCACTCCGTGGTCCATCTTTCCTGGAGGGGGGCTAATACTGATGGCCTAACAGGTTTCGTTCAGTGATATGCTATATGTGTATCGGTACTCATTAGTGGTGGCTCGGGGGCTAGGGATCTGTGCCAGCAACTGGAAGGTTGCTGGTTCAAATCCTGTGAATACCCAGAGTGATTCTACTCCATTGGGCCCTTGAGCAAAGGCCCTTAACCTGCAATTGCTTCATCCTGGGTATGATGTTAATCTACATCCAGCCCTATAAGGAGGTTCTCCAACTTACAGGGAAAAGCTTGGGGGTTGGTGGCAGGATTGGCACTTCAACCTCTGGAAAAACCTCACACTGGTCCATTCAGACTAGTGTGGTGCTGAGGTATCATCCACCACATGGCTGCACTCAGGTTCTCATCCCTGAGGTGGCTTGTCATGTGGTGGGTGCAGCAATGCACTATAAGTGCATGCTCCTTATCTACCTCTACTTATTATGAAGAAAAATTTTAGAATTGCTGCTCTTAATTCAACTTGGTACCGTCCAGAGAACTTTCATCAATGCCGCAAGATGCTTATAGATTTGTTGGTGGTAATGAAGTCAGGACACACTGACTGATAGTTCTTTCCAGGTATTGATCGATGCCACATTTGCAGACCAAGACAAATAACCAGTAGTTTATATCAAGTGAGCTTATCATAAGGTTGTTATTCATCAGGAGTGTTGGTTGTTATAAGAGGGGCGGCTGATTAGACACTCATTTGTATTGTGCTCCCTGTGAAGTAAAATGCCGCTTATACCCTATGATGTGGGTCTGTCGCTTTAGGCAAGTTAGTGAATTGAGTGACTAAGAGAGATACTCAAGCACATAATCATCCTGACCGGAAACCAAACATTTATTGCAATTAAAGTAAGTTGGTTGTACTTTCTAGTTCTGCCTGAAAGATCATTGAGATGTAGTGTAATTCTCATGCAACGATGTTTGCTATTTTTTCTGCCTTGTTTCAGTGTGTTTTTTTCCTTCATCAGTAGACATAAGAGACCATATGCGGCGTTAAGATCCTATGGCTGAATATGTTGCGATACATGTCAACGAATGAATGTGCATATTGCCTGATCTTCCCTGTAGCACAGCTGTAGTTCGAGAAGATGACAGAGAAAATAAGCCTGTCTAAGATAAATACCATCGGGCAGCATCGTAGAATCAAACTGCTTTATGGGGTTATAGAGCGTTCGGCTGCAGCTACCTGTATACCTGCACCTGTGTGCCGTTTACGCTCCTAACTCGCTCTCCTTCCCGCCCAGGCGACCCGAGCGCGCTGGTGGTCCTGGCGGAGGAGGAGCTGGTGGTGGTGGACCTGCTGTCGGCCGGCTGGCCGGTGATGCAGGCGCCCTACCTGGCTCCGCTGCACTGCTCGGCCATCACCTGCTCCCACCACGTCTCCAGCATCCCCCTAAAGCTGTGGGAGCGCGTGCGGGCCGTAGGCCAGCTGCAGAACACGCAGTACTCAAACCAGGTAGGTGGGCAGCGGGGCTCCCAGAGGTTCTAAAATATGGATCTGGAGCAGGGGTCTCCAACTCCGGTCCTGGAGAGCTACTATCCAGTAGGTTTTCTGTCCCACTTGGCTTCTGATGAGCCACAGCTGCTCCTGGTATTTACCTGAGAACAGGTGTGGCTCATCAGAAGCCGGGTAGGATAGAAAACCTACTGGATAGTAGCTCTCCAGGACCGGAGTTGGAGACCCCTGATCTGGAGAGACGTGTGTGATGTTAGGTCCCTTATCAATTAGGCCTTCATGGTAGGTGTGTCTTTTCTTCACCTGGCATTTTTCTGTTTCACCCTGATGAGGATAAGAGGTTAAAGGATGGATGGATAGATAAATTTCTCTTGGTTAGCAAACCAACAGCCTCTGATCAGGTTTTTCAGCAGAGATGCCCAACCCGTCATGATGGGCCGGTCAATCGTGGGATGATTAATGGGTGATGCTTTATTTTTATTGGTATCACCGGTCGATCGCTATCTACAAGATATGCAGCAGAATACACTATCGCGATTCAGTAGCTCATCAGAGTATTTTCTTTGCAAAACTCTGCATGCTAGCAGCTCTCATCCGCATCACGCTTTGACCTCCATTGTCTTGATCATAACACGGCTTGTAACAATTTTTCAAATGGCAAATTACGTAAATGTGACTAAGCAAACAACGTTAAAAGGGACAAGCTGTAAACATCTCTCTACTCTTCAGCCGTGGCCATTGAACGGAGGGCAGAACCTGGCCCCGGACCCCCCCCAGCGGGACCTGCTGCTCACAGGGTATGGGTGCCTTTCATCAGCCTTTTAATCTCTTGGCTGTATCATGCAGGTAGTTAAGACCTGCATGAATCTGTTTGGGTTGGACCACTTCTGTTTCCCACAAGCCAAACTCCTTTCCCACAGTCATGAAGATGGTACGGTCCGTTTCTGGGACGCCTCAGGGGTTTGCCTGTACCCCATGTACAAACTGAGCACCTCTAGTGTCTTTCACACTGACACCGACCCCAATGACAACATGAATCAGGGAAGCGAGGGAGAGTGGCCACCCTTCCGTAAGGTAGGGACCCCCGGGGGAGGCGTACAAGCACAATCGTCAGAGAAGTATTTGCACCTTAGCACTGCGATTGGTGATTTTGTGGGATGGCCGTAAAAGCTGTTTTGTTTTTCTGTCTTTATCCCTCAAAATGATCCTAGCAACAGGGGGTCACTTTGACCCCATGTTATGAATTTCTGTCAGTTTGATGTCCTGTTCAGGACTTGCCGTCCAGGGGCTCAGGACCAAATGCCTTCCCTCTGTGCCCCTCCAGGTGGGCTGCTTTGATCCCTACAGCGATGACCCCCGGCTGGGGATACAGAAGATACACTTGTGCAAATACAGTGGACACCTGGCCGTCGCAGGCACTGCGGGACAAGTGAGCACTGAATTAACCTTGGGCCGCTGTGTGTTTTAGGGCGTTTCTGCGTGCTTTCAGTTACTTATTTACCTCGTGATTCTCTACGCTGACTGTAGTAAAGCATAACAACTGTACAGGGACTCTAGTAACCATTACTTAAAAATATTTATTAAACTTCTTACTGTTCATTAATGCACAAATTAAGGGTATATTGCTGGTAGTTTATAAAGTTATATAGTGCAGTGCTTCTCAAACTTTTTCTGCTAGTCCCCCCTTTTGCTGATAAGATTTTCGTGCTGGTGGATGCAACCCCTGAAGTCTTGATGTTCCCGGTCCCTCGGCCAGATTCTGGTGCTGGAGCTGAATGACGAGGCCCTGGAGCAGGCCGTGGAGGTCAGCCTGGTGGACCTGCTACTGGGCCAGGAGGGCTTCCGCTGGAAGGGCCACACCCGACTGGAGGAGAGGGAAGAGCCGGTGAATTTCTCTCCAGGCTTCCAGCCCTTCGCTCTGGTGCAGTGTCAGCCGCCCGCCGTGGTCACGGCCCTCAACTTGCACTCGGAGTGGAAGCTGGTGGCCTTCGGCACGAGCCATGGATTCGGCCTGTATGACTACCAGCAGAGGAACGTCGTCCTGATCAGGTTGGGACCTTCTGGTGTTTGGCAACCTGCCTGTAAACTCCAGGGTAAAACCCCAGCAGGCTAACGCTCTTACGTAGCTGAACCAGGTTCCTATATGCGATATCAAGAGGGAGAGGGGGGGCGAGCGGCCTCTAACACGGCCACTTCCTGCAGGTGCACGCTGAGCCCCAGTGACCAGCTCGCCATGGAGGGCCCGCTGTCGCGCGTAAAGTCCATTAAGAAGTCTCTGCGCCAGTCTTTCCGCCGCATCCGTCGCAGCCGGGTTTCTGTACGCAAGCAGCATACCAACAACCCCGCAAAGGTTAGTGGGCCGCCATGTTTGTTTTTAGAAGTTTCTGGAATACATCTTAATCCACACTCAATTCTTCTCATTTTCACTGTTATGCTCCTGCCTATTTCCCAACGTCCATGTAACGCATCCATATTACCGTTTCTGTATCTCCTCCTCTTTCCTTTTCGGACCAATCTCAGCTACAGGAGATAAATGCTCGTATGGAGGCAGAAGCTCTCCAAGAGATGGAGCTGGCCCCGGTGCAGCGGAAGATCGAGGCGCGCTCCTCTGACGACTCCTTCACAGGCCTGGTCCGCACTCTGTACTTCGCAGACACATTCCTCAGCGACAGTGAGTACTGCTCCAACAGAGGCCTTGTTAAGAGTGTGAGGATCTGGCGCCGCCCCAGTGGTCGCACCTGTCATTCTGCGTGCACCTATTTTACAGTGACACACTGTCACTGTGCTGTTTAACCCAGAGGATTTATGCTGCTTGTCTAAGTCCACAGAAGTCTGACAATCCGTCATCTGGTAGTTTAGTTGAGATCATGGTCCTTTAACAAAGTAATGACATGATTCTTAGTCACCAGTGTCCTGTACCACTTTAGCATGTATTCATTGATATAGGTCATTAAGCTGCTGGAAAAAGTGTTTCCTCCTGCTTGACTCAAAACTACTTTACCATCCAGTATGGTTGCATTCTTTCGATGCATTTTTTTAATGCAGAATACTTTGGCTGTCATACTCTGAAAGTCTTCTGCTTATAGGCAAGTTAGCAGTCTGCTGTCTGTTTCTATATTCTTTTGTTAATGATTGATTTTATGAAAAAAATGGATCCAGTGCAAACAGCTTGGAGGTTGTTGTGCACTGTGGGTTCAGGAGACCTGTTCAAAGTCCATTGAAGCTGCTGTGTTTCCTTTTTGACAAAGTTCATCCTTTCCTGTCTGTCCTGTAATCTCCCAGGTACCCATAGGACGGCATCGCTGTGGGCGGGTACGAATGGTGGCTCAGTCTTCGCCTATGCCCTGCGCTTGCCCTCCATCGAGCGCCGTAATGAAGACGTCGTAACGGCTCACCCTGGTGAGCCAGTTTTGTTTATGAGCAATGAGCCTGCATTGATCTGGCTTGTCGTACTACTGGAAATTTATTTGCTTTGTGTCTTGCTGACTTGGGTGAAACTCTGTGGAAAGTGTTGGCTGCGAGCAGTATTTGGCAAGTTCCAGGTTTTGTGGCGCTTAATATATTCCTCCGTTGCTACTCATCCACAGACACGAATGTATTCTATTCTTATATAACGATTTTTAACCCCCTTCTCCCCCCCCAGTCAAGGAGATACAGCTGATGCACCGTGCCCCTGTGGTGGGCCTGGTAGTGCTGGATGGCCGTGGGGCTCCACTCCCGGAGCCCCTTGAGGTAGCCCATGACCTGGCCCGTAGCCCAGACATGCAGGGCTCCCACCACCTGCTGGTGATTTCTGAAGAGCAGTTCAAGGTGAGTTAATAGGTGCCAGTAACCCGCTTCCTCAGTCTGCAAAAAGACTGAAAAACCATTTCCTGTTTTCCTCCCAGATGGAGCATATCTACTCCACACTTAAGGACAGTCTGTTCACCGGATTGTTTTAGTTGACGCTCTGCTAAATCAACCGTTTAAATGTGTATGCATATCAGTGGCGCTGCTTTGTATAAGAGGTTGTTGTAGATGTATCCTGAAGTATTCAACTTCCTCGCTAAGTAACTTATATTAATTAAGGAAAAATTCATAACTATTCAATTTTAGTATGTTTAAAATGTCAAAGGGATAATTCTTTAGTCACATACATATTATCATCTGTCTAATGAAAACCATGGTGCTCACTGCCCATTGTCCCTGTATACAGAGAGCATTTGACATCTTTTTGACCAATGAAAAGATCATTTATGAAATTATCTGTTTACTATTTGTTTGTACTAGTTAATGTTTGTATTCATGATAATTGTTTATATGGATTACTCTATTGTTCATTTTAACGTACCATTGATCGATAGATAGCAACCTAACTAACGTCATTGTTAAATGGGAATATAAAGCAAGATTAGTTTGTATCTTGGTGACACTACCATATTTGTCTCGCTAATGACAAGCCACATAAATCCACTAAAACCTTAAACCGCTCGCTGACACACATGTAACAATAGGTTTTTCTTTGTGGTGCTAAGAGTGTCTCATTAAGTTGTCTTATGTTTATTTTGTAAAGTAGTTTCTGAGAAAAAGCTTTTTTTTTCCCTCAATCCTAAAATAATGGAATTTTGTGGATGTGTGTTTCATCTGACCGTTGTATAAGTACAGGTCCATATGTCTTGGGAAGATAATGGATAGGAGATATCACAGCTCTCTTAAATGGGTAAAACCCTTTTTTTTCAGGTGTTCACACTACCAAAGGTGAGCTCCAAGACGAAGCTGAAGCTGACGGCAGTGGAGGGCTCGCGGGTCCGGCGAGTTGGCTTGGCCTGGTTTGGCAGCAGCCAGACGGAGGAATATGGGGAGAGTGGGCTGGTGGTGCTGACCAACCTGGGGGAGCTGCACGTGCTGTCGCTGCCCCACATCAAGATGCAGGTGCACTATTCCTGCATCCGCCGGGAGGACATCAGCGGAATCGCCTCCTGCGTCTTCACGAAGCACGGCCAAGGTACAGAAGCACAGGCCGGGCCTGGATACTCACCCACATCCATATGTCTGTGAAACACCTTGTTATATACTCATACATAACTCCTTACTGCTTTATATGTTGCAAACTTGTATTTACCTATAACATACATGAACTTATTCCACGTTATTGTATGAAGAAGCTTTGGGAACTTGAGTTTGGGGGGGGAGTGCCGTAACCCCTTCAGTGCATCATGGAACTCTTCTCACTCATTTATGTTGGAATGCTTGAGGTCTTGTGGTCCCACATGTTTCTTCAGTTGTACAGAAGAATGGGCTTCCATAACTCTGTGTTTGTCCCAAAAATTTGAGCATTCGTCTCTCCACACAGATATTGCCGTCTTTATGGTGTTAACTATGCCACCTATTTTCTTGAGTTTTCTTCCTGTAATTTCTGGATGGGTCGGTATCTTTTAATGGTGTTAAGCGTGGCTTATACTAGGTCTTTGTGCACTTTCTTTCCTGCAGGGTTCTACCTGATCTCTCCCTCTGAGTTCGAGCGGTTCTCCTTGTCCGCTCGCTGGATTGTGGAACCCAAGTGCCTGGTGGAGGTACCTCTCCCTCCATCCACCTCCTCAGCCTCTCCCACCGCATACAGGACGCAGCCCGATGGGATGGCCGTCAAGCATCGGTAACGCAGAGCCAGCAAATCTTTCTCACCAAGCATCCATTATAGCCTCTTAAAGCTTGCAGTTCTAGCCTAATGGTTCCTCACACAAGTAAACAATGAACTGAAATGCATTGTGTGTTGAAATATATATTCTTTATATTTCAGAAAAGACAATGAAGAATCTGGTAAGTTTGATTTGTGGTGTCTTCATCTGTCTACTAAATCCAGCTGCATGTCTCATCAGATGAGCACTCCACTTGAAATAAGATTCTGTGCATTTGGTGTCCACGAATAAAACTGCAAGTCAACAGGTTCAAGATTAAATTACTAAGTGCAGTCACTTGGAATTATGAGTCATTTTATAAGGTTTGGCAAATTCCATACCTGACATCTACCTGTATCGACGGAGATCTGCATCTTTGTAAAATGCACTCAGAATGGAATGAAAAAAAGAGAACTTTCAGTGCATGCAAAAAAGTGACCCCTCTTTCAGTGGCGTGCTCCTTTATGCATAATCCCTCTAAAAGCTTTTGTGTGCCTGCTGGTCCGACTGAGCTGTCTGTCTGTTCCAGAAAGTTCCGCCAAGCGTGTCATGGAGCATGCCTTGCTGAATGATGAGAGTGAGTATGCCTGTGAACATCTAACCCTGTAACCCCCCTGTCCTTCATGCTGAGGGAAAGGCTCCCTGCTTGTTCCTCATAAAGCCCACAGTTTGCACAAACGTGTGAGCGCTTTGTCAGTATCTTTTCGAGCTGCTATGGCAACCAGCTGTTTCTCTGTCAACTGTCCCCACACTACCAAATTTAAAAAAAAAGGGGGGAAAATCGTCCAGTGATAGAACAGCTTTGAAACTTTGAAATGATCTGGTAACAGATTTGTTTTGCTGTGGAAGCAGATGGAAGTTAAATTTAAATTGAATGGAAACCTTCTGCAGGAAATTAACCGAATGATAAATGCTGAATTTGGCTGCTATATGCACTGTATCAAAGAGTTTGGCAATATTAATCCATGGTAAATTACGGCAGTGATGTAGCATTGTAATCCATAATTACTAAGATGGTCACCACACTTTATTTCCAACAGCTGTGCTCCAGCAGATCCAGAAAGCATTAGAAGGAGATCAGACGTGAGTGTTAAGTCTGAGACGGTTTAAAAATTGATGGTCGGGTGAAATCTTGAAGTTACTACTGACGTTGTCCTCTGTTTCAGGACACATGTTGAAAACAACATGAAAATCAAGCCAAGAAGAGGCAATGTGATGAGCAATGGAGGTGAGGTTCCAGGGGGAAAAATAGCAAGAATACTATAGACCTGAATTTCATCACTAGTTATGGTAGTGGGATGCCACAAAAACCAAGAGTGAAAGTTTTCGTGTTTCACTTTTATTCTCTTCTAAATTGCTTGTCTTTCTATCCCTTTCCGAAGACTGAGCCCCTCATTGCTGTGCCTGAAATACCTTGGAATCCACCAGCACCGCTTCTGGTAGCAATGACACTACTACTGCTAACAAGACCACTACTGAAGCCTGACCCCCGGCCCAGGAAGGGCACCACTGACGCACTGCTACTGAGTAGGGAGGAAGGGCAGAAGGGAGTGCCGCACGTGCCTCAGCCATCCGCTGTCTCTCCGCCAGCCTTCCTTCCGTATGCGCCCAGCTGCCCAGTCCCCCATGAAGCTCGCTCCTTGGCCCCTGACACCAACCAGCAAAACTCAAACCTAACACCTTGCCTTACCTTTGACAGTAAGCGGGGAATGCTTAAAAATGTCTTTAGTCTGACGGAAGAGTGCCGGGTCGAAGAGCCTCTTTTTAAATCTTTTTATATTTAATTAGACTTTGGTTTTTCTATTTAAGGTAAATCACATTGACTCTGAACCTCTTATTTGTACCGGTTAAAGGAACACAGTAACACTATTTTAGGAGGGCTTGTATAAGGCACTAATTAAGTGCTACTAATCAGTTCTTTATTGGCATCTAATAAGGGCGTGTTGGGAACATAATTTTTTTTTTTATACATTGTTTGTTTGCTAATTCAGCATTTTGAAGATATGCTGTTTTTATGCTTTTTTTGGCAAGTTATCCGTTACTGTTTGGACAATAATTGCTGAGAGGTTGAGTCTGTGAAGAGTGTGTGTGTGTGTGTGTGTGTGTGTGTGTGTGTGTGTGTGTTTGCTTGTTTGTTTGTTTGTTTGTTTGTTTTCCCACCCCTGTTTTCCTAGAGGACTGACAACTAACTCCAGTATTTCTCACTGAAACCATTTAGAAATGGTATCAATAATGTATTTTGTCCCTCATTCTGACATTTAAATAAACATGGTCACCATAGTAATGAGCAAGCGGAGTGTATGTTCAGTTTGGTTGAGCTTGGATGCACGTGGCTTTGAATTGTGTAGTGTGATAGGCGTTTGTGTAATGAATGACTTGAATGAATGACTTGGGAAAATAGGTGAAACTCTTGAACAATATAAAATAAGAATACTGGAATTAAGTGTGGAGCAATTGATGAATTGAGCTGCTAAGTGAGATCCAGTATACTTAAAATACAAATGCTCGATTCAGCTGCAGAAAGACTTGTCTTAATTTACATACAAAATTAGCTTGTGTCTCGCATAATGTATCCCCTACTCATGAGTCCTTTATGCAGTAGTGAATGTGTTTAAGTTTCCCAACAACCGCTTATCTGCCAATGTAGTTGCCATTCAGCACCAAATTAGTCCATTATACTTTGCCGCTTAAAAAGGTGTCGCCAAAGTAGAAGAATTGCGGTTTATATTGAAGTCTAACACTTGCATTGAAAGCAATGTTATTGGAAATGTGCAGGCCCACCTGTAGACTACAAAGCATCATTGACCTGTGCGGTGCATATGACATTAAAGGAAATAAGAATGCTTTTGAACTGCATTTACACAACCCCCCGACAATGTCAGCCGCCTTGCTGTCATTGTCTTGGCACATGTAGTTAAAGGGGACATTTTATTGATGTTAATTATTAGGTACTTTTTCCACTGCTGTGTAGCACATTTTGTACTTTTTGAGATGAACAGCTTTTTACAGGGTCTTTCATTTTTGTATGTAAACAATGACAAATGTAATTTAGGAATGTAATTTTAAGATATTGTAGTGAAATGTTTAATATATATGTATAATGAAAATCCATACTTGTTTTTATAGAGGTTTGAGGGGAAGGGGTTGGCTGCTATATCTTGCAAGGAAATATTTTGGTACCAACTCCCAAATGCTGGGTATTTTTAGATTAGTTTATATTTTTGTAGTGATTCAATGAGTATGAGAACTCTAATATGATGTGTAACTTCACACTACAGTATGTCCTGCTGCAAGAGTAAATCATTTTTCACAAGAATATTGTTTGTGTGTGTTCTTTGTTTCCACTTTCCATTGAGGCCTATAATTTTAAGTGTCGATTGTACATACAGAAAGGCACCTTGTGGAGACCCTAACCCTATAAGGATGTTTTGCAATGTCTGCAGGTTTATAAACTGCGTAATAAGTGCCTCGGATTTCATGTCTGTGTGACTCTTGCAGGGGGTGGTGGGATTTTTGGAGATTTAGTCTTATCGGTTAGTGTTTACCCCATTTTTTTGACAGAAATCCAAATTTCTTTTTCTTTTTTTTTTGTTTTTTAAATGAGGTTCCTGAAGTATAGGTTTCAACTGAGGCGTAACTTTAGGTTCCTCCCCAAGCTAAGAAAGCAGAATTGCTTTTATCAGAATGCACTAAAATCCTGCTAAACCTACACCCAAGCTATCTGACATTTTATTAGATGGATCCATGTTTAGATATTTAAGTGCTTTTTAAATATATACTAAAGTATAATAATTTTTTCCACAGCTGTATTTAATTTGAGACCACTATATTTTTAAACAAATCTGCATTTTTAAATCCTGGTTTAATCATGGTTCTGCTGGCAGGAGGCTGCGCTGAGCAGTAGGTTGTTCCAGGTTCAAACTTTCTAAGACTGCAGTACAAATGAATAAGGCGAAGCAGGAGACACTGGGAACGACCAGAAACCAGCCAGGTAAAGGGCAGAAACAACTTTCTAATGCCAGAGATGACCGTTATCCTATGATTCGTCGGATAAGTTGACATCAAGTGACCTTCAAAAGGAATGGGAAACGTGAAGTTCACTGCTAGGACAGTGTGTATCAGGTTCCTCAAAGCAGGACTGGAGTCCTGTAAAGCAAGGAAGAACCAGGCTGCGAATGGCAAAAAATAAAGTATTATTCCCAGACACACACCCATAAATAGAGAAGTGAGCCAAAAAAAATATTGTGCTGTGGTCTGTATAATAGTCTTAACCTTTAACCAAAGAAGGGTATAATAGTCTTAACCTTTAACCAAAGAAGGGTATAATGTTAGTCATGTGTGGAGTTTTCATGTTCTTATGACACATGGCTTCCCCCTGCTTTCTTCCCTCAGTATCAATACATGCAATCAGGCTAGCTGCCATTTCTAAATTGGCCCACGTTCATGCCAGGTGCTCCGGGTCGGCTTTAGCTATGGGCAGAGTAGGCAGCTGCCTAGGATCTGCAAATTACCTGCATGGCGGTGGAAGTGAGATGATCAGTTTTCTTGGTTTAGGGGACACCCAGGTAAAGCTGTACCTAGGGCCCCCTGAAATGGTAGAGCTGACCCTGTCAGTACTGTCTGGGATAGCCTCAATCCCCCCCCCCCCAGCACCCCCAAGCCCCAGCCCTGCTCAGAATAATCATTTGGAAGGAAGATGGATAAGTTCATCCCTTAAAAGGCGTTTGCATATATGATTGTTGGATGAAATGCACACGTGTGTCAGCATGGGGTCAGTCATCCATGTGTATAGCCGAGAGTTTTGTTATTCATCATTGAAAATCCCTTTGTTTGCTAAGAGGTTGGGCATCATCATCCTGCTGAAACCTTATCTATTGATGAACCTCCCCTGAAAGGCTAGTTTAAGGTGTGGGTCACACATTCACTGAGCTGGAAACAGCAAACCTTGTCTGCTCTAATAGAACCGTGCCAGCTCTTGAGTGTCTTAATTCCACTACAATGTGTAACATTACCAGGTTGCTTAGCAAACCCTTCTATCTTAAGTAACACAGGGTCTCCTGTTCTGCCCATTTTGTACTTGTTTTTCTGAAGATATTTAAGTACCTTACTTAAGGACTCTCTGGAGGCTTGGTCCTATTAACAACTTTTTGTATTTGTTATGTATTTTTACCTAAATTTATTAAACTTTTTATGGGGTTTGGATTAGCCTTTAACAAAATATTGATCCTCCTTTCAAATTATATGTCCATCTTCCAAATACTTCTCTTCGTCAAGGTTGAGGGGTCCAAGAGTCTTTCTGAGGCAGCGGAGCACACCAGGCTTAGGTCCACCATGGAGAAGGTGCTGGTCCATCACACACACAGCAGGCGAATTAGTGACACCTAATTATAGACTATAACTATATGTCTGGACTGCAGGATGAAAAATGCAGGCCAGGGATAACATGTAAACAGCCAGACCTACAGATGTGAGGCAGGAGGGTTAGTGACTGAGCCACCATACCGGCAGATTTTAAGTTATGTATTCTAATTGATCATGGATTGTTCCATATAATTCCATACCTCATGCTGTTTATTTCTAAAGTATATGAAAAATAATAACAGCAATCTTAATGACCTTAGCTTCAAATCTTTTTACAGATTTTGACATGCATCTTAAGATATTTTCACTATTACATTTCTAGATTGTTGGCAAAGACTTTTCACCTATAACTTCCAAAATAAAACCAGAGCTGTACAGTAATTATCCTAATAGGCACCGTAAGTGGCAACTGATGGTGGTCTGCTGGCAGATAAGTCAAGTCATGGGATTTATAGGAAATTTTCGAGACCACATTTTGTGACAAACTGGGCAAAAAAAGGAATTTATTAAGAATATTCTTCATTATCATCTCATTGTGTCTTTCCTACTCCCTCCAACCGTTTAGTACACACTCTCTCTCTCTCTCTCTCTCTCTCTGGCTCTATCCCTCTCCCTACCTACTCCACTCTATCATATGTCATCACCTATTGTCAATCTTTCAGTGTGGCTTCTCACCTTCCCTGGCTCTGTTCACCAGCTGTTAATAGGAATGGCCACAGAAATTATGGCCCATTGAGCCGGACTGAATAATTCACAAGTCAGCACCGGGGTGTTCGGGTGCGTGATTCTTTGCATTCTCATGCCCCATGTCCCATGCGTATCTGTGGTGGGGACCAAAAGGGGTTGCTTGATGGCCACCATTTGGAATAGATAGAAATGCAGCAGCCTCTCAAAATCCCATCAACCTGCCAGCTGCACTGAGAAGCCAGGTGAGTGCATTCACTATGGGATGCATGAATGAATGCTGGAAATAATATTTCTTCTCAACAGAAATAACAGATTTTTTTGTGTGGAATTTCATCAATATTAATATGTGTGTTATCAATATCAGTGTGAGGCCATGGTCTTAGACCTAAACCATGATGCAATCCAGTCCTGCTATTTATTCACCGTCTATAGCAGCTTTAACATTGGCCTATATATGTGCAATAAAATCTGTAGCTGTAGGTGGGCACATTTACTTTATTTTGCAACATTGTATAATTTTTTCCGTTTTGAGGTGTGAAATCTCTATTTTGAGGAAGTTATGTAAAGAAATCCAGGTATATATTTATATAAGTAATTCTTAATAAATGTCTGATAAATAATTACATTATTATTCACTGGCACTTATTCATAGAATTGTAAAAAAAAAAAAAAAAGCACGATTGAAACTGGAAAGGAACTCAAACGCTGTACTGCAAGCAGTTTAGAGTTCCTATTGTAGCTGAATACATTACACATAAATACAGCTTCTTTCTCATGATGGTACATTATACATTACGACTGTAAAGTAAACAGACGTCAAATGGTAAAGTATACATAACTGTCAAGTAGTAATTATAGTCATATATAGCCAAGTTTTTCACCTTTTTAGCATGTAACCTTATATATGTTCATATCTACGTTTTAACTTTTCGTTTGCGTTTATGCAGAAATGTCCTTATTGTAGTTTTTAAACCTTATTTTGAGTAACAGTCAGCATTTTGAGTAAAGGTCCATTTAAAATTTTATTCATTTATCACCATGATAAGTCTTTAGTAAATATTCAAGCAAATTAGCTGTCAGCATGTTTGAGTATTTCTATAATAAAAAAATGACTTTTCGGGCTAACAGAGAGCCATTATTGTCCTGCTCTCTAACAGAGGGAAAGAATGTAGGTATAACTGGTGTGTGAGTATCCTGAAGCTATGGCTCCTGGCAAGTCATGCAAGAATACTGAAGGACAGAAGATGGATGGAGGGAAAAAGCAGAAAAAAGATGCAAAGGGGAAAAAATGCAAGGAAGCAAACAGCCCTCAAGAGGCTAGAAAGGCTGCAGATGCGAAATGTGGGGGCAAGAGTGAAATCAAAAACACTGAAAAGAATGTCAAATCTGGCAAACCCAGATTCTTCACAATGGGCAAGGGAGGGAAAGAGAAAACAAAGGAGAGTGCAGCCACAAAAGCCGAAAAGGAACAGAAGGTTAATACAAAGACACACCAAAAACTTGTGTCCTCAAAAGAAACCAGTAAAAAACCTGTGGCTAATGAGGGCAGGAACAAAATTGGTAAATCCAAAGCTATTTCAAGGGACGCTCAAACAAAAGCAGTTAAGTTGACCAAACCTGATACGAAGAGTCCGAGCAAGAAAGGTAGCAAGGTTGTGGAATCGGAGAGTGAGGAGGAGGAGAGTGAGGAGGAGGAGAGTGAAGGAACTGGGAGTAGCAAGGAGGGGAAAAGTGATGCAGACAGTAAAGAGGAATGCACTGGATCTGAAGATGAACTTAGCCATGAAGAAGAGGCATGTGACACAGGAAATGAGGTTGAGAAGGAGGAAGAACATGAACCATCAAATGTTTTCATAAGCAAAGGAGAGCCAGAAGAAGAGCCTGTAACTAGTGAGAATGAAACTAACTCAGAGGCAGAGCGTAGTGACACCCTAGAGGACCACCAAGGCCCGAGTAAGAGTGTAACTTCAATAAAGCAAACTGGACCACTCCAGTTGTCTACCCAGTTACTAGGCCAGGGAGCAAGGATTAAGTCTAAAATGCTCATGAAAAAAGGACCTATTGCAGAAGAGAAACCAAAAAAAGACGCCATGGCAACCAAACCATTCCCAATGAAAGGGTTAGTTTTTAACAAAAATGCAATAACAAAAGGGAAGCCTCAGATTCTTCAGATAGTCAAGACAGCAAAAACAAAAGATAAGAAACAAAGCTTGAATGAAGATATAGAAGCATCTCCATCTACATCCTCTCCAAAAACTCTTATGGCTGGTAAATCGTACTTAATGCTAAACATGAAAGTGAAAAAGAAAGAGGATAAGAACAGTCTAAACCCAAGAGATGAACCTGACAATGAAAAACAAAATGAAGATATTATGAAAGAACGGCAAAGTAACGGCCAGTCAAAAAATCTTGGATTAGCGCTTGCAAAGGTAAAAATGGCTTCTATGAGGTATCAAACCAGGAAGAATCAAAGAATGTTAGATGAGCTTGCATTGGTAGATGAACCTGTAGAAGCAACAAATTCTAAAGTCACAAAATCCCTAGTAGCTCAACGGAAGAGCATCAATACACTGCGACGTGTCTCTGGATGGATACAGAAAAAGATTCCAAAAAGTACCAGCTTACGGACTAAGTTGACTACAGTTTCCAGAGCTATTGGCATCACCAGATGGCTCTCGGCACAAGCCGCAAAGCACCAGAGAAGTAACAAAAGTTCTAAGCAGAATGTCTTCCACCGGAAGGTGATTAAGGGTATTTCCAGTACTGCTACACTAGCCAGAAAGAAGGCTCAGTTGCCAATTAAAGGAGCAAAAGACTTTGAGGAGGAGATGACAACTTATCGAGAGAAGCAAAGAGTCATGAAGGAAGAAACACAAGATGCCTCTTCTGATGACCTTAGCTCATCACCCCAAGCTAATGATAGTCATAGCGAACCAGAAGAAAAAGCAAATTCCATAGACCCTAAATATGCTATCGTCTTCCCAAGGATGCACAAGATTGGCAAGGGCAAGGGAGGTTCGCCTTCCTCCACCAGTGCAAGCACTGCAAGCACTGTCAAAGAACCAAAGCGTGTTCCTCCAAAGCCAGGTGCTCGCCTTGTTCTCCCAGTACAGCCTGATCTAACCCTCCTGAAGTCGATCAAAAAGATCTCTCACAAGGAAGATCAGCCTAAGAGTAGAACAATAGATAAGAATGTAGAGGACAAAGCATTAGAGAAATTGGACACTGCACAATCACTAATTTTTGGGAAAGGACATAGCACAATACAGTCAGCTAGAGGAAAACTACACTTAAAGCCAGGGGTATCTGAGCTACCATTATCTAAGAATTTATCTGGAACAGAATTAAAGTTGAAAGAGGGTATAGGTAAAAATAAAAACAAAAATGAATCAGTTGATAAAGCAATGGAGGCACAAGAAGAAAGGAGAGTTATAACGCCGTCCTTCTACGAGGAGGAAGCTGACCGAGAAGTGGCAGAGTTGATGGGTGAAGATACTTTCTCCACTTCAGTGGAGGTGCATTGGGCTCAGGATCACCCATTCCGGAGTGATCCTCAGGACTGGCTGAAAGCAGAGACCCTGCTTCCACACCAAACTGTTGAGAAGCTCAGCAAATGGTCCATATACCAGGAGACAGAACAGTGTCATACTATTCCAATCCAAAATGGTAAGGGACCGTGGGAAGCAGAGGATGTCGTTCAAAATATGCTGGAAAGCCGACTCACCAACACACAGGTAAATTAAATCAAGGTTCTGCGTGAGATTAATGGGAAAATCATCATAGCACTACATGCTTTTGGGAAACTTATTCACAATATTACTGAGCTACCTTCACAGAATAATTTTTGATTTAGTTAAAAAAAAGAAGTTTATATCCTAGTGTTTACTATACTGGTGTTTTTCCAAATACTTGTTTAAAGGGGCCCTATCATGCTCATTTTCACTGTTCATAATTTTATTACTAGTATAGATTTACATGCTTCAGTGTTCCAAAAACACATTATTTTTCTCATATTGCACATCTCCTTTCACTCTGCCTATAACTCTGTCTGAAATGCTGTGTTAGAGCTTTAAGCCCCACCCCTGATGAGCCCAGGATGAGTGCTCTGATGAGTGCTCTGATTGGTCAGCTTGCCCAATTGGTCAGCTTGCCCTACATGTCCTGCCTGTCTTGCAGTCTGTAGACAGATCATTGCAGGTAGACAGCCAATAAGGATTACGTTACAATGTGATGTCACCATGTCACGGAAGTAAGGGCTAGAATTCCAACAAGGCGTTTCAGGCAGACTAGAGAAGGGTGGTTTCTGTGGTGAAAGATACTCCCGTAGGCATGTACTTTGAGCCTTAAGACTTTGCAGACCATTTACATGCACATAAAGCTATATAGCACACTAAATGAAAAGGAAAATGAAAAGTATAATAGGGCCTCGTTAATATGTGCCTGCATGGAGTAGGGGTAGGAGATGGCATGCAAGGTGCTTTTTATTAACCCTAGGGTCTTGCATAGTGATTTTTTCTTTTCCTCAATGTCACAGGTATATATGAAAGACACCAAGCAAATCTTGGAAGTGGATGAAGTGGATGATTTGTCACGGCTTGAGTGAGTTGCAGTGTGATGGGGTCCTGTGATGCCTCCCAGTACAATTGAATTGACAGTAAATATTACCGTTCAGCTTTGTAAGACCACAAATATTTAAAGAGATTAACAAAAATGTTAATCAGAACGTTGTGATTATTTAAAAAATAGTAATACATTCAGCGTATATCCAACCTCAGAGTTTAAACTTTTAAGATATTACATTTCAGTAATGACAGTATAGGGGGAAAGTGTGTGTGCATGTAGATATGGTTATATCCAGAGGTGGACATCTCACGTCCAGAAAATAAAAATCCAGACGAAGATATTGTTTCAACCAACCAGTTGAATATAAAGAGTTAAACTTTTTACTTTCTGGACCAGAAATGTCCACCTTTGCTTAAATATCAAAATTGCACATCATGAGAGCAACTGTAAAATTAACAATTTATTTAGCTGTAAAATTCGCTTGCATCTGCCAGAACCATTAAATGTTGTCATTTTACAATAACTGTGAAGACTGCTTTGTTTTTTTTTTCAGAGAAGTGTGTGAGAGTTCTGTGCTGCTCAATCTGAAAAAAAGATTTCATCGAGACTTGATTTATGTATGTGTTGCCCTGAATCCACACATGGGTTCATTTGCTTGATGCTGAAATTATGTCTAGAAACATGTTCCATTATGTGTTTCTCAGTGGTTAGTACTGCTGGCGGTTTGAAACCTAAGGCTGTGGCATTTGCATGTTCTCCCCATGTCATGGCAGTTTGCTGCCACGGTCCAAAAAACCTGCAGTTAGACTAATCGATGTCTCTAAATTGTGTGTGTGCATGTCTGTGCCCTGGAAAGAACTGGCATCCTTTGCTGAATGTACCACAGCCTTGTACTCTATTCTACCTGTTAGTGGGAGGAGGTTTTCTTATACAAAAATGTTCTGAGGGCAGAATGAAAAATGATTGGTTCAGAGAGATAACCAATCAGATTGTACAAGAGGTAGGTCCAAGCAACTAGAGAAGGAGGGGTCAAGACATCTGACTGGATGGTGCTGCCTTCTCTTGTTCCCTGGACCCAGCTCTCTACAATCTAATTGGAAATCTCGCTGAACCAATCATGTTTTTGTTCTGCCGTACATTTTTGTGGAAGTACTGTGAAACTCCCATGAACATTCTGCCTAGGGTAGACTTCAGGTATCCCCCTGCACGCCTAACTATGATAAGGGTTAGAAGATGGATGGATATTTTCAGTATTCCTTCAAACTCTTTGAAATAACCTTTATAAGTGTGTTTGTTTATGCAATTCAAAAATTACATCATTTTATAGCTTGATACTAATTTGTTTTGTTGGCTAATTTAATGACTGTGCTGTTAGACGTACATCGGAAACATGCTGCTGTCAGTCAACCCCTTTAAGCCCCTCGGTATCTATTCAGAGGAGGTGGGTGTGCAGTATCAAGGCAAGTTGTTGCAGCAGAACTCACCGTGAGTAACCATCTTTGCAAACCATCACTAGGGAAGCTGCCAGGAATAATCTTACAAAAATTTCCTGACATACAATGTAGAAAGTTAAGTTTATGTATACATACGATATCATATCCTTTAAATGTACTGTGTACTATTGCCGTTTCATGTAATAAGACAAGCCTGTGCTGGATGAGCATGTAGAAGATGGAGGGATCTTAAATAACAATAATCTTGTTGTAGTCAATACCAATTGATAGTCAATAAATTTATGAAAAAATAACAGACATTTCACATAGTATGGTTTACCATAATCCTCAGTAAAACTGGGGATGTTAAAGCAGCACAAATTAGCAGTACTTATTGACTATGTTAAACATCACTGACACCATGTGTTTGTGTTGGAAATATAGTCTGTGTGTAACTAGGAGCTGCTCTTTATAGTGTGTATGTACTCTTTCTACAGTCACGTTTATGCTGTAGCAGAGGAAGCCTTCTGCCACTCCCAGAGTTCAACCCAAGAGCAGTGCATCGTCATTAGGTCAGTTCACACCATTCCTTATGCCTTTCATTACCCTTTCATCTGTCAATCATGTTTTATTTCTCCTCTGTCTAACATAGATCTGCAACACGTGTAGAAAAGCAAATACCGTGTTTTATATTCTATGTGACGAAACGGGAGAGCAGACCCACTCTTTCCTCTTCACAGTGGGCAGAGCGGTTCTGGGAAGACAGAAGCGACCAAGCGTATCGTACAGTACCTGAGCTGCATGTACCAGGGGATGGCTGACGGTGTGAGGCAGGTCAGTAGCCAATGTGTATCATTTAGAGGGTTCACTTCAGTACAAGGCAAATACAGAAAATACAGATGCTCACATAATCTAAATTCAGTTTTGTTTCAATTTTGCACCAATGTTCCTGTCAGCCCTTGGATGTCTTGCCCATTCTGGAGAGCTTTGGCAATGCCAAGACCATCCTTAACAACAATTCAAGTCGTTTTGGCAAGTACCTGCACATCCATATTCGGCAGTGAGTCTTTATTTTTAATCATTATGCTAATTCATACTACAGCTATAGAGTCATTGCAATGAAGCAGTCTTAACCATAACACTAAACATAGATTTGTTACAGAGACTATGAAATAATGTACAATTCATTGACCCTATAGCAAATCCCCAGAAAATGCCAGATAATCTCTGTCATGCCATAATCCTCTGTGAACTGGGTTTGTGCATCTGAACCCTGGACACCACCTGTCTCTTTTGTCTGTTGATCTGTAGTGGTGTAGTGGTGGGGACCTCTCTTTCACACTACCTCCTTGAGAAATCCCGAGTTGTGTTTCAGGTGAGACCCCTCTTTTCCAGAATCCTTATAGAATTCAATGGTCTGTGCATCCAAATATGAGTAGCATTTAGCTAATTAGCTGATGCAATGCATACCTGCAACGTTCAGTTTTGATCTCCCTCAGGCCCAAGGGGAGAGGAACTACCATGTGTTCTATGAGATGCTGGCTGGGCTAAATGACTGGGACAAACAGGAGCTGTACTTACAGGGAGCAGAGACATACTTCTACCTCAATCAGGTGAGACTTCTGGGTTCTGCAGTCTGCTGCTGTATCTGGTCATTAGCAATTACAGGCCATTAAAAATGAACACAAAACCCCTTTCAGGTTGTGAGGCATTGCATGAAAAGAATTCCCATTATTCTTTTAACAAAAGAATTTTAAGTTATATATATATTTTAGTAGAAATTTCCCTACTGGAAATTTAGTATATTGTGTGGCAACAAATAGTAATAGGTCCTTTTGTTTGGCTCGACCACCCTACATCTTAAACCCCTTGTTGTGCACTGTATTGTGATTTAAACAGAAGTCCATGTATATATAACCCCTTTCTGTTTGTATGTTGCACTGTGAACCTCAGGTAATCTTATCCAATGAAACTGTACACCTCTGTACGGATGGTGTACGTCTGTATGACCATAAAGCCCTGCTTCACTTGATTTCACTCTCCTGTGCTTCTAGCTCACCTTGTGGCAGACTTCTGTTCCACACAGCACTTAAATTGCAACACTCACAAATTAATACTATCTGGTATATCGTATGCAAGTTTCAGGCCTATAATTAACTTTTGTTTTCTAAATGGTGATTTCATTTTAATTTATAACAACGGAAAGCAACATAAACATTACTTCTCCACTTCCCCAGTCTTTCTGATTATATAAGAATTTCCCATATTTTAAAAAACAATTGTAGGTTTAGTAAATTAAGGGTATAAAATAGAAGTTTTTGAAATCTCCAAAATGTGTATTTTGAGTTTTCTCTCTTTCAGTTTTAAAGGAATCTGATTATTTTCAGAAGGTCCTGGACATGATAAATATGCTTTTCTTTATTGTTTCCTAATGCAGGAATACTTTTTTGAAAATGATGTTGGAATGTGGCTTTTCCATTTCCGTGCTGTAATGCCTGTGAATGCACAGGGTGGCACTTGTGAGCTGGAGGGCAAGTGGGACAGAGAAGACTTTGTGACATTAGTCCGCTGCTTGGAGACTATCGATCTGCATGCGGATCAGCTGTCCTCTGTGTGGGCCATTCTGTCATCTATCCTGCAGCTGGGCAACATCTGCTTCAGCTCTTATGAGGTGTGCTGTTCTGCATTCCTGCTTCATTTGTGTACTCTGGGATTCCCTACATAGCAACATCAAGGTCAAAGTTCAAGGTTTTTTGTTATACGCAAATACAGTGAAATTCTAGCATGAACTTCCTGCAAGCCATAATGCCAAATAAATACAAGATAATAGGTCCAGAAGCTAGTAATGAACAACAATACAGAAAAAATAAAGATACAGCCACTGTAAACAAACACTTGCATGCATGCATGTTCAAAAGGGGAACCGGGGAGTAGACCCTGAGGAATGCAGTGTTATTTATCTGACTCTTTTATCCAAATCAACATACAGTACAGGGAAGGGTTGCAATTTATGAATGCTCCCTGGCATTTGAACCCATGACCTTTACATTGTTAGCACAATATTCTACTTGTAACAGCATCAGTTGTAGTAAGGTTATGCACAGATGTATATCACGCTTACGTGGATGCATGTTGCACGCAGAGCGAGTCGCTGGAGGTGGCACGTATCTTCAGTGAGGCTGAGGCGAGGCGTGTGGGCAGCCTGCTGCAGGTGTCTGCAGAGGCCCTCCAGACCGTCATTACCCACCGCGTCACAGTGAGCAGCCGCAGAGCACAGTTTCTCTGCACTGCATTCTTATCAAAATTGAATCTGCTGACCTGTAGCACTTTGTTTCTGATGTGCGTCTCTCACTGTCTGTTGCTCCTTAGGAAACAACCTATGATAGAATCTACTGCCCCCTATCAGTGGAAGGTGCCATAGAGTGCAGGTATAGATACAATGTTACTGCTGCCATTGAGGCAGTAAATATAGTGTGGCATTGTAATTATGAGGCCAATGCACCGCTTTCAGAAGTAAATCGCCATATATCTGCACAATTCGTTACTTATATTGCATGTCTTCCAGAGACGCCATAGCCAAAACGCTCTACTCAGTGCTGTTTAACTGGCTGCTGGATCGCATCAACGAGTGGCTCATTCCTACAGAGATGGACAGCACCGTTGGAATCGTGGACATATATGGGTTTGAGGTATTCTTCCTTTTTACCTAAAAATAACAGGATAATTAGGATCGAAGATCATTTGAGATTTTGTTCACTTTAAGTGTTACTGGTTATCCATCCATCTTCAAAACCTTATCAACTGCTTTGAAGATACTCATCAGTCTGGTGGATGAAGTATTTATATAATTATCTTGATAAAAGATATTGTGAGAGTCTTTTTATGTGAACAAGCACCACTTCTTAGAGTACTGCTGCAAGTAATGAGTAATGTAAATATTTATTCTGTCGCATGCTGTCTATGTTATTAAGCAGATATACGTTTAAAATAACATATTGGATTTAAGTCAGTGTCTTTCCGACAGGACTTGGGGGTAAACAGCTTTGAGCAACTGTGCATTAATTTTGCCAATGAACAGCTGCAACATTTCATCAATAAGGCAGTGGTATCGCAGGAGCAGGTGGGTCTTCTAGGAAAAATATTTGGCATCTCAGCATGAAGGGTCTATAAATCGACTTTATTTTTACCCTTGGGGCTTTTCTAATGTTACCCCTGATCAGATTAGCATGCACTAATACACTCCATACACTCTTTTGCAGGAAGAGTACAATGCAGAGCAGATCAAATATTACCCCGTGACCGTCCAGAACAATGACTCCTGCCTGGAGCTCATCTCTGCTCGGCCCTACGGCATCCTTCGCATCCTGGATGACCAAACCTGCCTCCCTCAGGCACAGATATGCATGCTTTTCCATATGAGTACCTTTGTTGACCTTTCTTGCAGTATTTTCTCATTGGTGTGTTAGCACAGCGTGTGGTCTGGTTACAATGCTTCCTTGTTGTTTCTGCCAATCTTCCTGCGTCCAGCTTATCGACTTATTTCCTTAATTCTCTCCCAGGCCACAGACCATACCTTCCTGCAGAAGTGCCATTATCACCATGGAGGAAACCCACTTTACACCAAACCAAAGATTCCACTGCCCACCTTCACAATATACCACTATGCAGGGGCTGTTACCTACCAGGTCGGCCAGCCATTTGCTCGCATTTAAGCATATTCTATGGCTCTTAGGTGTACAGTTCCAATACATTCAAATTAAATGCCTGCCTGCTTTTCAAGGTACACAATTTCCTGAACAAGAATCATGACCACTTTCGTCCAGAGGTTCTTGAGCTTTTTGCACGGAGTCGACTGAAGGTAAATCCTTTAAAGCTGGCCAATATCAAAATATCAATTATAACTAAGTAAACCAAATATATATTTAAGTGTAAAAGCATGAAGTTTTACATAATTTATCATGTAGTCTTCCTATCAGGGTTTGAGTCTCCGCCATGGCTCCGTGTTTGTGGAGTTTGCATGTTCTCCCCGTGTCATTGTGGGGTTCCCTCCAGGTTCTCTGGTTTCCCCCCACATTCCAAAAACATGCTGAGGTTAATTGGAGTTACCAAACTGCCCATCGCTATGCATGTTTGAGTGTACCCATTGATGGGTAGGTGCCCCATCCTGGTTTGTCACCTGCCTTTCACTGTAGCTTCACGGTAAAAGCTGCAGCCGTCCCACCCCCCAACCCTGAATAGTGCCAGTAGCTACAGAGTGGATGGATGGATGGAAGTTTCTTGGCAATGGCATAATTGCAGAGCTACTGAGAATGTCAAAGATACAGCCTTGCATGACAGATATTGCACATAGTAAAGCTTAACATGAACTCAGTAATGTGTGTGAGGTTTTTTCCAACCCCCCCCCCAGATGGTGTCCAGTCTGTTTCGCAAAGTGCAGGAGGGTTACCTGCAGCAGAAGGAGCTGGGCCTGCGTGGCCGGGGCCACCGGCAGCTGGTCACCACTGTGGCAGCGCACTTCCAGCAGTCACTCTCAGAGCTGACCAAACGACTCGAAAGGTGCGAAGCCGCCATTCTCCTCAGCTTCTGTTTGGTTTCACTTTCTAACCCATGTGTGGTGGCTCTTCTATGGATGCATGCATGCACATGTATTATTTCTGCATCCATCCATCCACATTCTTTAAGCTCCCATCCAGGACAGGGTTGTGTGAGCCTGGATCCTATCCCAGGACACACATGGCAAGAAGAAGCGGAACACCCTGATCAGGGTGCCGATTATATACCTGTATGTAGTTTTTGTTTTACATTTTTTCCCACTCAGGTGTAAAACTACATTTGTACGCTGCTTCAAGCCCAATTACATGAAGGTAAGAAGATAACTGTCATCTTTGATATGTTGGGAGGTTTCCCCAAGCAATAACTCAATTAATTAGTTCTAGATGTAGTTGAACTATTTATAGGTTGATATAGAAACAATTTCCTAATTATGTTACTGAAAGTGTCTTTAAAATCCTTATTTCATGCAATGCAGTTACCGGGCATATTTGATGTAGACTATATGACGCAGCAGCTACGGCATGCTGGGATACTGCAGGCTATTCACATCAGGAAAGAGGGATATCCCATTCGGATTCTTTACTCCTACTTCATTGACAGGTATTGAAATAATGTCTAACAGGGTATCTAAATGGACTGGGAACCTGTATACAGGGGGTAGCTGAATCTAAAGAATGTTATGCATGATAATATCTTCCTTTTAGCCGTTTCCATGTACAGTCTTACTTTTGCCTGTTTTTCTTTGCTTTTTTGCTCCTTGTTTCTCCATAAGGTATGGGGTTCTCATGCCTCAGCGCACAGCAGACCTACCTGAGAGGGAGTTCGTTGTAGCACTGCTAGGCTCCATTCCAGGTGTAGAGGTGGAGCAGTATCAGCTGGGTCTGACCAAGGTGAGTTTCTGCTGGGGATCCCTGTCTCTACTGTCCCTGTCCTGTCCTTTCTTTCATGTACAGCCAAATATATGTGGTCTCCAGCCTGTCCAACATCTCATTCTGAAACCAAGCGTATTAATATGAAGTTGGTTGGCCCATTGTTGCTATAATAGCCTCTACTCTTCTGTGAGGACTTTCCATTAGATGTTGGAGCCTTGCTGGTGGGATTTGCTGCCATTCCCCTTATGAAAATTCACTATGGTTTCCTATGGTTTTTATGCAGTAACCATAGTTTTACTATGGTACCTCATGGTATTTTGGTATTACCCATAGTACTACCATGGTTTGGAAAGACCATGGTAAAACAAAGACCATGGTAAAACAAAAACCATGGTGTATGACCAAGATTATACTAGGGTTTAACTGTAGCGAAACCATGATAAAACCATAGTCATGGTTTCCATAGTTACCCAAAAAACCATGAAAACCACGGTTATTTAATCATGGTAAAATCATGGTTAATTTTCGTAAGGGTGTTGGTTGATCAGGTCCCTTTCTGTTAGCTTGCATGGCTACCACTTTGCAACTGACCTTGCTCCCAGACATTTCTGCTTCACAGTCACTTCACTTGTGGTTGACCAGGGCAGCTCTAGAGGGCAGAAATGACTTGTTGGAAAGATGGCATCACATGATGGCACCAAGTGAGGAGTCACTAACCTCTTTTGTATAATATTTGTTACAGGAGATTGTGTGACTGTGTGCTTAATTATACTCCTGTGTCAACGGGTCAATGGGTTTGACTTAATTAGGCAATTCCTCTAAATAATAGGGTGTCCATATACTTTTGGCCATGTAGTGTGTCCTGATGTTCTGATAGCAGAATGAAAAATTATTGTTTCAGAGAGATAACCAATGAGATTGTAGAGCAGTTGCTTGTAATCACCTCCTCTACAATCTGATTGGTTATCTCTCTGAACCAATAATGTTTCTGCCCTCAGAACATTTTTGTGTAAGTAAAACTAACATGAGCATCCTGATTCTGGCTAAAGACAACATTTGTTCGATACATAAAAAGTATATATGTTCCTCTCTCAGTGTGGAACATAACAGAATATTAAACAATTAAAAAATATTGCAGAAATAAAATTACACAAAGTTGGATTCCCATTGCCTCCTGCAGGAGCAACTTAACCTTGGGCCCTGTTGCATTGCTGTAGGTGTTCCTGAAGGAGGTGCTGTACCAGAAGGTGGAGGAGCGATGGAAGAGCACGCAGACCTGGGCTGCTATCACACTACAACGGAATATCCGTGGTTTTATCTGCCGTCGTAATTACCGCTACTTCCGGCAGAAGGCCATCGTCCTCCAGTCACATATCCGGGGCCACCAGGCCAGGTGGGTCTCAGCAAAGGCCTTTCATCAAGTAAAGAATTAGAAATGAATGGAGAGTAATGCTGAAAATATGATATAATAAAGGACAATCTCAAGGAAGTGAACCTGATAGAAAGAAGTAGGCTGGTCCCTAAGCATGATCTGAACTGTTGGGCGGACAAGGCCAAGGGTGTAAGAGAGAATTTGATATGGGGGCGGGGGGGGAGGGGGTACAACTCAATCATTTCAAAGCAAAGGTCTGTTTTTTGGGGAAAGCCAAATTAATTATTGGGGGGTACACATCACCCCCCCCCCCCCCCCCCCTCCTATTGGTTCCTTTGCACTTAGGCAAGTGTATAGTTTCTTTAACATATAACAACAATAGGAGTGAACCGATGGGGATAGAAAAGTACGCTCTGTTTTTGCTCCGTTTTTCTTTAGGAGTGTGTCTCTTAACAAACACCATCACCTTCTGTGTGAGGCAGGAAGCACTACAAGAGAATGAAGCAGTCCTTCACCCAGTTTTGGGCAACTATGATGATCACCAGAAACACCTTAAAGAGGCAGCAGTGGCGAGTAAGAACACTGGGGCAACAATGAACTGGGGGCTTCCTGGAGAAATGTGTTGAAACAAAAGAGCAGTACACGCCTACGTATACTACAGGAATGCTCGCACTCATCAGACTGATCAGTCCCCTTCGTTGTCATATACAGCTTATCTAAGCTACATGTCACATAAAACCTGTGCAGAGTTTACTTAGCTCCTATCATTTATCTTACCCACACAATGATGTAAATATTTGCATGGGTGTGTCTTGTCATTTTTTAGTCTTTCTTGATTTTGAGATGTTAACCTCACAGTACTTATCCTTCTCCTGACAATCTAAGCCTTACTTTTAATACTGCTTTCTTGTAGCACTTTCTAGGGGACAGTAGAGCAGTGGTTCTCAATCTTTTTTTACACTGCGACCCAATTTTTACCATCCCAGCTGAGTCACGACCCGTTATCAAGTATAGGTTTAAATTAACAGTATGATCTAGCATGCAGTGCACTCTGCAGTTTACGCCAATCAATGCTTATCGCTCAACTCTGATTGGATGTGCCAGTGAATTTTAAATTAGTCATATGTGGTTTGGCTTCTTGGGTTGGTTGAGTGTTCACTAGATTTGCGCAAAGCATTTGCAGAACGAAGGTCCATTTATATAGGTTAATTCTAGGACTGGGGCTAGGAAATCTGATCCTGGATCAGCCTACGAGCTTGCTGGTTTTAAAATGTTTACGTTTCCAACTGTGTCTTGTGATCCTTGAGAATCACTGCTGTAGAGTATGATTTGGGCATGAGGTTCTTATTTTTTTTAAAAAAGATTAATTGAAAAGAAACACTATTCTGCTCAAGCTGCTGAACCGTAGACAGAATTGATTCCGATTGTGGATCCCCACAAAACAACCTTCTTCCACCTCAGTTTTAGGAAGCTAAACAGTTAATAAATGATCCCAAGGTTCCTGCTCCAGAAGCAAAGTAAACTATGAAAGCTATGAAATACATCAATTGATATTTTACTCAAGATATTTAATTGCTATTGATAATTAAAGGTTGACATCTGCAAAGATATTTATCTAGTTTCACTCAATTATTTGGATGACTTTCATAATTACAATATTCCCTTTGCTAACGTTTAAATTAATAACTTTTGAAGAGTCACATTTAAATTAACAAAATGGGCAGAATCTGACATGGTGAAGCCTTATCTCTCTATGGTATGGAATAGAACATTATTATTGTCTTAAGCTCTGGCAGTGATAAATTCTGTAGGTTGTAAAAGGGGGTGAAATTCAGAATTATCTTTAATAAACCAGTTTTCTCAAGTCTCAGATTATAATTATGCACCACCATGTAGTGACTGCAGCAAAGAAAAGCCCCAAAGGCTAGTATTCCAAACACGTCATACACTTACAGCATCTTACTAGGACAGGATCACAAAATCCAAACCTGTCATCACATATTAAAATTCCATATTCTCATGAATCTAATGCTGTTTTTAGTATGATCTCACTATGTCTTACTTCCACTAGGCACTAGAGTGAGTAGCATATGTAGTAGTTGATCATAAAAAGGCCTACGATGTCATCTCTTTTGATTTCCAGAAGGCCTTTGATGTTGTCCCCCACAAACGGCTCTTGCTTAAGCTCAAAGCTGCAGGGATTTTAGGAACTGTAGCAGTTTGGATAGAAAACTGGTTAACAGACAGGAAGCAGCGAGTAGTTATTAGAGGCACAATGTCAGAGTGGGCCTGCATTCATAGTGGGGTACTGCAGAACCACTATTGTTCCTAATTTACATTAATTATATTGACACCAATACATACAGAAAACTGGCTAAATTTGCAGACGACACCAAGGTGGGTGGTGTAGCAGATACTGATCTAGCAGCACTGAAATAAAGGTAGCCGATTATGAGAAAGACCTCGGTATGTATGTTGATGCTTCCATGTCCCACTCTCGTCAGTGTGGGGAAGCAATTAAAAAGGCCAATAGGATGTTGGGTTACATCTCTAGGTGATTGGAGTTTAAGTCAAGGGAGGTGATGCTACGATTATTTAATTTCTTGGTAAGACCCCACCTAGAATATTGTGTGCAGGTTTGGTCACCATACCTTAAAAAGGACATTGCTGCCTTGGAAACGGTGCAATGTAGGGCTACAAGAATGATTCCTGGTCTTAGAGGAATGTCTGATGAGGAGAGGTTAGCTGAGCTGAATCTGTTTAGCCTTGAGCAAAGAAGACTAAGGGGGACATGATCCAGGTATATAAGATCAGGTCTGGATGCTGTTCAGCCAAATGGCTACTTCAATATTAGTTTAAAAACTAGCACTCGTGGCCATAAGTGGAAATTAGAGGGAGAATATTTTTAAATGAATTTGAGGAAGCACTTCTTTACACAGGGTGTAGTTAGAATATGGAATAGTCTTCCTGCTAGTGTAGCGCAAGCTAAAACCCTGGGTTCCTTTAAAGAGCTAGATAAGATTTTAACAACTCTGAGCTATTAGTTAAGTTCTCCCCAAACGAGCTTGAGGGGCCAAATCGCTGCCTCTCGTTTGTAAATTTCATATGTTCTTAATAATGATCCTCAAATGTTTACTCTAACAATGTCTGCATCAAAAATACCAGTGGAGAATATTATGCTCTTTCGTGTTTTTTTTAGCTAGTTACAGATGACATGCCAGTTATTTATTGAGCATGTATAGTGCCCTGGTAAATATTTCAGCTGAGAGTTTCGTTTTGACCACATAACTGTCCCGCCCAGCTCCTTTCTTCTTGGACTTCAACCTCTTGTCATATGTGTGGCACCTTTCCCCTTACCTGCCCAGAATACCACTCATTTTAGCAGGACAGCAGGATTTCTATATTGTATTTTGACAGGTAGGTCTTCTTTTTCCATAATCTGATATGTATGCATGAGAGATGGTGAGAAATCACAGGCTAGAAGACAAGAGGGTGCGGTCAGCTGTGGGTTTGAATTACACATGAATTCCAGGCTCTGGTCTCTGTATTATCTGGTAGTAAATGTCAGTTCAGGTTTTTGTCCTGGTCAAAGAGTTCACTTGAAAAACATTTCCTTTTACATTGCCTGAGTGTCTGTTTTGCATTGTTGTGTCTTTCTTTGCCAGTCATTTGTTGGTAAGGTTTGGACTCTGGCCTATTTAAAGGAGCAGGATGAGCGCTTATTTGCAAAAATGAAATTGAAGCGCTGTAATGCATGTAACCATTGCATAAAAGGGAATACTGAAAATATCAGAAAGGTTTTTCTATTTCCATATTGTGCTTATGGCGTAATTATAACATAATTAGGTTTGGTAAAAGTTCCTTCGGCAGGTATGATAGGCGTGTCCTACTTACTTATTTGTTGTACTAAACCTTTACACACAAACCATTTAAGTTAAGTACATGTAAAATGTTAGTTACATATTCAACATGTGATATTTTAATAGTATGTTAAATACCTGTATTTTCATTGTTACTATAGGGAAACACTGCTATCTAACCACAACAGAATATTGAAATAACACACAGATATTTTAAGAAGGAAGTGGATGTGGATTTAAAATTAATTGACTATTTTATTTATAACTGTACATTATAATTCTCTGCTTTTCATCAACAGTTACAGTATGATGTATAACTAGCAAGTTGATAGGTGTTCTAGCTGCTGTACAACAGAAACAATAAAGAATACAATTTTAAAAACCAATTTAAAATATAAAACATAGAAAACATTGCTATCAGGCCAAATGTGGTGTTTTTGCATACTGTCCCCTTGGTTCTGTCCAGGGGCAGCCACCCATGATAATCAGCTAGCACCATGCTGTTACATAAAACACCTGTACAGCCACTGCCTCTGTAACCACTGTCACAATATAGTACTGATTATGGGAAATCTGAGTACATTGAAAAGGGTCATAATCTTATAATGCGGAACTTGGTGTCCCCTCATGCACGCCACCTGTACTGGCATCAGGCAACGAACCCAGTCTGCAATAAAACGTGATGTCACAGCCTGATTTCTGCCCTCTGATTGGGTTTTTGCCGTCTGAGGTGGAGCAAAAGAACATTTTATTGTCCCTGCCTTATAAAAGAAAGTGGTGCCTAGAATAGAACTATAGAAAGATCCTTTGGATTTAGCTGTTTGCTTTTCATCCTTGGATGAAACGAAGGCAATAATGGGGTAAGAGAAACATTGAGATTAGCCCCAAAAAGAACGGAAGACAGCTGAGTCACAATGTAGATGTCAGAAATGTAGAAGTCTATACCCAGCTCTGGTAGGGTACATACACAGGTGAGACAATGCTCGTAATGGATGATAATGGATGTTATTGCTTTGTTTTTCTTATATATTCTGTATGTCGGCATTTTCTTTTAAAAAGTTTCAGGCAGCTGTACTTAAAATTATACTTAAAAGACTTACATGTTATGAAAGACGTCTCGTTTCTGCAAGAAAACCATGAATTTCTCATTTCTAAACCCTGAAATTCATATATTATTAATTTCTATCTTATTCTGTTTGTATTTCTTTGTATTGTCCATCTGTTTCAATACAAGCCCTTTTATGTTATGCTTCCATGTTCCTGTGTCAACCTTAAGGGTGCAGCACAAATACCAGATGCCTTAGTAAAATAACAGATTATCCTTTTTCTCCAAAACAAGGCAGTTTTACGCTTGTGTGGGCATGTGACAAGGTGTATATTTTTTATCAGGGACGCAGAAAGAAGAACCTATTGAGTGATAACACAGTGACGGGGAAAACCCAGTCTGATTCTGCTGGAATGGTGAGTCAACATGCACCCAGTCTTATTACTTCATTTGTATGTATCCCAACCACTGCGTGTTTCATGCTTATATTCAGAGTTGGGTAATTCAGGTCCTGAAAGTAAAAGTCCAGACCGGGGTTTTATTTCAACCAACCATTTGAGTACTCTGTGACTGTGACTCTTTATGCTCAATCTGTTGGTTGAAACAAAATCTTGGTCTGGACTTTTACTCTCTGGATCTTAATTACCCAACTCTGCTTATATTGTCCATATGCAGCCTCTCCGTCCTGTCCCGCCAAAACACCCCAGTTTTCTGCTTTATGCCTTAGCCTAGCCCCGTCTTAACTGGCTTGTTTTTGGTTTAAGGATGTGGGAATGTTAGAGATCCCAGTGGAGCTCTCTGCCAGACTGCGTGGAGCGACTGGTGAGTTCACCTGTGATATTGCGGCATGGGATGATATAGGCTGGACCGGTGAGAGATTTATTGAGGTGGACTTTAATCAGTCCGTTCTGGTCCTGTAGGCAGGCAGCTTGGTGGCCCAGTGGATAGCACCGCTGCCTCATGCCTCCAGGCCGGTGCCTTTACTTCCTGGGTTTCCCCCAGCAGTCAAAAAACATGCAAATAGCTGAATTCGTATCTTTAAATTGCCTTTAGTGTGTATATGAGCACATGCCTTGAAATTGGCTGGTTTCCACCCAGAGTTGCCTTGTGCTCTGTGTTTCTTGGGATAGACTTGCAAAAGCACTGTAATGGGAAAACAGGTATAAAAATTAGATAAAGTGGCTGGCGGCGTTTTTCAAACCATAGGGCGACGTCCTGGCTCTGGGGTCACGGAGGTGGCCCCTCCACAGGTCAAAGCGGAGCACAACCTCGCACTGCCCCAAGATATTAACAGCTTTCCCTTCTCCCGATATGCCAACACTGAGCTGAAGGTAAGACTGCACAAGCTGTTCATGTTAGAGTCACATCTGTGTTCTGTATAGAAATACAGAAAAAAAACGTTTGAAAATAAAACAAACCTTCTTATGCTCCTGGCTCAGGATGGATGGTGCCAGGCCGAAGGTTACCCTCTTCAGTGGCCTCTGACTTCCCTGAGCCCTGAAGATGCCAGCACGGCCCTAGAGATTAATAAATTGGTGAGCATGTCTCCATTGACCATACAACAGAGGGCACAGCAACAATGTCCAAGTCAGACCTGGTGTATGTAAAACTGCTTTGATTTTCTTTTTTGCTCAGATTCTGCGCTTTTCTGGGGACTCTGAACTTGGGGGATGGCAAGAGCAGATGCTGGGGAACTACATAATTGAGAAGGGGCTGGCAAAACCTTCTCTGAGGGATGAGATCCTGTCCCAACTGGTTTTTCACACTTGGGGCGTAGAGGGCGGGGAGACAGCCTTGCGGGGCTGGCTGCTGATGGCCTGCTGCCTGAGTACATTCACCCCCTCTCCATCCTTGGATAAGCCCCTGCTGAAGTATGCTGACTATTTTTGACATATTTTCCTTGATGAAAATGTTGCAGTGCCCTTAGCTTCTTGCCTTGGTGCTACTTATTCCATTCAGGTACGTGTCAGACCATGGGCCAGGAAAATACCGATCGCTATGCCAACATAAGCTGCTTACTTCCCGGCCACAACCAGCCCCAGCCTGCAGAGTCTATCCTGCTACACAGCTGGAGTGGACAGCCAATCAGAGGACAGGAAAAATGGTTCTGGATGTCGACACCTTCAATGGTATGTGGCATCACATATAGCAATACCTAAATAGCTATAGTTATCTGCCTGGAAAATATGTGTAGTTATTTGCATGAAAAGATAAATGGGATTCCAGCTTGGCCTTTTCATACATTTTTATTCAAGCATTGTAGTTCAGCTGTTTTTTTTTTGTGACAGAGGAAACACTAACAGCAGAGGTGGAATCCTGGACTACAGGGGAGCAGCTGGCCTTATGGGTGCTCAGATTCAGGTATAGTTTGCATATGATCAGCTTCATATTAAAAACACTATCAGGAAATTGCAAATGTTGCTATCCAAAACATGAAATTAGAATTGTTAATAGGGGAAGAATGGATGGTTTATTTGCATGTGAAGCTAAATATGTTTGTAAAGCAAACAAAATGGATGGCATTAGAGTCATGAAGAGGATTTATCCATCTGCCCATCTAACAGCTGGTCAGGTTTGCAGGCGGCCTGTAGTCTATCAGGCGCGTCCGAAATGGCATACTTATTTGCTATGTAGTAGGTGAAATATAGTATGTGAAGTGAGCAGTGTCCAAAACTTTAGTATGGATGAGACAGTAGGTGAACGGTACCCGAATGACATACTACATTCTGAGAAAGCGTGCAAACATTGGATGCTATGGTTTCCTAAAAGGCCACTGGAGCTGCAACCAGAGATGAAGAATGTTCTCAGAAATTTTTGTCAAGATGGTAGAAGTGCTGTCTCTGTACAACTTTAAGTGTAAAACAATAACCAGTTACGTAAGTTGATCCGACTCTGTTGTAGTTTTTAGCAGTTTTTAACATGCTTGGGGGTCAAGATCCTTCACTGGTACACACCCAGGTCAGGTAATGTGTGAGATGGTGCCTACAGTATGTCCGAGGACATTCATACTGTTCCCATGCGTACACAGAGTATGTACTACATTACAGTATGTATTACTGCGTAAGTATGTGATTTCAGACACACCCTGAGTCACCATGTCACCCACTCATAGTATTTAATATGTTACTTTATACAGAGGAGCTAATTCTACAAATGGGTTTAATCTATACATTCCCCATTATTACATCTTATTATATTTAATTTTTTAATATATTATCCGATGTAATGCATCTCTATATAGGGTAAGAAGTTTGGATAGGAGAAGATTTCAACTGATTTTAACTGATAAGCAAATAGACAAATAAATGAAGATAAATATATGGCTACCTCCGTACCTGCAGGGTTAAGGATCATGCTTGGGTATATTGGCTGATGGGCTGTTTTACAGGGGTTTGCCAGAAGCTCCGCGCGGATGGTCCGTTTCGCTCCTGGCTGGGGATCGTTGGACAGACCTGGCTGGCAGTGACTTTGTCATGGACCTTCTGGCGGAGGGGGAGGCTGATGTCCCACAGGCTGAGCTACTGCCACCACCACCTCCACCAGCCAATGAATACCTCTTCAGCTCCCAGAGGAACATGTGAGTGCCAAGCCACTGGAGATACAAAGCACCACGACAGGAAAAACAGCAATCGCTGCTGGGCCATGTGTATTCTAAAGGGCTGTGTTCATATCAGTGTATTATTTGGTAAATATGTGCATTAAGTGCACCTTCATAATGATTTATAATGCATTCATAGAACATTAATAAGCAGAATGTATGTATACTGTAACATAGAGGCTATATGCCATCAGTGAGATTGCTCACTGCATTTGTTTTGAAAGGAATGCAATTGAACTTGACCAATATTGCTCATTAAAGATATTATAAATGCTTTGTGAAGCTTTAATCTAAATTACCGTACAACATATGAATGCATTATGAAGGTGCATAATGGTTATGGCATGTCATACATGCATACATGACAAAGCAATACAGTGCTTTTTGAATTTGTTATGTATTGCTTATGAATATGATTTTGTTTGTTATATATATATATATATATATTAAAACTGTCACGTCTTGTCCTGTTCATTGAAAGTATTGTGAAATGATGCAGTTTATTTTCACCCTCCTTTAGGATGATGAACCTACATGATGATGAGTTCATTCCTCCTGCTCCATCGATGCCGGCCCCAGGACTGCCAGTCTCTGAGGCTTCCTGGAGCAGTAGTGATTACCCTTCTGTGGAAGGTGAGGGATGAGACATAGCAGGTGTGGAGTACTGGGCACATATCGAACATAAAGCTCTGAGCTATATATACTATATATCTTCTTAATTACATCATATTCTAAGTATATGTTATGATATTTCTAAATTGAAGACCATGTCGAAAAGACTGAAAGTGCCAATAGCCATGTTTATGCTCTGTTCTTCAGGTTCCAGAGGTCGGCAGTTTGACACTTTTGTGGATGACCTTTTTGACCCTGTGTGGGACCAAGCTGTGCCTGTCAGTCCAATAAGTACTATAAACAATAAGTACTATAAACAATAAGTACTATAAACAATAAGTACTATAAAATAGCTCGGTGTAAATGCTTTGACTTGCTTATGCTTTTCAGTAATAAACAATGAGCTTTCTGTGACGTACTGCATGCAGGTATCTTTGGTCTCTCCATCTGTTCAATCTCCTTTTTTGAGGCAGCGTTTATGGTTTTAACGCATTGATGTCTGTGCTTTAAGGACGCGGAGAGAATGGCTATGCTGAACCGACGTTTGAGGGGAGGGGGTGGTATTGGCCCCATGCATCCTGGAATATATCCTACCACGGGTATGCAGATCGTGTCACTGATACCTTCTGTGGAGATCTAGGTGTTCCTTGTTATATAAATATGAAAATAAGGTTCCCCCATTCTTGCAGGTGTTCCAATGACAATGCCAATGGCAGGTTATTCCATGGGTAAGACAGAACCTGCTGACTGGTGTTCATGTTCCACATAAAAGTTCTGGTCCGAAAACTACAGATCCAGACCAAAGTTTTGTTTCAACTGACCAGTTAAGCATAAAGGGTCACAGTCACAGAGTACTCAACTGGTTGGTTGAAATAAAACGTTGGTCTGGATTTGTACTTTCTGGACCTGAACTTTCCACCTCGGCACATATTATACACTTCACCGATCCTCCTGTGCAGAGTAATATAAACTTCCAGTGCAGTAATGCTTTTACAGCATCAACAACTGACACAGACAAGAATATTAATCATTATCATATTAGATAGCTTGTATCTGTTTACATATGTTCCCTTAGTTAAGGTCAATCGTTGTTTTAATATTTAAATATTTGTCAGAATGTCTCTAGCAAATCTTATAAACCCCAAGTCCTATTTGTTCTTCCAGTCATCTGCTGATCTGACCCCCTGGCATAATGAGTTTTGCCCTTAAGTACGCTGACATCCTCATGTCTTTTCCGCAGGGATGCCCGCAGTGCCCAGCTATCCAGCTGTGCCTGCCATGCCGGCAGCAGCCCCAGTGTTTCCCAGCATGCCTGGTAAGGAGCTGGACCACGCCGGCCTAAAATGATAGTAGTACTGCCTTTCACTGAATACATTCATTTCTTAATGAAAAGGTATGATGATGCAACCTGCCATGCCCCAGCCTGCACCAGTAATGGATCCCCAGCAGATGGCAGCACAGCAACAGGCCTTCATCAGCCAGCAGGCTTTTGTCATGGGAAGTGTTTTTATCGAAACATCGAGATTTTGTGTAGACAGAGACATCCGAGTATATATATAGAATATATCTATATTTTTGTTACAGGCTCAACAGATGACTCTGCAGGCCATAAGCCTTTCACAGCAGCAGCAGCAGGAGCAGCTACAGAGGGAGCGGCAGCAGCAGCAGGAGCAGCTACAGAGGGAGCGGCAGCAGCAGCAGGAGCAGCTACAGAGGGAGCGGCAGCAGGAGCAGCTACAGAGGGAGCGGCAGCAGCGTTTGGAGCAGCCACCGCGACAGATAGTGCCAAGAGCAGCACCTGTACCTTCCCCTCAACCATCTCCCAAGACTGCTCCCTACCAGGAGACCCCAGAGTCTCAGCCTAGGCACAGTACCCCAGAGGTACACCCCTTACAAACCCTTAAGGCTGAGTTAAACTTTTCCATAGAATCTACGCCATCGGTAGCTGTGTACCCAACACCCTAGCATGACATTTGTAGTTAAATTTCTGGGGGGATGGGTGCCAGCCTACAGCACAGGCTATGGCACAGGCTACAGCACAGGCTACAGCACAGGTTACGGCACAGGCTATGGCACAGGCTACGGAAGTATAGATCAGCCTTCATATGCTAAGCTAAGTCAGACCACTATTGTCATGGCTCATGTATCACTTTTTTTTAAGGCTGTTTGAATGCAAATATTTCTACAGTCAATTTTATATGTGTATTGACAGCCAGAGGAGATTGTAGACACTTCTACGACTGATGAGCTAGAATCCTTTAAAGAGAAGAGAGACTTTTTCCAGAAGATTGGTAAGGAGAATGAAACAAGGCCATGGCTGTCTTACTCCTGGTAACCTTCAATATGTTTGACCATTTAAGCTTGTGGAGCTTAAAATGGAGCTGGGAGCAGCAGTCTATTTGTTGAGGTTAAATTGTTTAGTTGGACAAAGGTCACACGATCAAATCAGTTTCAGGCATAGCACAATTTAATGTGATGATACGGATTATTTTGTATGTATTTGTAATTGCTGGTGAATCACACACATGAGTTGTACCATTTGTATTATTTATAGCCAGGAACACACAGTACTTTACTCTGACCTAAAGAAGACACCATAGAAAGTATGTTATTAACCACAAGTCCAGCACTTTAATAGGAAACAAGGCAAGATAAAATGCATTATTTATTTTTAATGTTTTTTACATAGCCACACTTACTAATAGCATGTAATATTTATTCATATTCACAATCAAATGATACTGTGGTCATGCCCTTTATTTTTATTGAACTTGTGATTATTATTGTGTTTTCCCTTGCTTTTAATTCCTCCCCTTTGTCTCAGAAGGATCACAAAAAGTGAATCCTCCACCAAAGCCTCCGAAACCACGGCCATCCCCCCTTCAGACGGTGGAAAGGACAAGCATGCCGGAAGAGCCCAAGCCTCCATCTTCAAGGACACCCAAAGGTCAGACTCTCACTCAGGAATGGCAACCCTGCTTTGGCCATTAAACATTTAAATAACTGACTGAATAAATTAAGACCTTTAAAAATAATGTTGTAAGCACGTTTTAAGATCAAACTGGATTAGCAGATGAGGAATGAAAAAGGACTTTGCCTTAAATGTTCAGATATAAAAATGCATAACGAGATAAATTACCTAAAGCTCTTTTGATAAGAGCTTCATCTAATTGCCATGACCCTGTAGCATGCTGGGTAAGTGGTTATGTAAGATGGATGGATGGATGGATGGATGGATGACTTGTACTACTGGTTATATTTACAAAGTGTCTTTTTACAGCTAATTAAAAAGATAGTTTACTGTTTTTACAGATTACTGTTTTGGATATAATTCCATCTAAGGTAGATAAAACTTTTCCCCCCCCAGCAAAGCCACCTCCTGAACCAAAACCAGTGAAAGATGACCCCCCCTCTCCCACCTCTCCTAAACCACAACCTAGCAGCCACATACGAGAAATTGTCAAACTGTATCAGAGCCGCCCTCTTCCTGAGGCTGTACCATTCAAACCTGTGAGGTCAGTTTTTAAATATAATTATATATAATATAATTGTTTCTTGGCTCTGTGCAGCTGATACAGAGTGGGTTTAAATTATGTTAATTTATTGGATTTACTAACTGACTATCAGTGGAAATTCTAATAATTGTGACAGATACAAGCTTCATGAAAGCACAGTGAAACTTCTTCATTTTAAGGGGCAATAGCATTTAATTAAGCAGAATTGTTCATCATTCATTAAGTCAGAAGACTTGAAGATATGGTGCAGCTGGAAATTATGGCTAAATGATGTCTAGCCATAAACGACAGCGATACAATATAAACCAGTGAACCCAAATCTAGTGATGTCATTGATTTTGTTGATTTTTAAGGATTCCTGCAAAATCTTTTGTGAAGAAAAATGACCCTAAAGAAGAGGCACTGGCAATTCTAAAGGCAAATGCACCAGCTGTGCCTTCCAAGGTGAGAACTTCACTTTGTCGTAGCATTTGGGTCTAGCACCAGTTAACCGTACATCCAATAGTACACAAGTACCAGAGTCTAAGAGTCTTAAAAGATTGTAGATAAGCCATTTTTCATAAACAAATCATTTTGTTGATTCACACAATAAATATCCGTATTACTTTTTAAAGTATTATAACATAGCACACCTTCCCAAAATTATCATCTTTCTTCAGTTATACAATATATATATATATATTATATACAGTATATAGTAAATATTAAATATTATCAACACAAAATAATAATATATATATTATACATTATTGTAGTGCTTATAAGTAGGCATTTTTTGAAGTGATTCAAATTCAGTATCACAAGGAAAATACCGTTCCCCCCTTCGTGTGATTTTAACCAGCAACCTCATCCAAAGTGCTGCATTTTAGCTGCTACTGTATACCGATACCTGTGCTCTCTTTGTACTCTTCGCCAGAAAGAACAAGTTCCTCTTCCAGCGCTTCAGAACCAAACATCAGTGTCCCCTCCTCCAAACTCTCAGAGGTCCATCTCAAAAGAAATGAGGCAAAAGCAGCAGTCCTTAGCTGACCTTTTCGGCTCTACCCGCTTCAAAAACCCACCCCCTCCACCAAATCTCCCCCCTCCACCTCCTGAGCCCCTCCCTGCCTTCATCCCAGACCCTCCACCAATGATGGCTCCAGTAATCAGTGAGTATCAAGGCTGCAGTTTTTCTCCTGATACACCAATGAAGCACATACAGTACATGCACAAAAATCAGACTAACAACCATCATAAAATTCCTACCTAGTCTTTAGGCTCTGTGTTCCTGTCCAGCTCATCTTGACCTCTATGTTCTGTTTTAACAAGGAGATCAACAGCCCCCATCCAAGCAGCTACGACTGTTTGTACCCACACTCACATCAAGCAACCTGTAAATATGTCAGCACTGTTAGGAACCCTTTCCAAGCCGAATGTCATACTCATTGTGTTTGTTTCTGCAGGTGAACGTAAAAGACTCACCAGTGAGGAGACCATTGTGTCACAGCTAGACAAATTCTCAGCCAGTGTTTACTTCTCATACTCTAACATGCCTGGTAAATTCTTCCTGCGAAAAGAGGTAGGTACTACAGCTCGATGAAAAAAGTAGCTGCAGTGTATTTCAAATGAATAGAATTAAGGAGAATTAACCATGAATGGCTCTCAATGTACTTGCACCATTTCCCCCGTATGTTTCAGGTGTTCTACCCCCGGGAGAAGTTTAACCATCCTTATGTCCTTAACCTTCTGTGCGAGCAAGTTAGTAAGAATTTGCACAAATTACTGATTTAAACCTGACAGGACTGTATCATGTCCTGCTGATCATTCTCCTGGGTCTGTTTGTAGTTCCCTGCCTAACGTTTCAGTTACCTCTGATTTTGGAATTCTAGACATCCGTTGAGATTTATGATGTGCTTTGCCTCCAGATCATGAGGGACACCTACTCAGACTCCTGCATACGTATCTCCAGAGAGGAACGGCGGAAGATGAAGGACCTGCTGGGTATGGAATAATTCAACTACAATAAGAAAGTAATACAGAAATAGTGATTCTGTATGTGAATATAGATGTGCCTTCAAATCATCGTTTTATATGTCTCTAGTTCAGACTGACGGTCAAATGAGTCTTCTTTTGCAAAGCGCTAACTGCATATGACGTTCCACTCATTGTCATATTCACATGGACACATCGACATCTTCTCCAGCTGGATTTCACATAGGCACCAGTATCCGCGCAGTGCAGGATGACACTGTAAAGAAGAGGATCATAATGGCAGCCCGTGACAACTGGACCAATTACTTCTCACGCCTCTTCCCCGTGACAGTCAGTTGCCCAGGAAGCTTCTCACATGCACCCACACACGGTTCGCCTTCTGAAGGCATGCCTCCCTCTGTTCTCATTACTGTCTCTTCTGTCAGGGTGGGAATTCTGGAGACACAGAGGCACTGGGGGTGTCGCACCGTGGGATTCGCTTGCTGCGAGTTGCCAGGGCGTCAGGCATCAACCCAAAACACCTCAAGGTGCTCCGTAGCTACAGGTAGGCTGCATCTTTTCCTACCTCTTCTACTTCAGTAATCCTTTACAATTAAAACAGTTACCCCTGATTAAAAATCACACACAAAGGCAGACTACCTTCTTGGCCTCTTAAGGTACAACCACGTTACTCATTTGAGTATGTACTATGTCAGATCCTCTTATCATTCAGTGTCAGGAGATATGAATGTATGTGTTTTCCTGCTGGCATGGGTACAGCTACGCAGAGGTGCTGTCTGTGGAGCAGAGAGGGCCACACGTCATGGAGTTCCTGCTGAAAAGCGAGCAGCTAGAGCTACATTCCCCTCGGACCCCACAAATTGTTGCTATGGTTCGGTTCTTCATTACTGAGCTTCTCAAGGTAAATCCCTGAGGAACATCTCGATTTTTTTTTTGCCTGCGCTGTTCCCCCTCGGCCGGCTTCATCTAGTCTCAGCTCATTTTCTTCTTCCTCTTGCCATTATGCTCACCCTGACAACCAAGGAAATCGAATGAATAGTACATGGAACCCATTGTCCCTTTGCTGGTGACGTTTCAGGACTCAGCCCATGTGGTGGCCCTAAAGAGCTACGTGACCGATGATAAGAGCCTGCTAAGCTTCCAGAAGGGGGACATCATTAAGCTACTCCCCATGGAAGAGACACAAGCAGGTACAGCAATGCCCTGGATAATACTGCAAAAAAGCCCACTTGATCCCATAAAGCACAGTATGCAGCTTAACTCAACATAACCCAAAAATACATCCTTTTAAACCTAGCTTTGAGAAGTTTTATTGGTGACTTAAAGCTCTCGTCTATAATGTATTATAATGGTGGGTATAGGAATTAATAAAGCATTACAGCATCTTCTATTGACAGTCATAAGGCACATAGTGATGATTATAATACTTAATAAGTAATGCATTATAATGGTTGTTATGAGCATTAAGGATGCTTTGTACTGCATTATAGTGCATTGTCAATGAGAGCTTCATAAAGCATTCATAATGCATAATAAACATGGCTATGATGTGCTATGCCCTTTTATAAATATTTATAAGCATATTTATAATGCTTTATGGGTGCATTATAATGTATTCTGAATGTGTTCATAGATTCTTATAGACATGGCATTCATATAAAATGTTACCATTTCATTTTTTTTTACTTTTAACTTTCATGTTTTTTTCTTTTGATCAGGTTGGAAGTTTGGCTCCATCGGTGGGCGCTGTGGTCTTTTCCCCGCCAAGCTGACCCAGCCTGCGGCCCCCCCAGACTATCACTGCACCCAGATCGAACGGCGTGACGAGCTCCGAAAGAGCTTGCGAGTGAAGCCTCCCTCGGACCCGCCACAGAAACAGTCGACGAGGTCCTCACCTCCAGACACCCCCGTGATGGGCGAGCACAGGCATGAGGGCTCGCCGCCGGTCTCCGATGGCGACGGCCAGGAGTTCTTCCTCATGGAGTTTGCAACAAAGTACTTCAGGGAGGCTGCGACGGGGTGAGGGGCGTGGTCAGCTCTCATTGATCAATTTAGGCTTCATTTTAAATGTTTTAAATGGAATCTACCATGCCAACTCTACTAAAAAACCCTATCAGAGAATAAACGAAAAGCCCAAAAACTAGCTCCCAGTTCATGAAATAATGACATAGTGTCAGTATTTTCTAACTCCTCTTCTCTCTTATTTCCCCATGCTTCTCACAGATTGGGCTGGAAAGGTTTAGCTGCAGAGGGAAGAAGCTGTGCAGAGATGGTTCAGCACACAAAGGTTGGATTTGTTCCACTTAAACCAAAGAAAAAGATTAACAGGAATAAAATAAATCCAAGTAAGACCATTGTGGTAACAATATTTCTCATGGTCAGGTTCCCATTCAGGAATCCCTGATCTTCTACTCAGACAATGAGCTGAACGAGCTTGCAGCACAGTGCTTCATGAGTGAGTTTCTCTGCCCCTTACAGAAACCTGCTTACATATTCCTTCTACCCATATCATTCACTTTTCATTTGGTTCCCTCACTCCCAGGCGTGATGCGATTTATGGGGGACCAGCCTTTGATGAAGCACCAGACGGAGGGAGATTGTTTAAACAGCATCTTGCAGGTTGGCCTCCTTACATACTGCATACAGTCACACATCTCCATATTAAAAAAATAAATAAACAGCTTGGTTCATATAAGGCTATCAAGCATTTTTATTTCATTTATGACAATGAATGATGTTTTTTATATGTTCACTACAAGTCAGTGTTTTATCTTATATGATAATGGCCACATTCATACCAAAAAACATACTTGACATGTAACACACTCAACAGAAAAGTCTATAGGAAATATATAAAACATTTCCAAGAACTTTACATTTTACCATATGTGATTACATATGGCTTTAGTAGGAAATATTTGTTTATGGCTTATTATTTCTTAATAAAGTTTTATATTGTTTTTATATTACTGGAATGAAAGACACATATTATCTCTCCAGATTCAGCTGGTTTAATTAGACATGAGAAAATTCAGTGAGATGAACTCAGCTATGTTCTGTTCTCAGAACTCAATGTGAATGCATAAACTGAAAAAGAAAGTGTCCTTTTCAAAATACTAGTTGTGTGGAACCACTGTCCATGATTCAGTTGAGTTCATTCAAGGAACTATGCATAAAAAGTAATACTGACAAAACATTCATTTAATATATATTTTACATGCATAAAGGGCATATATAACTAATGATACATACATTTAATATGGACTGTACATGAATGTAGAACTTATATGTTTGACAGTAGATTTATTTAATAAGTTTTACATCAGGGGTGGGGAACCTGTTCCATGGAGGGCCAGTGCGGGTTTTTGAGATGACCTCTGAATCAGCCAATAATAAAACAGTGGTTCTCAACTCCAATCCTGTAGACCCACTGTTATTGGCTGATTGAGAGGCCATCCCAAAAACCCGCACCGGTCCTCCATGGATCAGGTTCCCTACCCCTGTTTTACATAAAAAAAGGACATATATGTCTAATGCCCCATTAAGTTAATATGAATTTTGCCCTGTGACCCTGAATAGGACAAGTGGTTACAGAAAATGCATGGATGGATATTTATTTTGAGTGTCATATAAAAAGTCTATATGATTGGGGTAAAAAATGTGTTATTTTAAAAAATAACTTTTCCATATGGCTTGCTTAATGACCGGGATATGTTCTGAGAAATGTGTCAAGTGATGTCATTGTTGTGTGAACATCATAGAGTCAGGGTGACAAACTCTCACGCAGACTCACGCTTCCTGACTCACGCTTTCTGAATCTTTCTGACTGCATACAGTATGCAATTCCAAGGATTTGTGGCTGATTGGGATTAACTTGTATCTTCCTACTACAGCTGGGGAAGGAGAAGGAGTTCCTGAGGGATGAGATCTACTGCCAGGTGATAAAGCAGACGACCCAAAACCCACGCAAGTGAGTTGCGGTTCAACAGAAGTATGAGTATGTTTGTGCGACACCTCTCCCAGAAGCCCTGTAATGCCTCTCGTGTCTCCATGCAGGGAGAGCTGTACCCTTGGCTGGCGTCTGATGAATCTGGTGACAGGTTTCTTCCCATGCTCGAGCACCCTGAGGCCCTATATTGTCCGACATCTGAAGGACTGCGCCCAAGACACTGCACACCCCTATCAGGGTAGGGACCACTTTGACATAGACCCACCAACCTGGCCTGCAGAAGTACAGTATATGAATGCATACGCTAGGGCTGTCATTTTTTAACGGATACTCCAACATTTGTTTGCGCATGATGTGAAAAATTCTATTCAAAGTATAATTAACAAATTAGAATGTTAACGTGTCAGGGAGGCATTAGACCATTTGTTGTAATTTTGTTGTTTGTTGTTTGTCATCTATGGAGCCTCAACAAGGTCAGGCAGGAAAATAATTTTCTGAAATAGTTTTGTGATCCAACTACACTTGACCACTTGCTATTTGCTGCAACGTGAAGGTATGGATAAACCTAAATAATACAAACATTTCCTGTAAAGTGTGCTGTAAGCATTAAACGGTGGGGGACAATGTACAGCATGTAACTTCAATATTATGCATTTTAATATGTATTTATTAGTAATTCTGCTGTGTCCACTCACCGCCAGTGACTAAGCAAGACAGCTGGGCTACTGAATGTGAAGTGCACACAAACACTGAAATATATTACAAACATTGAAAGATATTACAGTCGGAAAACTGCATATAAAGCTAACTTTACCGTGGTGTTGGAGTTAAGGTTTAAACTCGAAACCGCTTTCTGGATATATATTTCAGTATATATCTGCATATCCCCACAAACATCAAGTGAGAATATAAGGAGGTATACCCGGAAGTGGGTTCAGGTTTAAACCTTAACTATGACACTGTGGTAAAAGGTGAATTTTAATTAAAATTTCAATGTTTGTGTGTGCACTTCAAGTTCAATAGCCCAACTGTCTTGTTTACAGTCACTGGTGGTGAATGGGCATATAAAAACACATATATTAAAGTTACATAATGTGCATTGTACCCTACAGTTTATTGCTTAAAGCACACTTTGCAGGACATGTGTGTATTGTTTATATCTATACTTATTAGTCCATTAACTCCATGTTTCGTACTTTAAATGAACACAGTACAGTCATCATTAGTAACGCAAAACTATTAAAAAAATATTTTCCCATCCAGTTTGTGTGACATTACACAAACTGTTAATTAAATACTGAAAAGTATAATTCATCATGTTTTTTTTTTTTCTTTTTTGGGGGGGGGGGGGGGTTCACAGGTATTAAAATATATTCCAATGAATTGCGTGACATTTGAAATTAGTTCAAACTTGATTTTTGAAAAATGCGACAACCTTACAGCAGGGGTCTCAAACTCCAGTCCTGGGGGGCCGGAGCCCTGTGTAGCTTAGATCTTTCCTTGTTCCACCACAAATGATTCAGCTCAAGAGCTGTGTGGTAATTAGCACAAGGAGTTGAATCAGGTGTGTTAAATGAGGGTGAACCAAAAACTGTGTAGGGCTCCGGCCCTCCAGGACTGAAGTTTTAGACCCCTGCCTTACAGCAAAGGCCGCAAACTCAAATACCCCGGCGGCCACTCCATATATATACATTTATAATCTCCTAAACAGACACCAGTAAAAATGGTTGAACGTGGTGCCAGGAAATTTTACCACCGCTGATTAGCAGAATGACGTTACATTGATCGGCGGGCTAGGTTTAAAAATGAGGTACCGCGGGCTGGATAGAGCCATCTTACAGGCTGGTACTTTTGAGACGCCTGCTTTACAGACTCTGACACCCATGTGTCTGGCTCTGCAGCTGCTCTTATTGTATGTAGGACATATTTAGGAGTTCTTCATTCAGTCCATGTGTTCGTGTCCTTCAGAGCTGTCCCGCACCGCTGAGGAGAATCTGACACGCTCCCTGACCTACGGTGGCCGCAGACACGTCCCCTCTCAAGTGGAGATCGGTGCCATCTTGGTATGACAAACATACAAGGGCAAACAAAGAATCCAAACTCTAAGATACCACCCGCACATACAAAAGTACGGATCAAAAGTCTGCTCTAGAGTGAGAGAGACAGACTGAAAGAGAGAAACATAAAAACACTATAGACTTATTTAAAGCTACTTTCCCACATTTTACCTAAGTGTATGGAAATGTGCAAGTTATGTCTTGGTGTAGGATCTGATTAAAGGTGTTGCTTAGTAAATAAATGATCGTTGAGTTGACTAGTGCACTGCAGAGCAATTCTGAGGTTGTGGATCAAAACCTCCCTTGAAGATTATAGCTAAGCAGGAGAGGGATTTTTTTAATTTTAGGAAACACTTTTCTTGAGGCGGCACGAATAATGTAGTAGTATACTCTTACTTAATGTATTAATTCATGACAGATCATGTATTTCATGCACTAATTTAGTACATTATTTCATCATTTGTTTTCGAGTAGTAACTGAGTAACTAAGTTGTTTGTGCCCCCTCAGATAAAATGTTATCAAACATCATTTATGTTTTACTATTTTATTTTACTGTTTTTTTACTTATTAAATGAGGGAACCTCATTTCATTGCCTGCAGTAATTGCGGTAACTGCTGTACTGTCCTGCATCTTATAAATAATCTTTGATTTTTATTTGATTTGAGGATGCAGACTTGTACCCTGACCTCACAATGCTATTGTTCTTGTACCACTAAGTGGGGTACTTACCAGCAGCTAATTCACTAAAATATCCAGTTACAAATATGGGTAAAAGCAATATAATAGGCCTATAATAATGATAATCCAAATAAATTTTACCTACTTATCCTGATTAGGGCTTTGGGGTGATAGTAATAATAACAACAAAAATCAGGAGTGTTGCTAGGATCTTCTCAAACTGAGAGCATCACTAATAAACATCTGAGCTAAGCAACATGATTCCGGGCTTCTTCAGATTCACTCAGGCTTCTGCGTCATCATCGTCTGTAGTACAGCAAAGCTCCAGTTACTTGGGTTTCATTAGTGATTTAGAAGCACAACTTGCTGCCATCCTTTGTTAAAATCTTTTTACACTCCTAACTGTACCTGCAGGCAGGCAGAAGCTCGCGGCGCTTCCCCATCTCGCTCCCGGGAGGAGAGGAGTTCTCGTGTAAGATGCGCAGCTTCAGTGTGAGTGCAGCCGCTCTCATCCGCCTTCAGCCGCGATTTCGCTCACGAGTGGAACCAAACGCTGCATCTCTGGCTTCTCCGCACATGCTCTGTGCGTGTGCAGGTGGCGCTGGACGTGATGAAGGAGCTGTGCACGGAGATGGGCGTGGTGAATCCTGCAGAGGTCATGGAGTTCTCCATCCGAGCTATCCGGAGCAAGGGTGAGCGTACATGACAGCGGTACTGCAGTCTGTCACAATAGAAAGGAAGGTGTCAAATGACAACTAGGTTACTCACATTTTGGTTAAGGCCCTGAAAAGGGTTGGGCCAGATATGACAAGATTTTCTAAAAGGATTCACATACTGTGTTGTTGTTGTAACCTTGAGATGGACACCACAATTTAACACATTTAATTACAAAGCTTTACAATAATGTCCAATTTGACTAAAAGTGTTTAATTAATAATTATAACATTCACACCCTAATTCACCTACTTTATTACCGTCATTTTGATTCAACAGAAGCTTTTGTTTTTCTTTTCTAATTTTCTAATTTCTAACTTTCTTTTCCTCCTACCTATTTTTTTGCTTGGTGTCTTAGATGAATTCGTGCGCCCCATTCAACCGGATGAGTACTTGTTTGACTTCATTTTGGACAGTGACTCCATTATCCTCTCATTCCGCCGGATTATCTGGACGACGCAGCTGCACTTCGAGAATGACCTGTACATCGCGTTCCACTACCAGCAGGTGCCCCTTTGGCGTACAGCGTACCCACACTTAGGTGCCTGTGTAAATGCACACGGGCAAGGGGGCGGAGCTAGGAATTCTGGGCCCCCTGACAAAATGTGACCTCGGACACCCTCAAACATACTCTCAGTTACAGTTTTACACTTGACTGATTTTGTGAATCAATCCTTCCATTAGAGGGGAATTAGTAGATTAAATTTGTTGAATTTGTTAAATTCAGATTTGTTCAATTTCTACATTATTATGGCGTACTCAGTAGGCTGATATTCATGATAATGGTTGTATATTATTTCTAGGTTTTATACCTGACATTCTATAATTTTATGTATTCAAGGTGCCCTATAAAGTGCTCTGCCCTCTGAATCTATCATTGTATCCATGCTGCCCTGCACATGGTCATTAAGCACAGTGAGTCTTGTTGTCTTCTGCCTGCTAGGTCCTTGCTGATTACCTTGAAGGGAAGCTTTTGCTTCCAGTCAGCGGTGCCTCTGGTCTCCAGGCAATGACAGATATGGCTGTTTTTCAGCACCTGGCACTGGGACTGAAAACCCAACCCACCCAGTGAGTTTGTTATATCTAATCTCTCATCCAGGTAGACTTCATTAACTGTTGTATAAACAGAAAACAAAAATTAGTAAGTTATCATTTCCGGAGCCCTTGATTGTAGCTCAAGGCTGGAAAGAGAGGAATTAAAAGAGACATTTTTCTATAAATCTGTGAAATACTGAATGTTTATGTAATTATCTCACATTACATGCACTATATAGAAAATGTGCATGTATGTAATGTGTATTTTTCTGTGCAGGCATGAGTTGAAAGAATACCTCCCTCAGACTGAGAGGAGCAAAGCCAAGCTTCAGCAGCTGCATTCTGCAGTAAACAGACAGCTGGATGGCGCACAACATTTAAGCCCCCGTGATGCCAAAATACGCTGCCTTGGTAAATGCACTCGAGTAACGTTCACAAGCCAACGTGCCTCCAGCCTTGGTTTTGACATGTTCAATGACCTTAACGTCTCTCTCTTTTCCAGAAACCATCAGGAATCTGCCTCTCTTTAGCTGCAATATCTTTCAGGCCCAGAAAGTCAGCCACTATGAGTGTCCATCCCCTTGCCTTGTTGCTGTCAATGATGAAGACGTTTTGTTTTTGAATCCGAGAACACAGGTACTCAACTCTCAGAGCACAGCTAGCATGAAATACTGGCACGGGTGTTTCTCCTACGTTCTTCCATGACACTCAAATAAAAATGGGGCTGTATTTGCAGATTTACAATAAATGCTACTCTCGTTGCCGTTTTAGGAGATTGCTTTCAAGATCCCTCTGACTGAAGTGCAGTCCCTCCGATCAAAAAAAGAAAAGTTGCCTCAAATGGAAATAAGCTATGGTCACCCCACCTACCCAAAAACAATAACAATCCACCTCAAACAGGTACAGCAGATAACTTGTCATGACAACACATTTTTGAGTCAGTGCTAGATACTTTCCCTCTGTCCTATATGCAATTAAATAAGGTTGTGATACATTATCTCAGCAACATGTGACATTTCCTGCAGGCCAAAGAGTTATGCCACACCATTGCAACCATTATGGAGGAGCTGGTGCGACCACAGCCCGGCAGCACTAGGTCAAGATCGTCTACTGGGACACCATCTCGGCACCCGTCGGCCATGTCCTCAGTGAGCTAAAGCACCACTGCTTCACATACCACCTGAGTGGTGAGGATAGTCCAGCTAGTAAATAGTACGTATGACTGGTACTGAAGACCCAGTTGCTGCTCACTGATCAAAGGCAACTGCTGTCATACTTTGATGTTCATAAATGAACAAGGGGAAACCATCCAATATTGGTAGTGACTTTTATAGAGATATTTCTATAATCACTTATCAAAATATTTCAGTTAGCTCATGTATTTTATTTGTACCGGAAATGTTTGGCTTAAAAGTTCTATATCCAGCTTTTAAATTCACAGTAAACTACTAATAACCTGTAATTTTTAAAAAAATTCCTTTTCGAGATTGAATACTACTTTGCACAGTGTAAATTTTATACATTGCAATCAACAAATGCAAAAATTAAAAAGCACTTTTATGAGATTCCTTTCACAGTATTTTGAGATGTGGGTTTTATTTCCTTTCTTTTTTCTGTCTATTGACTTCAATGACTGCAATTTATAAATTAAACTGTATACTTCATAGCATTGCAGAAGTAAGTTTTAAGATGGTAGGTTTTTTTTAATGATGGTGGGGATATTTAGGCACAGTCCTCTTTTAGGGAAATGCTATCACATAGTTATATTTTTACTTATTGACTTTGTGTCTGTGATTGTAAAATTTCATGAGGTTGAGAACCAAAGGGCCTCTATGAGATACATTGGTAAATATGAACCATCAATCAAATGTCTCAATAATGAATTGTATTAATTTTTATAAATAAATTGTCTGATATGCCTCGGTGATAAAACTGGAAACCCTCTGTGAAAAGTGAGGACAAAATAAAACTGTATAGTAATAAAGATGATACAGCATAACGTTTACTGACCATATACTACCATCTTATGACAGGTTTACCTGTCCCCCATGTTTTCAAGGATTGCCTCTGATCAGCTCCAGATCAGTACTCTACTGTGCAAAAGTCTTATGTAGTTAAAGGACATGTTTAAGGCTATTTATCTGGATAGTAAGTGTATATTTGCTCAGAACAAAAAAAGGCAATTTAACAGGGACAACATCCTAACCCAGTGAGCCACGGCCACGAAAGGTAAGTCCTGTATCACAAAGCCGGATTTCTTGCTTAACCGGATAACTTGTTGGATTTAAGGTAGTCTGGCCTAAATGTAAGTGACTGAAGATAAAGTCAATCTTCCTTTGTGATATAGGCCCCAGGGGTTTGACCCAAAGCACTGCTGGGATTCAGACCCAGGGTCTTCAATATACTCTAGTAAGTGAGGCACTTTAACGAACTAAGCCACGGTGCCAGATCCCTTGCATTACTAGTTGCTTTAACTTTGGTAAATAATAATAATTTCTAACACAGAACAAACATGCAGCTTGCCTGTGTCTTATCCTTTTGTCATTAATGAATTATTTGTTTTTTTAAATTAACATATTAAAGGATCAAAATGACATCGCTCACTTTCTGGCACTGAATCATTCCAGTTCATTAATTTCTCTTGCTTGGTGACAGTTTGCAGTTTAGACACAGCTAACTATGGGTCTGGCCCACCGTCTTCATACTGTGCGTTTGTTTGACGTAGTGAATTTGATCTATATGTTGAGGATGTGTATTTTTTTTTTTTTACTTATTACTTTTCGTTTGTAAAGTTGATTGACTAGATATGTGAGACCGATAATATATAAATATATTTTAGGGCTGGGCGATATATCGATAAAATATCGTATTATGATGATGGACATTCATATTGTGATCAATTTGAATACTGCATGCGGGACATGGTTCATATATTGGTAACGATACTCCTTCCTGAATGGTACATGGTGACGTATACAAATAACCAGGGGCACCTTTCCCAGAAGCTCTAGATTGCATTCAGTTGCATTCTTCCTACTACGTAAGTTGCAAACTATTATGCTTTTGGGAAACGCACCCAGGCATGGCACATCTACAGGGCATAATTATGCAAGTTCATAGGTTCACACGATGCCAGTTGTGAAACTGCTGGTCTAGAACTGCTGCTGTCCAAGCGGGTGTATCATGTAGGTGCAGGAGAATGGACAGGACAGCCAGTCGTAAAATGACCCACTATCTTAACTTGTTATACTGTATATGTGACGGACGACTACAATACCGAGATACGCTCAAACTGACTTGCGTTCAAAGGTCCCAGATGCGAACGTAAGTCAAGGCAAGGCTGTCGTCTCGTTCAATAAGTGGGCCTTTGGATCAGCGAGATCGCCACCTGCTGGTGTAATCTTGAACAGGTAGTAAATCATTGAACCAAGGGAACGTCGCTGACGTTTACAAGTTTACATCTTTTCCACTAGAGTAAAGTAAAGCAATATAATGATGAGGGAGAATATCAGTGAGTGGTGGCAACCGCTAATTTCACAACGATTATTAATGTAAGGCGTTGTGTTCTTTGGACATGTTAGCTAGTCGTTGTTTTGAGCTGGCCTGTGGAAAAAAAAACTCATTAAAGGAGAAATCAAAATAGAAAATTTGATTATTTTCCATTGTTCAGGCACGTGAGCTGTTTGAAAGAGTCAGCATGCTTATCGAAAATTAACAGAAATGTTCATGGTAAGCATTAGGTTACGTCGTAATTTCGGCAAAGTATCGGTGAGCGGGTCGGAATGAACTCAAAAGAACCGAATTTGAGATGCACGATGGGACCGAAGTGCACAGACTGATGTGAAACCGTTGTGAGGCAGCACCGAGCCGCCCGCAAGCCGGCTGTCAGTTCGTCCCCCTCCGCGTCGCCACGCCCTCGATGCGCACAACTAGTTACTAACATGGCCGACAGTAGAGCGCGTCGTGTGGGACCGGGGGGAAAGAAGCACGCTTCGTAGAAGCCATTTAGCTGTATTTACGAGCGAGAGACGCTGACGCCGCTGCTCAGTGAGTTTCCCAAACGGTGCGTATTGTAACGCTGCTCTGACCGACTGCCTGCGAGTGCAGTTAGCGGACTTTAGCTCGCCGGCGCGCCAGCCGCCAGTACAGATGTTGGACCGTCGTGTCACCTTATGCTGCGGGATAATTCGTGTCGACCGGCTTTGCTCCTCGAAAGGCGGGACGCGCTTTGCTTTGCACAGCTGGTTCGACTTGAGCGATGCAGTGTCCAGATTGACATTTTTTCCCACCCGATCAAGCTGCACGGCGGCGGTGTCCGCCTTGACGTGGCGCCGCATGGACGCTTCTTTTAGACCTTGTTAGCTGGTTTGTTAGCACATGAGATCATCGTCATTGAAAACGAGAAAAAACACTCACATAGACAGTCATTCCCACATTTAATTATTAAGCGTGATGTTTGCTGGATCTCCCGGGGAAAGTCTTAGTAATGCGGGATGGAAGGCTGCCGGATTGATCTCAAATCAGACACCTGTTTTCAAGGTGAAGGGTGGCACTGGTACTTTGGCAGTGGTTAGTTTTTTTTTTCTCGGTGGTGGTGTTCAACTGATGCTGTTTGTGTGAAATGTAAATTTAGCTTGATTCTATGTTTTAATTAGATGCCTCGTCAAAACGACAGTGGAAGTGCGGTCCCATAACTGACGATTCAGTCAAAGATATCTGCGCTGAAATTATTGTTGCGCAAAATTACGGTGTAGTGCGGTACTTGTCGCTTGGAGTAGTTAGGGATGGGAATAATGTGCCGCCATCTGCACGGCGCTGAGCTGTTTATGTTCCGCTTTATACGTTATGAGCCCGGAATTAACTAGTCTGCCTTTTAAAAAACTAATCGGCATTATTAAAATGTAACGTATAAGATAAAAGTACGTTTCACTCAATAGAATACTTGAACTGCTAGAAACTGAAAAGTATTCGCAGTACGAAGTGTTGTTTTTCTGTAAAAAACTGTTACAGATGTCATAACTTACTACTGATGTTCTTTTTACAGAATCAGCTCAAATATCAAATGCATTTTTTCCCGAAATTGCATGAATTTTCATAAAGGAACTGGTTAAATTATCACCACCCCTTCCTCATCCAGTCCAGAGTACCGTATTATGCAATGTATTTGTACATTTAAAAATTTTAGGCTCGGATGCCTTGACTGCTGTTGTAGATTTACTTTCCCACTCTGTCGGAGGAACAGCAATGTATTGTTAAGCGGAAAATTAAGATCGGTCGTAGAGTAGGTGAACTTTTCCACTACCCAAAGGCTGAACATTGCAGACATAACTGCTACGCAGAAACAAAGGGGTTTATTGTGTTGGGGTGTTATGCTCAGTGTTTTATTGCATAACTGCTCGGAATGAAGCTTGCATGTCTAAACTTTAACCCACTTTCTTATATGGCTGTCAGCGTAATAGTGTGGATTATGTACAGTTTTGAGTCCTGAAATGGATTGTCATTGCTTATAACGAGCTGCAAATTAAGCAGTTCCTTTCGGAATAATAAATGTATTGTGAATATGAATCTGAAATGTGGAAGTACAGAAAATCAAAGCACAAAAGTATTTACTAGTGAGGCTAAATATGAAGGCCGTTTTTAACTCAATCATAAATGTTACCTAGTATAATTATTAAGAAAATTAATTGTATAATGCCGTTTTATTGATCTTTTTGTGCTTTGCTGGGCCTGTGAACTATAGACAGAAGTATAGGAGTGAGTGATGAAATGTCGTCCAATTTTAACATACCCTGGACATCTTCACTACTAATTTCTAACATGTGATAACAGACTGAACCTAGATTGCAAGTTCCATAATTCCATCTTTAAAAAATGTGTTCTGTTGAGCTATTACTTAAAAAGCAATGTCTAATGCTGGTCAGCAAAAGGCCAGAAATGGAAGTGTCTGGTGAACAGAGGGTGAGAATTTATAATGCACGAAGTAAAAGGGTGCCTTAACTAAACTCTTTTTGATGGGAAACTTATCAGTAGGAATAGTAGTTTAGTTTCTCCTTTCCACACGACATGGTATCTCTGACAGTTCCCTCCACATTCCTAATAATGTTTGAAGTTAGGTGCATTGCGATCCCAAAATAATGTCACCGTGGTTTCGCTGGAAGAATGTTCACTTCTGATTTGTTTGGCTGGTGGGGGCGGGGTGCTTTTGCACGGTGTGCTTCGATGCTCGCTATCTGGCTTGTGACGCAAACATTAAATCCCCTATATACAGTACATATGTATATTTGTGTGTGGGATAGTCTTGTCTTTGCTGTGCATACAAAAATTCAATATTTGTTGACGCGATGCAGTGGACTTGAGGAAGGCTGCTGAATGACGACTTTGAATACAACCTGGAAGTGTGATTTAACAACAGGATGGTCAGCCATTTATTTGTCCCTTAGGCCTGGGTGTGGGTGATGGAAGTTAAGCACCATTTGTACTCTTTGAAAGCTAAGAATAGGTTGGTCATCTACATACAAAATCTCCTGGACTCAAGCGAAATTTGTTTGATTATTCTTCTTAACCGTATATTATTGTTGTGCATTGTCATGTAATTGACACAGTCCCAGTAGAAACCATAATCTGCTTGTATTCTGAAGAGTTAACTTGTTAAGCACTGGTTACAGTTGTGAACCATGTCAAGTTAGGTCGAGTAGTCCTCATCAGCCACGTTTTCTAGGTTTTCTGAGTTTTTTGTGGTTACTTTTCTTACTTGGATTCATGAGAGAATATTAAGTTGTGACCTTTTCCAGACCGAAAAGTCTGATTACAGTGTGAAGTAGTCTGTATGGTTAGAAATCAGCTTTAACACTATGACACCTTGTTTGACCAGAGCAGACTGACCATTACCGAGTGGTGAGCTGTCCTTAGACTTGTCTAGCAGGTGTGATGACCTTGGCACCTGCTGACACAGTTTTTGTTTTACAAAAATATTTCCTTTTGGTCTTTCTCATTGAATTCATAATTTACATTTGTTATACTGAACTGCAGCTGTATTACACAGGCATTGTCATTGTTTGTTTGTTGTTTTAGCTCCAATTTGTCACTCCTGCAATGTCTTATTAATTTCTGCATGATTCTGTTTACAGAGCGATCCTTCATGTGATGAAGACGACGGACACTCTCAATAGAAGACGTCCGGAGTCTGTGTGCATTTCGCTGAGCCTTCAGAAGTGAAGGAGCTGCAGGCGATTCCCAGTACACTGGCCTGGCACGCTGGTGAAGCGGACGGGGCTGGGGGGGCCGTGGACCTCCGCTTTCGAGGGTGTTACGGCGACAGTGTTCTCGCCTACCCGTCCCTCTGTTCCCCAGAGCATGCTTAGCGGTCGCAGCGGTGATGGAACAGGATAGGAAACCGGTAAGTGTCTGCTTGTAAGTCATGAAGTCCCTTTTAGTTTATCGCTCTTAATCTTAAAGATGGTGGGTGACCGAGATCCCGGTATAGCCTGGTTGTTTGTTTCCTCAAATGAAGGTAAGTGTTTGATTTTGCTGATGGTGCGTATCTGGTGTATGATGGCAACTTGTTTAACCACTTGGGAACGTGAGATGGAAAAACAATGTGAGTGGTTAGTGGGAGTATGACGGGGGTGTTACATAAAGTCATGTGTGTAAAGCTGCACGGTGCACTAGAGGAGTGGGGCATGTTAAACATCCCAGTATACAGATGAATATGATTTCTATAGCTTCTTTGATTGGTTTATCAATGTTGATTGCTAATACTCTTCTGATGTATTTGATATCAGTGCTTATAGGACATGTACTGTGAAGATTTCACATTAATTGGAACCTTGAAATGGTTTTGGTACCGTGTTATTTACTTTAATACAGATCAGTAATCGAAGAACTTTTGTGTGCTGGTTTGCTCAGCAATATTAATACACAAGTGCTTAAATTTCTCAAACTTTCAGCCCTATAAATTGTGGAGAAGTCTGAGCTGGTCAAGTGCCACTTCTGCTGCTTATGTTTTGTTAATTATAGGATATCAGGCTGATGAATGTAATTGTGAGCCTGCTGGGAAGAATATCCATCAGGCTGTCCTTTACTGCCCTTCCCCCTTCACTCTCCTATACCATTCAGGAGAGAAACTGCATTTATAGCAAGAATTGATACTGGCATTGCCCATGCCTACTTCTTCTCTCCCTATCTATGCTCAAAGTGCAGACTCAGGAAGAGACTAAGCTATTTGCTTGCATTGGAAGCAGTATACACTGGAGTTGGATATCCATTGTTTGGCTCTGTATGTGGTTTACGGGGGCCCCATGGGAGCGTTGACCGGTTTTGACCCCCTCCCACAAAAAAGGAAAGGGGGAAAAAAAAAAAAAAACAACGGTGAGATATCTCATTCCCCCAGTCCCTGTCCTTGCTGTTTTCCTGGACAGCTGCATCTGGCTGGGTGTGCAGTTTTGACTAGAGTCTGGGACTGCAGTGAATTAGCGTTGTGCCAAGATTGGGGACGGGCATGCCTGAATGGGTGCCGGGAGACTGGGCAGCAGGAAGGGTGGGAGAACAGAGGTCCACCTTCTTCCTCCTTACTTCCCATCCTCGAACTGGTCTCATTCCTGTCACAGAGCAGGAAAGATCATGACGGAAGAAATTATCCATAAAAAAACAATGAAGTAAGACCATGACGGAGAGTGCGATCCAGTCGGAAGATGTAAGTTTGTTGGTCCGTTTTCTGGCATCTTGGTTCTGCGGTTCATTTTGTTCAGTGATGCTCGAGGTTTTTGGGTTTGCATTGGTTTTGCAAGGTGGGCGGCTTCCTCTTGTGTTCTGCTTGTCTGCCTGCCACAGTATGTTCCCGCGGGCGAGCGCGTGTGATTCGGCGTGTGCGTGTTCGCGGCGTGTGCGTGTTCGCGGCCTGCCGGTGCGTGTGGGTGCTCGCTGCCTCACAGCTTTGCCATTAATATTTCGTTGCTCTCAGCAGGGGCTATTTTTACCAGGGCCGGTCGCCGGTAGCAGTGCTGGCTGCCAGTGCAGGGAAGTCCAGCTCCATCTCTCTAATGGGAATTTTCTTGACGTGATCAGATGTTTTTTTTTTTTTTTGTGGGAGGGCCATAGAGCATGGGAAAAGACAACCTTCCCATGGAGACTGTCTCTCTTCTTCACGCTACCTCTGTTTCTCATCCCTTTTTCCTTCCTGCTTGTGCCGCTATTATAATATTTCATACGCATCAGCCGGGTACATTTTTCCAGTAAATTTGTGCGAGTGACACATCAGTAAAGAATGAAGGAACGATTGCTTATTTTGGAACTGAGTTGGGAAAACATGGTAAAAAGTTGAATTGTGGCTTGAGTGCCCTGGATGTGTGATAGGCTTGTTCTTACGGGTGTGCAGACTGTCTGCATTTCACGTCCGTTCCTAGTCCTGAGGCTGTGGGCTGAGACTTTTGCCAAATGGGATTGTATCTAATTAAGGGCTGTACCTTAATATCAACAAGCCTGATAGACTTTCATAAAAAGGGCTAAATGAATGGGCAGCTGAATGAGGAATTTGATGAATAGCTTAGTGTAACGGGCACATAAATTATACCAGAATTACTTCTGGCGGTACCATCGGAAACCTGGTTATTAATTTGAATAAATCCAGACTTCAAACGAGAACAGAATGAATTAATTCAGGGTTAAATAATTAAAGGGAGAATTAACATCAAAAGGACGATGTTATAAGATAGAATACATGTAACAGGTATTCCAAGTGTAGGGATCAGGAGTTATCAAGGTGCGTCATCTTGTGGTGTTGTGTTAATCATAAAAAAATAAATAAATCATATTTTCATGTATACATTTCCCATTTCAATTTTATATATAAATATATAATATGATATATAAAACACACACACATAGTACAGTATGTATACATATGTGTATATTGTTGGGTTTAGGGTATTTCCCATAGAAGTGAATGAATGGTCCCTGCAAAGATATGAATACAAAAGAGTGTGTCTCTGTCTATATCTCTATAGAGGTGAAACGTTCCAAGACCTACCAGGGATAATAGTGAACCATCCGTGGACCCCATATATAACGTTATTTTCTTACATATGGTAATTGTCGCAGTACACCCAGTAAAACATTACCAACATTAAATACAGTGATAATAAAATACAATATTATACAGTACTGTACCCTCCCTTAAATGAAATGGATTATAACGTTATTCTCAAGAGAAGAGAGCAATGTCAAGATGTACGTCATGTATCAAGGGATGAGGGAGCAGTGAAAGTCACGGCCATTTAATACCCATCAAAGGAAGAAGGAACAGTGGGGAAGAAAAACATACTGTTACACATTTTACATTTTTTTCCCCAAACTCTGGTAAACTGCAGACAACTGAAATTGCAAATTCCACCCCCGCCCCCCCATGTTTTTTCCCTTGTGATCAAAATGCTCGATTGTCAGGGGTCGTGAATTGGCTTAAATATACAGTTTATTTTTGGTAATTAACCATCCCTGCTGAAAACCATGGGAATCCTGGCTGGGGGGTAGGAACCCTTAGCACAGTGGGACCAGACTCTGACATTAACATTGCTAATTCCTTCTGGTAATGAGAGTTTAATGGGTAAATTGGCTGAAATGGAGAAGTTTTTGGCTGATGATGTGGTGCTAATTGTGACTATTGGTTATCTAGGAAACTTGTAAGTGTATCGGATATTTTGAAATTGTGAAGAAACTGTAACGATGCAAAGTGTATGAACCTCATGTTTGTTAAACTAAAGCAATCTTTGTTCCTCTACATTTCTAGCGAGCACTGTGCCTTAAAACATTTGATTTTACAAATATAGGTGTTTCCTGATGTTTTGGGTAGTATTTTGATTCGGTGATATTTATAGAATGGAGAACTAGTGTACACTGCCTGGGTGGTTTATCTTACACCTTTGGATGAGAAGTGAAGTCTCTTCTGGTCCAATAACCTCATCTCGAATGTAAAGTGTGCAGTGAATATAGATGTGTATCTATCTGTTTGATCTCTGTTGTGTGTGCGTGCTTTCTAAAGTGAACAGTTTATGCCAGATGTGCGTGGCTGCTATCAGACAGCAAGGGCTTTACGCGGTAATCGTTTCAGGAGGAGGGGGTTGCCTCCCTGGGGCTCTCCACGGCCCAGGCCCTCGACATCCTGCGAAACCAGCTTGCCACCCTGCTGGAGCAGCAGCAGCAGGTTGCCAGAAGAAGGCCCACTCTACAGGTACCACTGCATGCATTTCACTGTAAAACACCGGCAGAGTACCTGTACCGATTTGCCTGTTATGGCATTAACCTGTTTTCCAGGGGTCATACCTGCTGCTGTAAAGGGTTCCTTTGTTTTTTGTTTTGTGGGAACAGGAGCTGTGGACTAAGAGCTTCCTTCACCATGACAACCGTCACTCCAGCTTCCACTGGCCCGGAGCTGCCCTCACCCTACTTGTCGTGTGTGGGCTGCTCTGCTGCCATGAGAGTCAGCCATATGGCAGGTACCTACTGCATCTATAAAGCCGCGCAGTGTCGCCAGTAGCTATTGCAGTGATAATCGACTTCAGTGTCTGTGGTAATGCCCGTTTCTGTGCCTGAAGCCAGGGCATAGAGCTGGTGAGTGCCTTTGCGCTCTTCCTCCTGTTATTGCTGAACCTCTTCCTCATCGGGCGCCAGGAGAGGCTGAAGAAAAGTGAGATGGTGCGCCGGCTGAAGTGCGTCATCTCCCAGCTGGACAGTAAGTGATGGAACGGGGCGTCATGGTGAAGCGATGAAAGTGTCACATGTAGGGAATGCGTGGAGGAGCGATCGGTAGAGTAAAATGAAAGGAAATGACAAATGGACACTCCGCAGAGTCTCTGCAGGGGAGTGCGGGGGAGCCGGTGAGGTGGTCGCCCTCGCTGTACCCGGATTTGTACACTCCCTCCTCGCCCTCCTGGTCCCTGCACTGGACGTACAGGGATGACCAGCTGATCAACCTGCCCGTCAGCCTGCTGGTGGAGGGTGACATCATCGCACTGCGGCCCGGACAGGAATCCTTCGCCTCCCTGCGGGGAATCAAGGTCAGCTTTTCGGGGTGGCTCCTCCTGGCCTTACCGGACGGAGACACTCAATGATTTTCTCTGTGCGATATAACTTTGGCAACTATAAATAAATTAATCCTTTCTGTGCTACAGCGAGATTCTCTCATGCTTGCTGCCCCTTTTTTCCCACGTGTCTGTTTCCAGGATGATGAGCACATTGTCCTGGAGCCTGGTGATCTCTTCCCTCCCTTCTCCCCTCCCCCATCGCCGCGAGGGAACGAGAAGAGGGGTCCTCAGAACCCCCAACAGTTCCGCCTCTTCCGGGTGGTGCGGACCCCAATCCTTGACAACATCCGGTAGGCATCTTTCGTCCGGAATCCTGGCAATGTGTGATGGTCTGGTTATGTTTATGTTAAAAATCAAGCTTAATGAGGGGACAGGAGCTGGTGTTTCTACACCAGTGGTGTGCCATCCAGACCGAGATCATCAGCGTGTCCCCTCCCACTTGGCAATTTTTTTGACACAGCAGACTTTTGGCTTTGTGTGCCCCTGTTTTACGTAATACATTTAAATTAATTAAATTTAGTATTTTGCTATAGTAAAGGCAATTTATTACATTAGCTGCACACTTCATTACGTGCATATGAATGTATGTACATGTAATGCAGAGAAGTACTATGAAGATTGAGCTTCTCCCTGTTTCCCTCCCTGTTCCTGCAGCAGCAGTCTGGAACTGGCTCTGTCCCGGCCCGTTACAGCCCTGGATAATGAACGCTTCACTGTGCAGTCCGTCATGGTCAAGTTCGTCTGCCCCGTCGTGCTGGTACAGAAGGGAGAATTTGTCTCTGATCTAAATTCCTGTGCTGAGTACCTATTCCTCAGCAGTGTGCCTTGTGATGTCATTCCCAAACCGCATGTCCCTCTGCGATGTCACTCTCCCGTAGGTGGCCTTCTTCACAGTGAACACGGTGCGTTTCTGCGTAAAAGCCCCCAATCTCACACCTGGCTGCTTCAACTTCTTTCAGCTCCAGGTATGGGGGGCGCAGGGGGGGGTGGGGTAAAAACCCCATTCGTGCCTTAGCTGGTCTCACCCGTATCGATGGCCCTGTACGTTTGTCTGTCTGCAGTAAATCCACAGTATGTCATTTCTCCTCTTTGTTTGGTTGTTTCCCCGGTTGTGTTTTAGCTGTATTTTCGTGCACTTGGGCCCGCTGGCTTGACCGCCTTCCTTTGCCCCTTTTGTTCGGCCTTGTCGCAGGTGATGGGAGTGCTCCCCATCCTTCCTCTGCTCTTCCCCGTCATGTGGGTGCTGGTCAACGCCTACGGAGAAGCGAGGGTCCTGGCCGAGTCCAGCCACACGTCTCCGACTGGCCTGGTGAGAGCGCGTCGTCTCTCCCGTTCACTCGCGCGGCGCCGTGCCGTGCTGGTAACTCGCCTTCTTGGGCGACCCAAGCTGCACTTAGGTCCTCCCCTGAGCGAGGGCCGGAGAAGAAAGCCGTAATCGAGTCGAGGAATCCAGGGGAGGGAGTGCCATCTGCCTACCCCCCCGTATGTTAATTAGCCTTCTCTCTCGCCCCAGCTTGCTAAGTTCTCTGAGGATACACTAAGCAGCTACACAGAAGTGGTGTCTTCTCAGGTATACCTTCTGAATTCCTTGCCTCTTCCTGTTACCGTGGCTCCCTCCCCATGCACATTGCAGCTCTCCTTCTCTCACCCCACACCCCCCTGGCAGTTTTTTTTGTGTCCTGGTCACCTTGCAGTGCTTCTTGCCTTAGTGTCCCCCCCCCCACCTAAGAGCCAGTCTCCTGAGATTGTATGCCTCTGCTGTGTATTGCCATGGCTCGCATCTGTGGTACGTTTCTTGCGGTCCACTTTATTTTTCTTTGAAATTTCAAGTTTTTCTTATTTTCTCTGCTGCTGAAGTCTATCTACCCATCTTGTTTTTTTTTTCTCCTTTGATTCCAAACAAAATGAGATTAAAGTACCAGACCTGATCTCTCAGCAGTTGTGCACGAGACAGGTCTCACTGCATGTTTTGCAAATCCACCTCTTCCTGACACCCCCCCCCACACACACCATTCAGTCTGCACCTTCAGAATCCCTTCAATGTGTGCCTGTGCCACATTCTTTAACCTGAGCTTTGCATGATGGGACACTGGGTCATGTGACTCATGGTGCAGCATTTGAGACTTGCTGAGAATGCCCTGGATAAAGACTACTGGCAATCTTTTATTTTATTTTATTTTATTTATTTTTTTTACACCCAGAACGGCCTGCATGAACGGATCGAAGGTTCAGATCCGATGCCTTTACGTGTTTGCCTTGAAGTATGATTTCAGTATTATAACAATGTGAATTGAGTATCTTTTTGCTGTTCTTTGACTTTGATTATTCTGGCTTTAGTAGTTTGTCTACTTGTACTGGTGTGCGCTAAGACTTCACAGTACCTTTTCATCACAAAGGAATGAAACGTTTGTTCGTGCTACTCTTCTGCCCTGCCTCCAGCTTTTCTCGCTTTTAACTGACACCATCTCAGCTGCTCAAGTTTTCACATGAAGTCGCAGGTTCCACGCCTGCTCTGGTTTATTCCTTTCATGAGCAGGACTGGCTGGCTGCGTGTGTCAGCTGGATGCAGGGGCGCAGCCTCATTCCCTGCTGGTTCTGCTCCTGTCCCGGAGGGCTGCTGTACAGGAGGTGCTTTAATGCAACAAAAGCATTTAATCCATTAGTGTGAGTGTTTGCATCTTATTAGCTCGATTGGTGTGGAGCTGAATCGAGATCCTACTGCTACCGCAGCCCTGCAGGTCAGGTGGAGGAGAGTTTCAGCCTAAACGGGGCCAGTGTGTGGCTGGGTGGGTTAGTACACTGTGCCTCACTGTTGGGTCCTTGAGCAAGGATCTGAACCCCAAATTGCTCTAGGGACTGATCCTGCATTCTCAAAAATATGTTTACTAAATAAAATGTAAATGAATGAAACCACTAGTACAGGTACACATGTGAAGTCTTATGTAAAGTGTGACTTCCCTGGTTACTATAATAATATAATAACGTGATGCTTCACTATAATAGCGTGATGCTTCACAGTAGCAGTACACGGTACACTGCTGACACAGACTGGGGCCTCACTGCCTCTCTTGCGGTACCTCCATGCTCACTGGTCCCGTCCCGGCTTTTCCCACCTTGCTCTATACTTTCCAAAGGGGTTATGGGAGTGAACGAGCCAATAGGCTTGAAGGTGTCAGCGCAGTGGCCAATGAGCTGATGCAGAGTGGGTGGCTCCCAGACACGCCCATTATCCCTTTCCTGGAGAGATGAAAAGGATACGGGGTGGAGCATCCGGCACGTTGCGCGATAAGGTTTCCGGCCGCTGATCCCTCCTCCGTGTCCTTCAGGAGCTGTTGCGTTGCATCAGTAGACACTTGGTCAGCGTCCTGAGAGGAGAGTCCCAGACGCTGTGCTACACCTCGAGCCTGCTCCACAACCTTGGATCCGTCACCGTGAGTGTCACGCATGTCGGTTTGTCCCCATGCTTGCCCACTGCGCCGTGGTCTGCTGGCATTTGCCTGTGCTGACACTGTGCTGACACATACTGGTTGTTTCCCTATCTGGCGCCAGGTGCTGTGCTGCGTAGACAAGCAGGGGGTGCTGTCCTGGCCTAACCCCAGCCCGGAGACGGTGCTGTTCTTCAGCGGCCGTGTGGAGCCCCCCCACGACAGCCAGGACGATCTGCGGGATGACCTTTCAGTGGGCTCTTTCTGCCGGACAGAGGGGGAAGAGGACAGGGAAGAGGTCCGTAACACAGAGGAATTGGTTGGTTCGGAAAACAATGGTCGCTGAAAAAAACGATCAAAGAAAAAGTAAATATTGGAGTGGTGTAACTCTGGAATTGTTTTTGATTGAAATTTATACAGAGCCAGCACCTCCTCCACATTCTTGACAAAAATTTTTGAGCAAGTGACGTTCTCTGGCTGTAGTTCCAGTGGCATTATGGGATAGCGTAGAGTCCACTGGTTATACATTTCGGAATTTTGCAGAATGTAGTATGTCTTCTGGGTACTGTGTGCCTACTGCCTCATTCGTACTGACGATGTGGGCACTGCTCACCTGTACTTCACTTACTACACAGCGAATCAGTATGCAGTTTCCGACGCACCCCGAGAGTCTGTGGGAAAATGCATCATCGGGGGGATGGAAGCTGATTGGCTGCTCGTGTCCGCAGGGCCAGGAGGGAGAGGCCCTGCTCTCCCTTCCCATGGAGCCCTCCGTCCCTGCAGCCAGCGAACACGAGCCCAGTGAGACGATGTCGCACGACACCGCCCGCTCCTCAGACACCATGCGCCCACAGCGCCCTCCGCAGGCACCCCGTGCCAAACACCCGTCTGGCTCCAACGTCAGCTTCAGCCACGACACCGAAGGTGGTGAGGAAGACGCAGTACAGGTGAGAGAAGAGCTTGAAGTGACTTGTGCAGCTGATAGTTCTCATTGTTCATATAGATTGTATTACTGTGTAGTCCACATGTTCCCACAATGTGTACACACACACACACCCCATTCATTTCTATGGAAAAACCCTAATCCCCACCCAGCCCCAAGCTTAACCATAAATGACCGAACAAAATAAAAGACTTTTGACATTATTAGTTTTTGTATAGTTTTTATAAAATTGAGTTTCCCCTTTTAGGGGATCAAAAAAAAAGGTCCGTACAAACAAACATACAAAACAGGTTATCACCACTGTGCGTGTGTGTGTGTGCGTGTGTGTGTGTGTGTGCGTGTGTGTGTGTGTGTGTGTGTGTGTGCGTGTGTGTGGGCACACGCACAAGCCCTGGGATGGACTGCCATCCGATCCAGGGTGTACCCTAGCCCTGTGCTGCCTGGAATAGGCTCCACGCCCCCTTTGAACTGGATACGCAGTTGTGAAATGGTTGGAATATTGCTACTGCATTGCCTCATTGGAGTATTGCTGTTCGGCTGCTGGTGCCCCTGCAGCCCTGTGGGACGGAGCTGGGCTGCTGCGAAGCCGAGGACTTTGTGTGCGACTACCACCTGGAGATGCTGAGCCTGTCGCAGGACCAGCAGAACCCGGTCAGCATCCAGTTCGATGTCTCGGGGTGGCAGGTCCACCTGCCCTCCCTCAAGCCGCTGGGCCTGAACATCCTCCTGAACCTGTGCAACGCCAGCGTGACGCAGCAGCTCTGCCGCTTCTCGGACCACCTGTCCAACCTGGCGCTGCAGGAGAGCCATGGGGCCGTGCAGCCCGTGCACGTGCCCTGGGGGCTGTGCGAGCTGTCCCGCCTCATCGGTGCGTGCCGCTGCCCCCAGTTCCTTCCAGTCGCTCTCTGCCTGCTCTTATCTGGAGTTAGGGTTAGGGTTAGGGTTAGGGTTAGGTTAGGGTTAGGGTTAGGTACAGGTACAGCGCAGCCCTACATCAGAACAGCATGGACCCACCTGGGGCTAGAAACTGCATCCATTCAGTCACTTCCTGATGGTCTGGGTCTTTAGTGCTCACAGAAAGTCTTGGGGCGCTTGCTTAATTCTGTAAATGTATTAGAAATGTATTGGTTTCCTAACGGAAAGTCCATTCACAAGCTTATACATATCTTAAACAATCTTAAACATATCTGCATATGTCGTCCACACAGACATTTTCTTTTTATTAAGTGTCATTATTTTTTGACTGACTCATTTCTGTTCTTGCTATGTTGCTATTAATTGCAATTTTAGTCACTGGCTCCCAAAGGGATACTAGACACATTTTTTTTTGGTGGTGTTATTGCTGAGGTGTCACCCAGTGAGACTAGTGTGTGTGTGTGTGTGTGTGTGTGTGTATATATATATAATAATAGAGACATTCTAACCCCCAGTGCTCAGTGAATTTTATTGCCCAAATACTGGAACAGCGTTGCTTTCGAAAACACCTTAAGCTGGCATGAGTATTTAGATGACATCCGAGCCTAATGTGAAATATTAAATTCCGATAGCAGGTGTTTGTGAGTTTAGTGAATGATTATAATAAATATATATTAATAAAGGCTTTCAAATACCACGGCCTCCTCTTACAGTCTCATTGGCCTGTGAATCGCTTGTCCCCCTCTCTCCTTCTCGTCCGGACCTCCCTGAGCACAGGCTTCACCCCCGGAGCGAGGGAGCTCTTCAAGCAGGAGAACCACCTGGCCCTGTACCAGCTGCCGTCGGGCGAGAAGGCCAAGGAGTCGGTCCAGCGGCGCCACCACCACATCACAAAGAGGCAGCCGCCGATCAGCCACCTCATCAGCCTGTTTGTGCGCGACAGCACCTCCAGTGAGTGTCTTCTCCTCGCGTCAGCGTGCCTCTCGTCTCTTCGTGATCAACTGGCCAGATCGTTTCTGTTTCTCCTGCCCCCCTGCCTCCCCCACGCAGATAATGTTCAGATGCTCTCCCACGGCTCCGCCGACCTCATTCTCGAGGCCTGTACTGACTTTTGGGACGGTGCAGATATCTACCCCCTTTCCGGCTCTGACAGGTGAGGTTCTTGCTGAGAAAGTGAGCACCTGGCTTTGTGGTTGTAGCAGAACCCCAGATGTCACACTTCTGAGGAATGTACTCTGCCTGAATTGCAACGTAAATATTCTGTAAATTGTTTGCTGTGGAAACTCATTTCCTCGTAAAAAACAAAAAAACAGCTGGTGATTACCTCCTTCGCTGTGGCTCTCTCAGGAAGAAGGTTCTGGACTTCTACCAGCGCGCCTGTCTCTCGGGATACTGCTCGGCTTTCGCCTACAAACCCATGCAGGTGTCGCTGTCGCCGCAGCTGAACGGAAAGTGTGTGGAATTGGCCCCGGGCCCCACCCTCTTTTCCGGGCTGGAGCTGCCCAGCACCACGCCCATCAAACATGGCAGCCGCAGGAACAGCTGGAGCTCAGATGGTGAGCCTGTGTTTTGCTCCATTCAAACCGCACATTCTCCAGAGGCCCCTGAGGTTTGGGGCCACAAACAGTCACTGCATAAAATTTTAAGTAAACTCATTCCTTATTTAGGAGAGGCTAAAGCGGCATGTTCTGCTAATTAGCCCGCTAGCCACAATTATCTCTCTCCTCGCTAGCTGTTTATAATCATAAGTCACTTGACGACAGGGATATGTTCTGAGAAATGTGTTATTTGGCGATTTTGGCCGATGTACAAATCTCAGAGTGTACTTCAACAAACCTAGATGGTATAGCCTATGACACACCTAGGCTACAGTAAACATTGTTTTTCATAAGTCAAAAGAGTACCCTTTAAAATAACGTTCAGTATAGTAAATGCATAATGTATTATGTTGTGTACAAAACTGTACGTGCTGTACTTTTGCATGGCTAGCAGTGCAATAGGTTTGTTCAGACCAGCATCATCTCGCACACACGGGGGTAATGCATCCCGCTACGACGGTACGACATTATGGCGGCTATGATGTCACTAGGCGATAGGAATTTTTCAGCTCTCTTTTAGTCTTATGGGACCATATATGGCATCATGGCATCGTATATGCGGCCCATCGTTGATTGAAACATGGTTATGCGGCTCGTGACTGTATGTAGTTTTTCAAACATCTGAGGCAGGGAGGGGAGCCGTCAAGGTGACTTTTTTTTTAATTCGGCCTCAGAATCAACAGCCCCACCCCTAAGAGGAACAAAGCATCCTCTGTGTTGCCTTTAGCCTGTCTGGCCTTGCCCTCACCTCCCTGCATCCTGTGCTCAGAGGGCATCGGAGAGGTGGTGGAGCGGGAGGACTGCGTGCAGGCCCTCAGCGGGCAGATCTTCATGGGCATGGTGTCCTCGCAGTTCCAGGCCCGGCCGGACACGGTGCGGCTCATCGACGCCCTGGTCAAAGCCTGCATCCGCTTCGTCTACTTCTCCATGCAGGATGAGTTGCGCAGCAAGGTGCGTAGCTGCGGTCCGCAGGGCCCTGTGACGTCACGGGGGCGTCCCGGGGCAAACGTGTGACGTGTAGTGTCCGTCACTCAGGTGTTTGCGGAGAAGATGGGCTTGGAGACTGGATGGAACTGCCACATCTCACTGACGCCCAACGGGGATGGGAACTGCGACATGCTGCCCTCCAGCCCCAGCCATGCTGGCTCCCTGCATGACGATCTGCATCAAGGTACTGCGTGCGTGTGTGTGTGTGTGTGTGTGGGGCTCTGTGTGTGTGTCTGTCTGTCTGTCTGTCTGTGTCTGCGTGTGCCTGTGCCTGGCTGAGTGTGTGTGTGTGTGTGTGTGTGTGTGTGTGTGTGCGCGTGCCTGCGCGCGTGCACGCACATGTAGGGTAAACATATCCTTATGGGGACCGCTCATTCATTTCAATGGGAAACATGCTAATGCTAACTAGTTTTCCCTTATGGGGACCAGGAAACCGGTCCCCATAAGGGGAAAAAAATGGATATTTATCACGTTATGGGGACATTATGTCCCCATAAGGATAGGTAAACCCGCTCGCCTTTGTGTGTGTGTGTGTGTGTGTGTGTGTGTGTGTGTGTGTCTGGCTGGCTGTGTGGGTGTGGTTGGAAGAGATTGCATACTCAATTCCTTTGAACGGAAATGTTTATGTAATTTTGTTTTTGTGGACCGATGAATGATAAGGATGTAAATCAAAGCTAAGCCATGTCTCTCTGTCCATTTGAGTTCTTTTACCTCCTCCTGGACTCATATTCCCTGCTCTTCCCCTTGTCTTTATCCCAGACACTACTATGGCTCTGCCTAATTGGCCCTCTGTCCCACAACCAGTCTTAGCTCTCGCTTTCCACAGCAGAACTGGCTAAGGCTTCTCAGGCTTCTCTTCTGTCGCATAACTTCACCTCGTCTTTGTTACCTGTTATATAATGTTTCCTGTTTTCACACAATGATCTGTTCATTCTAAGCATGCAGTGTATTGGGTGGCTTATGAAATGATTTGCATTCAAAGTCTCCCCAGCTGCTGTTTTAGTTTAAAGCATATATATGTCTAAAAGCAGAGTCACACATGAAGTAAGTCTTCCATCTGTACAACATTCAGTGCACATCTAGTCTTCCATCTGCCTGCATTCTGCATGCATCTCTGTTCGGCGATTGTTCAACGCTTTACTTGTTCCTCCCCAGTTGGCTAATTTCACCCACCACGGCTACAATCTCAAGGCTGCGTTCAACTTCCTGTTTCCCGTGCAGATTCCCGCGACGAAGCCGAAGGGCCGTTACTCCCGGAAGATGAGGGCCAGTCGGACCTGGTCAGCTTCCAGCCCACAGACAGCGATGTGCCCAGCTTCCTGGAGGACTGCAATCGGGTATATACCCTTCTGCCGTCCCGCTTGCACCTGCTCACAGTATCGCGTCGTCCCTCCGTCGCTGACCCGTCCATCTCTTTCAGGCCAAGCTTCCTCGTGGGATCCACCAGGTGCGGCCTCACCTGAAAAACATCGACAACGTGCCCCTCTTGGTGCCTCTCTTCACGGATTGCACTCCTGAAAGTAAGTCCCTCCCGGCCGGAACCGGGCACGTGATGCCGGTCGGTGTCCTGCGTCTTACCTGGAACGGGAGGCTTGGGTGCAGCACTAAATTAAAGATGGTCCTTTCTGTTCATGGCAGCCATGTGTGAAATGATGAAGATCATGCAGGAGAACCGTGAGGTGACCTGCTGTCTGGGCAGCTCGGCCAACTTCCGCAACAGCTGTCTTTTCCTGCAGAGCGACGTCAGGTACCTCCAGTGGTATAAGGCAATGAGCTAAGTGCTCTAATATGGATGCTGATGCTGATGTCTGTCACGCAGTATTGCCCTGGACCCTCTATACCCATCCCGCTGCTCGTGGGAGACCTTCGGCTACGCCGCCAGCGGTGGCCTGAATGACTACAGCGATGGCTTGTCTCCCCTGGGGCTGTCGGGCCGCCTCAATGCCCTGGCCTGTTCTGTCACTTTCCACCAGGGGGAGAGTGTGAGCTTGGTTAAGCTCATCGAGCAGGTAAAAGCGTGTGACTAAAGCCTTTTCTCACTCACTATTCGCTTTTCTTACTGTGACACTTATAAATACCCCCCCCAGGCACGTCATACTACCTATGGCATCCGAAAGTGCTTCCTCTTCCTGCTGCAGTGTCAGCTCACCCTCGTCATTATTCAGGTGGGTAAATGAAAAGCAGCCATTTCAAGTTTCATTTTCTTCCTTGTAATTATAAAGAAAATGAATATCTGCTTGCATTGTAAAGATGGAACACTTTAGATATTCTGTCTACTGCAATTGACCCATTTCTTTCATTCTTTCATTCATTCATTTACTTTATAGTTTCTGGCCTGTCTGGCCCAGCTGCCCCCGCCCATGAACATCACGGACATCATGTGGCTGTCCTGCTTCTGCTACCCACTGCTCAGGTAAGGGCCTCAAAGTATAAGTGTGTTTTTGGCACCACGGCCGGAGTTCGTGTGCAGAGGAGCGACGCGCGCAGCCTGTTTGGTGCCTGTGTGCCGCCGACGCTGTGAGGCCCCAGCTTACGCCGCTGCTCTATCCCCGTGGCAGCGTCTCTTTACTGGGGAAACCACCTGACAGTTCGGTGATGACCGTCGCCACCGGCAAGAACCTCGACGGCATCCCCAGGAAGGTGAGTCCTGGCTGGGCACGGACAGATACAGATCATGGCGGCGGAATCCCTCACTGGATTTTCCTTAATGTCCCGCTGGCTGTCTTTGCAGACGCAGCAGTACTTCCTGGGGTGCTTCCTGATCAAGTTCAGCATCACGGTCTGCGCTTACCTCCTGAGCTTCAGCTTCAGCCTCGCAGAGGCCTGCGCCAAGGCCAGGAAAGCCAACGTCAGCTGCACCCACATCTTCAATATGAGGTCTTGCTACCTCCGTCCCCCCCCCCCCCACTAACATTTGTAGCTGCTCTTCTTCTTCTAGTTGCTCATGGTTTGACACTGCTTTTGTGCAGTGCAAGTGGTGAAGCCCCCAACTGGTTTGGAGAGCTCGCAAACAGCCTGCTGCTTATTCAGAAGGTCATGGCGGGATTTTTGGCTCTACACACAGGTGAGACGACTCACGATCATAGGCGCGCACACACACGCACGCGCACACACACACACACGCACACACAAAGCCATGACATGATGATTCATGGTAGTCTTTAAAAAGGTTTTATAAAGAAATTACTCTTAATGAAATTGTTTATGTATGTTAAATTCTGAAGTCACTTCATGATTAATTCTGCATGGTCTGTGTATATTTATATTTAGTAGGGAAACATTCCTATGCAGTGCTTATGTCCGTTAAAACATGCACATTTTCTTGCACTTTTCTGTAAACCCCTGTCCCCTGTGCATTCATTAATTCCAAAATCCCGTTAGCAGCTGTCATTAGTATAGCTGCCTACAGTAGTGATTTGAAATGTTCCTCAATAGTGCGTCTAATTGCATACAGCACAACTCTTCAGTGAAATGCCACATATGCCCATTTGTGCACAGTGTATGTCTTTGTTATTAATGATGTCTGTCTTTGGTCGTTTTGAACCTCTTGGTGCTGATTATGGGTGGTATATGTGTATTTGGTTTTTGTCTGTCTGTTTTGGCTCGGGCGTGTCTCTGTGAGTCACATGACCTCCCCCCCCCCTCCCTTTCCCCTGTCTCTCCCTCAGTGGTAATCTCCCTCAGCTATGTGCACCGCTCCCAGCTACTGTGGAGAAAGACCCCGTTCAGTAACACCTGGTGGTGCCTGACCGTGCCCGTGGTGTAAGTCCGGCTGCACATGCTTCTCGAACTCATCCCGGCGTCTGGCCCTCGCCGGCGTGCGTGATGCTGTTGCCTGCCCATTTCGCCGCCCGTGCTCGTTTCTGTTTTTAGCACCCTGTCGGTGTTGGATTTGTGCATTTCTCACGGCGGCCACAGGGCGGCTCTGCTGTGTGGTCGCCTTTCGTGACAGTGTTTTCTCTCTTTCTGTGGGGTCAGGCTGCTGGGACAGGGGGTCCAGGCCACAGTGGACTTCCAGCTGTGGAAATATAGGACGGACAATGTGACCTTCACCTTGGACGACATCCCCAAGGAAGTATGGCTGCCCTTGTCACTGTCGCCGCTGCTGGTGGTGCTGGTTAACGAAGCAGTCAAGCTGCATGAGATCAGGTATGAGATGTTAGGGGAGGCTTTCACGGACTAAGGATATGCAATTCTATCTGATATTCCTTTTAAAATTTTGCTGGATATAGAAGCTGGCTGTATACTTCGGACAAAATCGGTAGAATCGACGTCGTTTTGGCAGTACACTGCATGACGAGTAATCACTGTGGTGGTCACCCTTTCGGTGCACCGCCTATGCATGGTCCCTTTGTCATTTGTTCTGAACCCACCTACTGTCTTCCATTATAAATGACGCTGCAGGGTTGGTCAGTAGGACTAATTATGCAGTTATGGCATGCTGCACCAAACTTTAAAGTGTATAAATTAATTCAGTGGTACCTCAGTACTCTAACTCATTAAAACTCGAATTTTGAAACCAGTTTGGAAAAAAATGACCTTGAACTCGATCTGAATCTCAGAAGTCGAACTGTGAATGCCGACCTAAGATAACTTGTACGCGCGGGGAAATGAGTCACGCAGCACGTCTCTCAGTGGAAACAAAGGGTAACGCTTCAGTCTCAGCCTCGCATTCGCTGTGATAGCATCGTTTGTTGGTGAGTGCTTTTTTTTTTAATTGAAAATATCAGGTAATACACAGTACTTTAAATCATTTTGGTAGCCATTGCTCACCAAAAAGTTATGCAGTAGTTGTACAAATGTTTTACGAACAAATTAACGAATGCAGAGTAATAATAAAAATAATCAATGGACCGCAAGGCATAGTCTAGTGTTGGGGTACATTCTTCATCGTTTTGGAAGCCATTAAGAAAAAAATGTTACACACTGTGTACAGTGTTGGCGCACAGTGTTTTTAACTTTACTCATTGTTTGGATACATTTATTTTCTTACTTTACAAATTACTGTTTTGATAAATGTGCTTAGATGTGTTCCGTATATGCTCTTCTTGTTTTATCCTGTTCATTTTGTGTTTAAATGCTGAAAAAAGAAACATTTAGGTGTAATTTTTTGGGGCCAGGAACCAATTAATTGGTTTTCCATTATTTCTTATGGGGAAAATTCAATCAGAACTTTTTATGAGTCGAACCCGAGTTCTGAACGGATTAAGTTCAAGTTCTGAGGTACCACTGTATGTGTATTTGTGTATTTTTCTTAATAGTATGTCAGAAACCTGTAATATTTGCAATGGAATGTGTGTGTTTCATTAGAGTGTAAATTCTTGGCTTCCCTGTCTGTGCCGCTGCTAGTATTAAACCAATAGTCACTGTTACTAAAGAGAGCATCTTCCATATCTTTTATTAAAATGACTCGCACACTCACATTAAGATGTTTATTTGCTTTCTGTATGTGGGTCTGCTATATCGAAAACATTAGGGTTGTGGCGTGACAATCAAGGTGGCGGGTGTTGTTTTAAGTATGCGACTGATTGCTCTTGCCGACGTGTTCGATTTCGTTTTGTTGTTTGATGTACACAGGCACCTCTACAGTGGTAAGTCCAGTACAACAGCATTTGTAATGTTGAGTCACTTAATGTGGACTTATTGTCTTTTGTTTTAGGGTGCGAGATCGCTACCAGAAGAGACAGAAATTACAGTTTGAGACCAAGCTGGGCATGAATTCCCCATTCTGAGAGATTCCCAGTAATGGTTTCCAATGGTGCCACCAGCCTGGCAGGAATTGAGTGGGGGGTTGGGGATGCGTTCTATCAAGGCGCTTATGTCCTAGACATCCTGCCAGCACTCAGGCACTGTTACAGTGGTCTCTGAATTTTGTTTTTGTGTGTATATATATGTATTTTTTTTTTTACATTGTGATTTAACCAAGGAACACCCAAAGTGTTTTTACTTTTTCCTGGCAAAGGTGTAACCCAAAAAAGCTTGCTGCTTACATGAGAATGTGTCACTTTATTTTAATGCATGCTTAACGTTCACCTGACGCACTGCCTGATCCAGATAAAGGGGTGAGAGGTGTGACCTTTTGGAAACATTCAGGAAGAGCAAGTCAGTCGGGCGACACTGCATGACCTCTGCTCCCTTTCAGAGGCCCTCAGTTTGAAGGCTGCTGCAGCCCAGTGTTTGCCGTTTAGAGATGAGCCACATGCTTTGGGCCTTAGTCTATCGGCCAGGCCCCTTGGCAGCCTGCATGTGTTGTAACAGCTACTAAATGTGAATGCCTTACTTCTGAAGGATCTCCTTTGGGGTAGTCAAAAGGATGCTTTGGAAAGGGCAGTGGCAGGTGCACAAAAAACAGCATTAAAGCCAGGTTGGTTTTTCCAAGCAAATCTGTCGAGTTTTGTAAGCAGCAGCTAGTTATTGTAGCACACACTATCTATTTAAATTTCCAGAACAGTTCATATTAAAAAAACAGAAAAAGCTGTAGGCAATATGGTACATAAGTGTTTACAGTCCCCGATGTGTACGTAATATATAACTTAAATGGGACTAATTCTGAAATAGACTTCAGAATGAGTATTCTATATTATGTACTGAAGAATGAAACAATTAGAATATGAATACTTACTATGAAAGAAGTGGGAAATATTTATTTACATGTGACAAATGTGTTTAATTTCTTTGTTTAGGAGAACCATTGCATCTTATTGGTTTCTAATAATTTAAAAGTTTTTTTTTATGGGATTCCTATTTTTTGTCCTCTGTACATAACATAATGTGCAGTACTGTAATACACCAGTTTGCTGCGTGTCCTTTTCCAGTAGTACTGTAAGAGGGGTGCATCAAATACCTTTCTTATATTGACTTAAGCTGACATTCAGCTTGATACGACTAGCCTTCTTCATGATTCTGTCAAGCTGTCAGACAGCTTAAGTCAATATCAACAACCAAGGTGAAAAGCAAACTGGGATTGAAAGGTAGTGTCATCCTCAAAAAAACAACTGTACAAAACCCTACTAATGTGAGTTTATTTTCCAGATTTTTCTACCATTATACATATGTCCTTGCCCAATTTCAGGCATCCATTGCTGAGAACCTGCTCAAAAACATTCACAGCTTTTTACAACCGTATTTAAAGATTTTTTTTCGGTCAGACTTTCAAAACACTGGAGAGGGAGTTTATTGTTATGCGGGCAGCGCCGTACATGATGGTCTCACAGCATGCATTGCATGTTCAGAATACATGTGTATGTGTTATACCAGATTAATGTTTTTAATTAGTGTGTGAACCGGGAGGGGGGGAGGTGTCAGTATGTCCCTTGAAAAGGCTGTTTAATTACTTCCTTGTCAAGTATCTTGAATATTGGAAAGGAGGAAATATGTGTCACTGTACAGTATTTCTACCTCTGACTCAAGTGGGGTATATGGCTGTTTTAAATGCTGCAAGTGGTTCAGGGTGCACTTCTGCCTGATTATTATTATTATTATTATTAATTTTATTTTTTATCCAGTCTGTCAGAAGTTGATCTGCTTTTAATGGCATTTGATCCAATCCTAATGCTCCATAGTTGGGTCTTAACTGTGAAACCATTAGCACTGGTAACTGGGCAGTACACAGCCTCTTTCATAAACATATCGTAACCATGTAAACAGGATCATATCATTTGATTCTGTCCTTTGATAACTCTCTGTTGATTATTCTGTAATTAGTTTCTATTTTGCACCATGTTATGGTCACCAACTAATAGCTATGTTCTGAAGTAAATGAACTTGTATGCCAGCAAGATAGTTATCATGTCCTGAGTACTGTTGTTGAGTTATGTGCTGGGCGATCTTCCACCTGTAGCTATCTCTTTAAAACAGGGTTTTCCCACTATGAGTTCCAAGGAATTTTCTCATGCTTAATACAACGTAAACTTAATGTGGTGCCTTTGACCAAAATAGTCTGAAAATGCATTCAAGATGATTTAGATTTAAAGGGAAATTTTTGACGAATTCTTTAATTTTACATTTGTCATGCAAACACTTTCAATACAAATTCTCTAAACTGTGAAGCATTATGAAACGAAGTAGAAATTTAGTCAAGATAATAATTACTGGACTTCCTGCTGGACACTTACACAATGGATCACCAGGATTACAATTCAGAAGCCCAGTCAGTGTAAGGCCTGAGCTGCAATGGTTACCTGCATCCTCAGGTAGCATTTGTCAGTTGATGTTAAAAGTGCTTTACATTGGTGTGTGAAGATGCTAATATTAAACGTACTGCCCTTCAGCGCACTGGACATGCTGCAAAATAGAACTTTAGCAACTCTTTAAGTTTATGCAATTCATAGTGCAATCCCTTTTTGTTCCTTTTTAATTATTTGCATGCTGACTGAAACATAATGGCACTGCCTTGACCACTTTTTTGTGTCTCTTGAGCATGTATTGTTTTGTTAATAAAGCAGCATATGGGACTGCTGGTGCATCTGAAACCATTGACAGGCACCAATCAATAGTCTCATTTCCAAAGCCTTGTAAATGGGCTGCAGCGAGACTAAGTACCTCTGTGCATATACAAACAACTGTACAGTACAAGAACCTGCATTAATCTGATTAGTGATGGACTATTTTTGTCATTGTCCCTGACGGATTTATAAATGTTGTATATTTTGTATTTTTAAAGTCTTTATGTAAAATTATTTTTAAATAATCTGTCAATTATGTTAATAAATATGGTCTTTTTTAAATGATTGGTGTTCTTAATGTGTTTCAGCTAGCTGGATGTAAATTGGTTTGAGAGCATCATATCATGTTACATTTGAATTTAATCCCAGAACTTGCATTCTCCCACTTCTTTCTAGTATGTGAAAACTAGACAAGTCTGTGTCTGCAACATTAACTGTCACCTAGTACATAAACAGCTGACACATGAAAGCCTCACTGAAGACTGTAATAGGAGTGGTAGTACTTTTTCTACTAGTCTTTATTAGGTGATCTCAGTTCATGCTGTGATTGGTTCAGGTCTTTCAATAAGTGGGAATAATCATGATTTCTATCTCTGGTTAAAATATGACACCAGTAATATCAGGTACACAGCGAAGAAAGCATGGCTATGACCTCAATTCTGATGTCCTATTACTCTGCACACTGGAGCCATTAAGCCGGACGTTCTGGTTAATTATTGCCGAAGGCCGGAAGCTGCTTTTTTATTATTTATGCAGGTGTTTCGCCGGTTATTGGGGATCCTGAAATGCTGAGGGAGCCACGTGCGGCGCAAAAATTATAAGGCCGCTATTCATTGGATCTTCGGAGCACAAACCGAAAGGTTTGGCGGCTTCTGACAAATATGATTGGTCAACGAAAACAAACGATGGACAACGGCCGCCAATGAAAGAAGCAGAGATGGTTTATTTTTACAGCGAACGCGGCAATTTCCAATATTATTGGCTTGTCTTAATCACATGACCAATTTTTTACCAATCGGTAAGAAATACATAGCCCGTTCGCTGAAAAAAACATTACAGGGGACCGCAAAACAGCTTTAAGTCATCTTACGTCAAAAGAGTATATCAAGGGTGAGTATAATTGCGAATGTGATTTCGGTTTAGGGGTGTTTAGTTTGTGTTACGTTTCGTCCTTTTATCGGAATGTCAAGGTGACTTAGTGTGGGTCCTACATTGCTTTAATACGGTGCGTGTGATATAACGGAAGACTCTTCCTTGCATTACTTTGATGTACCTGTCGTTTCCTTCCTGCTCAAGCTGTAAGATAGCATCTACGCATCTAGCTTGTTTTACATCAATAAATATCTTATTCAGGTTAAACGTTTTATAATATACGCTAGCTTGGTGAGCTAACGAGCTAACGGCGTGATTTGAGAACAAACGTATAACGCCAAAATGTATTTTCCAAATCAACTAAAATCGCATGACTTAAAATTTCGGCTCCCCCACCTATTTCTCACACGTTTTCATTTAGATTGGCATGTTATGTTCGGTTGTTTCTGTTTCGCAAAAACTGAGAAATAACAGCAAGCTCCTCACTACTTGTAAAACTGTTAAATGAATAAATCCATCATTAAGCACAGGTGCTTACCGGTTGTTCTTTTTTTTGTTGTTGAAGCTTCATTCATTCATTGATCGCCATATTTAGTGTTTCTAAAGATGAAGAGAGGTAGATTTGCGTATTCCTTATTTCTTAAAAATAAACAATTACAAGCAGTTATTCACGCAGTTCCCACTTTTCCCCCAAAGCGAAATGAATGTAATTTGCTGACGGTTAAGTAAATACTGTCTTGTTATTATTGAACTAAGTTTGGTCGGGGGGTAGCTGTAGGTATTTTTATGAGGAAACATTCATTTTTTTCTTTAAAGTGGTAAAACAGATTTCACCTTCATAGACAAGAACGCACAATTCCACAGAAGAACTTGATTAAGCATAGGCTGTAAGAATCCATGCATCTTCTGCACGACCACTGAGTGACCTGTTGGATAGAGATGGGAGCCATTGTTGTTAAATTTAAACATATGCTCTTGTGGGATTTACCTCTGCATGTTTGTGCTCATCGTCCTCTCACAGCCCACTAATGTGCTTTTGTGATGTTTAAATTGCCCATAGCATGAACTACACTACTGTCCCCTGCCGCACATTCATGCAAATTTCCTTTGCGGACTTAAGTTTCCTCCCTCTGTCCAAAAACCATCTCAGAAATCTTAGTAATATTCTCAAAATCCCCAAAGTGTATAATTTCTTTGTGTGCGTGCCCTGCAGTGGTCTAGCATCCCGTCCATTGTATCCCCTATCTTGTGACCTGTGTTTCCTGGAAGAGGCTCCAGGCTCACAATGGCCTGGTGTTCTGGAAAAGTTATAATGCAGAGCGCACAAGTGGATGAAAATGTGCGCAAAAGCTATAAACCTTTCACCATTTAGTCAATAAAGCCATGAAGCAAAGTTGGGAAGCTGTGGTATCTCTCAACATGAAAATGTGTATATTTCATGTTCTCAGGAGGTTTGATCTGAAAACTCATTATTGCAGACACTGAGCTTAACTCGTTTGTGCAGGTTTTGTTTTCTTTCTGACGCAAATTGAGCCATGCAGTCATCTGGGGAGGGCCCTTGGAGCAGCCTGAGCTCTGGGAAGAAGGTGGCCCTCGTCTTAGGGCTCCCAGTTGGGGCCACGGTTGGCTATATCCTCTATCGTCATTTCACAAGTAGCAATGGTAAGTTGCACTCCTTTTAAAGCTGTTCCTGGATTATACATAGCCGTTTTGATGTGAAGCTTTTTGGGGAAATAGTAGCAGCAGGATGTGTTTGTAGCATGTGGGTGCCTGTCCTACCCTTTAGGTCAAAGGGAGAGTATGGAGCAGACCAGACTGACAGTTCCTCTGGAAGTTTACCGTTCCATCGCCAGGCATCAGAGCTCGTTCCTAGACTTGGTAAGTTCATCATAACATAATTTAACTCAGTTTTATTGCTCTGATGCTTTAATATTCAAAATGGTCTTGTTTTAAATTATTTTGGACTGTATTAGGCTTAGTACACTGGTGCTGGTTCTGTAATTAAAGCTGAAGAAATGCAGTGAATTTCTTCTTCTGTTGTTTTCTTCTCTGACAGGTGACCCAGCAGTCTGGTGCCCAAGTGAGGCTTCTGTCAGAGAATAAGGGTGACAGTGTCTCCTTTCAGCTTCAGGGCTCAGCTCACCAGGTTCTGATGGCCAAGTGTTTTCTGGACAAACTGGCCTCTGACTGTGAGGTCATAACTGAAGATTTTGAGGTTCCCCAGACTGCCTTAGGACGAATCATAGGTAATGCGTGCCCCATTTAAAAAAAATAAAAATAAATAAATTAATAATAATAATAATAATAATAATAATAATAATAATAAAATCAAAATGACCTGCTGTTGCTTTCTACATTGCGATAAAAACATTTGATTCCAAGTGTTAAATACACATTTGTGTCCTGAAGGGCGTGGAGGGGAGTCCTTAAAGCTGATAAATCGGACTTCAGGTGCTCGTATTAGCTGTCCTAAAGATCGGGACAGTACCCTGGCAGAGAAGGCCAGGGTCTCCATCACAGGGATACGCCGGGAGGTGCATCATGCCAAAGTGAGAATTTCTCTTGTTATATCAATTATTTTGTTATCTCATCTGTGGCCAAACAGATGTAATACCTGAGGAGCATCAGAATATATAATTTCTTCCAAAAATCTTGTGGTATCTATATATACATTTGCTTGAATTTGCCTTGAAACAAATTGCAAAAGCAAAGTCATTTATTAGTTCTTAACTCATAATCCAAGATATCCTAAATGGCTTGGACAGTATCATTGGCACCTTTTTGTTGTTCCTTGAATTTCAAAGAGGTGATTCTGCTTTTCTTGAGGGCATTATGCATCACTAACTTGATGAAACAGAGATGTATAGAAGGAAACTATGAAGGACCCCCACTTCTGACAGAAGCATAAGGAATCCTGGCAGAAATTTGTAAAAATGCGTCTTAATATGCTATAAGATTTCTGGTAAACATGCCATTTCTTTATGTACAAGGAAAAAAAACTAAATTGAAGCCTTCATAGAAAACACTTTCTCTACAGCAAACATGGTGTAGGTTTAGTGCTGTTTTTTGGGTTTCTTTGTTTTCTCTGGCTTTGGGTGCCTTAAATAATTGTAAGATATCATGAAACCAGGAAAATATTGAAGCAGTTCGGAGGATAGTATGCAACCCGTTGTCAGAAAGCTGGATCTTTGTCAAAAGTCATGCTTCTGAGTGATTGAAGGCAGCAACAGTGAGTCCAGAACTAAATTCCATTTAAAACCTGTGATTTAAAAGCAGCAGATGGGAGAAGGCAGCATTCAAATCTCAGTGAATTAGGGCAGATGACCAGACTTCCAGTACAGAGGTCTGAGAAACTCATTGATTGCTATATGACTGGCCTGATTGTGCTTGTTATAACCAAAGGCTATCACATTTTATGTCTTAATATGAAATTCAATCGGGATGTTATATTTTTATTTTTCTTATTTAAAGGGTCATACTAATTTATGGAAATCAAAGGTTCTGCAATACTATCAGAGACATCTGAGAGAGACTTTCGATTTTATTTTTAGCTGAAATTGCACGTGTATGAACACTAGTATTTTTGGCTGTATGGTTTGATGTGGCATCAGTCCTCCAGGGTTTGGCTGCTTTTGGCTCTGATTGAAGTTTGGGTGTTCTGTCCATATTTGGATGAGTGTCCTTCTGAAATCTGAAAACCTGCAATAAGATGAATTGGTGAATCCAAACCAGGGATCTCCCACTCCAGTCCTGGAGAGCTAATGTCCAGTACATTTTCTGTCCTACCTGAGAACAGGTGTGGCTCACCAGAAGCCAGGTAGAATAGAAAACCTACTTGACATTAGGACACCCCTGATCTAAACTGACCATAACATACACATGCGTGTCCTGTAATGGACTGGCATCCCATCCAAGTAGTTGGAAGATGAACTTACTATATTTGATTTGCAGTTTTAATTTAATTATTGAAGCTGACAGTTTACAGAATGGACTGGTTGTCTTTCAGGAGCTAGTCATGGAAAAGGTGGCTGAGAGTGAGGAGGTCCGGCAACGGATAGCACAGTCCTCCGCTCTACGCCACAAGAGGCGCCCCTCAGAACCGCAAGGTCAGAAGGAAGCAAAGCCAGAATCGGAGAAAAATGGAGTGGAACTTCAGCTTGCTCAGGAAGACCCCTTAAGCCAGAAGATGGTACTTCCCAATGGAACCACGGAGCCTCCAGACGCATCTAAACCTATACCAGAGGAACAATCCATAACTGAGAGTGGGGAACAAGACACTCAAGAAATGTCTCCACAGAGCATTTTCAAATTTGAAAGCAAGTATCTCAGTGATTTAAGTGCTCTAATTCTGGAGCGCTCAATTCTCATTCATTATTAACTATTTAGTCCAGAGGTGGGCAATCTTATCCGCAAAGGGCCGGTGTGTATGCAGGTTTTTGGGATAACCTGTAGGTCAGCTGTTCAAACCCAGGTGTGAGGACTCTTCAGCGAATCAGTCCTCTAATTAGTCATCTAATTAGGGAGTTGCAGCAAAAACCCGCATACACACCGGTCCTTTTGCGTATAAGATTGCCCACCCCGATCTAGTCTGTGCAAAAAAATGTTTTGTCTTCAATTTACTGTTGCACATGTTATCTATTTCTTTGTTTGTTTTTTTTTTCAAGTTATATAAATTGCTTGCAATGATATCAGGTTATTATCAGATCAGGTTAAGAATGAAACAACTCTGGATTACTTCGTGGCCTTGTGCCTATTTTTGTACATCTTAATAATTTAAACCTCAAAACTGAAATGGTACCCTAAGCAAATATTCTCCTGTTAGTCCCTAGTCCGGATTTGAGCTTCCAGCCAGATGAACACTTGGAAGTATATGTGTCAGCAGTTGAGAACCCACAACACTTCTGGATCCAGATTTTGGGGGTGCGATCATTACAGCTTGACAAGTTGACTGCTGAAATGGGCCGCTTCTACAGCACTGGGACTGCAGTGAGTGAGACTCAATTTTCTGCTGAATTTGGTGATACTTGTGGTCTTAAAACCTCTCGGTAATAATTTTTGTTGCCCCAGGAGCTGAAAGTGGAGAAAGTAGTGGTGGGGGACATTGTGGCAGCCCCTTATCGGAACCATGGCACTTGGAACAGGGCCAGAGTACTGAGTGTGCTGGAGTCTGGCCTGGTGGACGTCTACTATGTTGACTATGGTGACAATGGCGAGCTTTCCCTAGAAAGCCTCAGAAGCATGAGGTCAGAGCTTATATAGGTTCAAACACCCTTATAGACAGGCTATGCCCTTAGACACTTTCACCTTAAGGTTTTAAACAAAGCTGTATTTTTACATAGCTGTCTTATCTCTTTAGGAGTGACTTTTTGAGCCTTCCCTTCCAAGCCATTGAATGTAGTTTAGCAGGAGTAAGTCCAGCAGGTATGTGCTTTATTTTTATTTTTTTCCATGTAACTCATGTGCTACCTAGAGATTTTGAACTTGATGTCAAAAAGGCAATTCACCAAACAGAAACGCAAGGCAGAAGACAGGAAGTGAAGGATACTGTGTACAGATAGGTCACAGCTGGCTAACACCATATACCATGTGTGAGTGCATGCAGGGAACAATGTGTCCACCATGTGCTTGTTTTGGTACTTTTACAGGGGGGTCATGGACTGAGGAAGCCCTTGATGATTTTGACCGCTTGACTTACTGTGCTCAGTGGAAACCACTTCTTGCTAAATTGTGCAGTTACTCTCATTCTGACATGTCATCCTGGCCAAGTGTTCAGCTCTATGACAGCAGCCATGGCAAGGTCAGTGACGTAATGAAGAAGGGGTCTGAAAGCGTGTTTGAGAGATTGCAGATATTCTGTTCGATAAGGTCCACTTATCGACATTTATACCTGTGTGTTACTTGAGCCTAGGTTTCTCATGAAATCTTGTTGTTTTGACCCTCCTTCCTCTCGTTTTAGCTGCTGGGTGTGGGTGAGGAGCTCATCCGACTGGGACATGCCGTGCACTGCCTTGACTTGGGTGATGGAGGGCTCAAGGGTACCAGAGATAACCCGGGTTCACTGCAGAAGATGCTGGTGAGGGGCAGCTTGGATTGACCTTAAATGCAGAATGTCTATACAGAGATAAATATGGTCATCGTTATCCCTTCATTTCCAGGATGATGTTACTGGAGTCACATCAGAGCTCAGCCTTTCCTGCATCAGCTTGTCAGGTAGGTTTCCCAGATGTGCAAAAAGGGGTGTTCATTGCAAGGACATTCACTTTATTCCAATAGACATATTGGATGTGGGGAAAGCAATAAATGTAGGATTTTTGTAATTGTATTTCTTTCAGTGACATTATGCTTTATATGTATAATGCATGTCTTTTAAGGTTTTATGGATCCATGTGGCAATGTGATGAAGAAACCAGCCAGTTGCTTTTCCTTTAATTTTATTAAGCCGCTTGAAACTGTACAAGCTGATGCAGACCAGGGTTCTTGTATCCTATTAATGAATTCCTTAAGCAACTGGGACTCCACGCCATCCCAGGTGGGCATGAACATACTGTGGATAGGGGTGTCTTCCAACCTTGCTCTCAAGCCAGGAGTTATTCATCCATCAGAATACAGAAAAATTATGTGATTGCATAGCAAGACCAACACTGTTCCTCTCCACAGCAGGTGTCCCCTGACATGCTCTCAAGCTCCTCCACCACTTCTTCCCCTTGTGTCGAGGTCATGACCTCTGTTCTCAATTCCTTGACTTTATCCGATGAAGTATTCTTCTCTGGAGACTGCAGTTCTGATGATGGGCAGGATGTGTTTTCCATTTCTTCTGGCCCTGAATTTGCTGGCTTGAATTCTTCTTCAGAAAGCAATATCAGTGAGGGCAGTAGCAGTAGTGGAATTCGCAGTGTCTGGTACTACCTGTCCTCCTCAGATGATTCCACTGTGTTATCTTTAAGCACAAGCCTGTCTACGTCCTGCCATTCCCAGACAGACAGTGAGTCTCCAGTGTCAGATTTTCTCAGTGCTCATAGCCTGGATCTTTCTGAGAGTCTTGAGAACAGTGATGGGGAAGAGGCAGAGTTATTGAGATTGGAAGTGATAAGACAAAAGAACGATGCCAGGTCTGTCGCCCAACCAAGTGTGACAGCTGCCGTAACATGTAGTGAATATTGTAGTTGTGGTGAAGCCAATGGGTTTCTTCATGTTTGCTCAGTAGAAGTAAAAGAAGAATCGGAGCATTGTCCAAGCCTTGAAGAACACACCAGCGGTTTCCCATGCCAAAAGATCAAAACTGTAAGAAGTAATTTGCCAGCTAAAGATGAAAACTTTGTGGAATGTAGGTTCCAACAGGTGTTGTCCGGCAATGAGAGAACCGAGGAAGGAGTTACTGCCTCCGAGGAGCAGGAGTTCTTGGGAAACCATGATGTTCTGGAGCTTGAGCAAACCAGAGCCTTGCATAGTGTGGAATCATACTGGCAGTTTCAGCTGCAAAGCTTGAATACTTCAACAGAAGGAGACACCAGCACATACATGCTTGTCAGCCAGGAAAAGAAGTCTGGAACTGGAGTGAGACCCCCACTCCATTGCAAAGAAAGGAGTAGCTCTCTGTATAATAACCCCCCTGACACTAGTGCTTCAGCTCTGAATTCAGGTAAAAAAAGAGAGGCCTGAAAAATTAATCTATAGTGCATGCAAAATGCAAGTTTGGTATAGGCTTTATAGTTGGGGCTTCTCACCATGTTTGTTTCGCAATAACACTTGGGTATAGGTGTGTTGTGGTGGTGTAGTCATGATTGTAGATGAAACTGGTAGAGGTTTGATTTTAGAACTTTTGCGAGAACTGTATCTTGTTTCAACCTTTTTTCCCCCTTTTTTTCTAACCCCCACCCCCCCCCCCCCCCCCCTTCTTATAAATGTTTTAGAAGTTGCCTCGATCTCAGGTAGTATGGATGATGTCATTGGGGAGGACTTGGTGTGAAACCAAACCAAAGAAATTGGTAAGGGGTTATTGTGTATTGTATATTTTGGCTACTTGCATTGCTATCTACTGTTTTATTATAATTTGGTATTTTCTTTATGAAATGAGACTCAAGCTACTTTGTTAAATAATTGGCCCTGTTTATCCACTATTCAATCCTTGATACAGATGCAAAGTGTGATTAATTTTCTATTACGTTGGAACTACAGTGCCCTCCAAAAATATTCACACTTTCCTGCCATTATATGTAATGAAACATGAATGCATTAAATCAATCATTTTTTTTTCTATTTTAAAAACAATCAAATGCCAGTTTCTTGAATACAAATGTATATTGAACGTGTATTTTTAAAGTTCATTGCCTGTTTAAATCTAAGTATTTGTATGTTCTGACTGTGAAATGTCCCTTAAACTGAACCTGGTATTGTAATGAATCATCAGAAGAATACTGTGAGTGACTCTCTTTTCCTCCCTCTCTTGCCAGTGCATCCTACTTCACACAACTGCCTTATTTATAAATTGCTGCTGCTGCCTGGAATTGTAACCTTAGCCCTGCAGTCCTCTTAAGCACTGGGCCTAAACCAGCCCAACTTGGAGTAATGCAAAGAATATTTACAAAATGTCTCCGCTCTGTCCCTTCTTTGCACTGTGTACTGAAAAATATGCCAGGAACTAATCTACAGTAAATGTCCATGGCAGGTTTGCAGAATCTGTCAGTACTAGGTTTCCTTTGCAAGTACAGGGATGACTCTAGAGCTACGTGTTATTGTTTCTGTAAAACCAGTTTTCCCTCGCTAAATTTTGTGCACTAAAATCTGTTACATTTTTTCTTTGAAAAAAGGAATGTACTTAGTCTGTTTTGCTTTAATTGTTCTTTGCAGTTTCATTCCCTATTTTGTGCATATCAAACATTTCATTTGTTAGTATAGCAAAACTCTACAAAAAAATAGTTTTTCAATATTGAATATATATGAACATGCTCTAATATAAATTGTTTGTTATATGGCTGACATGTTAAGGTCGACGTTTGTTCTGTTATTTAATTTTAAGTAATAAAGTGTTTACATATTTGACTGCATTTATTTAGTAGACCAGATAATATCACGGCAGTGGAATTACATCATACAGTTTGATATAAACCGGTGTTTATAGTCTCTAAGCATCCTGGCTATAAATGGCTGTAACAGTTTGATTTTTTTGCACTTAAATTTAAAAAGCCCAGAACTAGTGAACCAACCCTATGAAGCTGTTTACTGATAAACGGATAATCAAAACTGGAAGACACCCGGCAACTATTTTTCACTACTTAATTAAAATAAAATATGACGATAGGAAATACTACACGTCACTCAGTAAGCACGTGATACTTGCGCTGTAGTAGCTTTTGTATACACAAATATAATTTTAAAAATCAGTGAAAATGAGTTCGATTACACTATATATTTAGTGCTGATTCCAAAACGTCATCCTTTTTAATATGTGGGTTATATTTGGTCCACATGCATTTAAAACACTACCACAATGATAAATAAAACTACTACATAACTTAGGATCGCATGTAGACGAAATAGTTTTAATCTGCTAAAACAAGTCGCTTGAAATGTATTTATTCAAATAAGGTCGACCTAAAAGACCAATGAATGGTCTCTCAATAATACAAAGAGTGGTACAGCCAATGAAATTTGGGATCATGTTGCGAAGATTACGATTTCCCCGTTGTGGCCAATCATGGAACGGTAGGCGTTGCGTGCGCATGCGCAGAAAAGATAATATGATAATTTTGTTGATATTTAGCTGGAGTTCATTTTTGGCTTTTGGTTTGGTTTTCTAATAATTTCCCCTTTTTGGGGTTCTAAAATTGAACGAAACGGAAATAGGGAATATTTTGCATGAGGGGCTGATGGAAGACGCAAGGGATTTGGTGAGTCTATTGAGCAGGTTGAGCGTGAAACCTTGGTACATTGGTAGATAGCCAGCTAGTAGCTATGCTATTACAATCCTGTTTATCCCCCCTTTGTTGTGATTGTCAGCTTGCGGCAGAAACAGCACTCAGAAGGCCCGTAGCTTCACACGAGCAGCTATATCAGACTCAGGAAGGTCGGCGGTTTGCTTTATAGCTTATGCTGACGTGAACCAAGCAGTTTCTTTTTAGCGTAGTAGTGCAAGCGTACGCGGTAGCGCCGTAATCTCGAGGTGTTGCAGAGCAATGGGATCACGCGAAGGCCTCTTGTTGAGACCATACCGTCACTAGGTGCCACTAGTGGAAGGCTGGGAGAGCTGCTGCCTGGCGCTGAATTTACATCTCGGCTAATGCGCCAGTATTTGGTACAGTAATTGCTGTGAAAAGTTAGCGTACGGGCTGTGTATTGAATGTGCTGATTCGGGCAGACCCTGTGCTCCACCATGCCGCGTTGTGTACAGGAAGATCTGCGCTAGTGGAAGCCTTTAGGTAGAGCCAACTGGAGAGTAAAATACCATATATATGTATGAGGAAATGCAAAGAGGGGCGAATATGAATGGTGCACTGCGACGCGTGAGATGTGCCACAATTTCGGGGTAAGGACTGCTTTAAAAAAAAAAAAAAAGTGCTTATTGTGCTGTGTTTTCTATGCCCTTTGTAGCTTGCTTACGCGGTAAGGAATTCATGCACGGATATGCTTTTCGGATTGCTTGCTTATGTCACGATTCAGTAGTAAAACGCTCCAGCAGTTTGTATACAAAATGTTTTGCTTGGACTTATTGTCGATCGGTTGAAGTTTAGCGAGTTTTGCTGCTCGTCCGGTTCCTGCTCGTGGTTGCGTACGGACGCTGTTTATTCCGCGCTGATAGCCGGCGATTTAAATGCCTTTCTGGAGCCTTTCTGACCTGCTCCCGTGCGGAAATAGTATTATTTTTCGGTGTCGTGTGACAAGCGCAGAAGATATGTCAAAATCGATATCGTTTTTTTAAATAGCCACGGCAATTTAGAACACCACAGGTGGCAGAATAGTCGTCGGCTTTGGCATGAGGAAACGATATATATTTTTTTTCTTACGCAAAGGTCCGAAATTAAAAGCCTAATTATTGTTTATTTCAGAGTGCCACTTCCTCTCTGAGGTATGATTGTAACATACAATAGATGCTAGTATCGGTTTCACTGTATAATAGAAATTCGCATATAGATGTTTTTTTCGCTGAAAGGTTTTCGTGGGAGGCTTTTTTTTTTCTTTCGCTTTCTGCCAGCAACAATACTTCCTGACAGTATGCCTCTGTGGTGTAATGGCAAGTAAATGATTGATTCTTTGTTTAGGTTGTGGAATTAAAATGAAGACGATGACATTTTTAATTTTCTGAATATTGTTTAGACTTCATGAAATCTGAGACCAAAACTCTGCTGCCTCTGGACTTTCCCAAAAGGTGTAAAAAAGTGCTTTAAAAAGTAGTGCCATGGAGCAGAATGGACATAAAAGGGTATGTATTAGAATCGTTTGGCAATGTTTATGTATTTCAAATTTGCAGTTTATTAAAATGTTGGTAATTGGGTTTTTAAATGTATTTTTAATACCAGGGTGGAGTGCTGTTTCGCTTATTTACTGATGCGTTTTTGAGATGTTTTGCGTATTTGAATGAGTACATTCTGTGTGAAAAATTAAAGGTGTAACTTAAAGGTGTTTGATTTCTACAAACATGCACTAGTATTGCCATCCTTTAGGTCCTGCAGCACGAGTAATATTTTTAAGAAGCTTTTTACATGTTTAACCTGTGTTTCTTAGGCTTAACAGCAAGATGTAAGCTTTAGTAAGCTTTTTATGAAGCCTTGATGTGACACAAGTAAAAATCTATTACTGTGATTGAAAATGATAAAATTATCAATTACGGTCGTGGAAGTATTTTAAGAAGTATTATTAAAAAAAACATAACAAATCTTTGAATCCAGATAGTTCAGCTGCTAATGGTTTCATCATAGCTATAATATCGTTTTTGCAGCTATATGGCTGAACATGTGGCAGCTGCTATAGTCAACAGCAGGTCCAGAGGCAGCACTTAATACATATTTAGCACTGGTATCTGGTGGTGTAAACGAATAGTAAAGCTAGAACGATTCCTATAACCCAGTGAACATTAAAATATTCAAGTAATGGGCAAATTGTGCCCAAAAGAACCAAACTGTGGCTCTCTTAGACACCAACCATTTTTATTTAGGCATTATTCATATTGTTTGATGCGTGTGGTCAGTGGCACACAGGTCTTAGTCGTAGCCTTAGGTTCTTTGTGTGAGTGGTTCACTAATGAACATCTGAAAATATTTTGGTGATAAAGGGTATAATTTTTCTGATGTCTTTGTGGCGTGGCCAGATTTTTGCCCCGTTTTCTTAATATGCAGCAAATGGCATGATTTGAATTATTTGCATTTCGATTATCTTACAGACTGAACACACTCCACGTCCGGACAGAAAGCGGCGAGATTCCTTTGGAATGTTTGATGGATATGACAGCTGTAGTGAGGACTCCAGCAGCAGCTCCAGCACGGAGGATAGTGACGATGAGCAGACCAACATTCGCGCTGGCCTCTCCATTATCAAAAACAATGGCCAAGTGTATACCTACCCTGATGGAAAAGCTGGAATGGGTAGGTATTTTTTTTTGATTTGGTAGAAGCAAATTAATGTAGATCAGCCCATAAGATGATCACCTAAAATGTAAATTTTCCATGTTGATGTCTTGCAGTTGTCTGTAAAGTTCCTTTGTGCCTTATTTATTTTCATTTGCAAAAAAATCTTTGAGTTTGGATTGATTGATTGATTGAATGTGTCATAATAATTAGATGCCGTGTACATACACGTTCCCTTCTCTCTCCTTTTCTAGCTACATGTGAGATGTGTGGCATGGTGGGAGTAAGAGATGCTTTTTACTCGAAGACAAAGAGATTTTGCAGCGTTTCTTGCTCCCGGAGTTACTCATCAAATTCTAAGAAAGCCAGTATTCTGGCCAGACTCCAGGTATCACCTTTTCATTGTGTGTTTTATAGTACAGTTCTGTTCTAAAGTGACATCTATTATGCTTTTTAATTGTGTGATCACTAATTTCTTAGTTTTAGTGTGTGTGTGTGTGTGTGTGTGTGTGTGTGTGTGTGTGTGTGTGTGTAAAAGTAATCTATAAATGTGGCTGAGCAGTCAGTGTATATTTAACATACCATCCCTAGATAATTCTCTTTAAAGGCTGCTTACGGTTCATTTGTCTTTCTCTAAAGGGGAAACCACCAACAAAAAAGGCAAAAGTCTTACAGAAACAACCTCTTATGGCAAAACTGGCCGCCTATGCTCAGTACCAAGCAAACCAACAAAACCAAGCCAAATCAAAAACTGGTATGTTCATTTATCTGGAATGAATAAATGTTTTTAAGGATGATCTAAGCTGATAAATGCATTCCGTTGATGATATATGGATTAAGCAATAGCTATTTATTGCTTCTGGATATTTGCTAACGGTGATATAATACTTTTTTTCCCCTCTCTCCTGTAGTGGTTCCCGTTGAGGGCTTTGACTGGGGCCATTACATCAGCAGCAATAACTTGGTTGGAGCACCAGTTAGCTGTTTCAAGCATGTAAGCACAACAAATGAACATAAACAGCTTGGACTCCTGCTTATTCCTCCATCTTCATCTCACAGACATGGTTCTTTGTCCCAGGTCCCCCTGGCAGCCTCCTGGGGTGACGTTACTGAGTCGGTGCGACTAGAAGTTCCCAATACCGACACTGACGTTCCCACAGAAATATACTGGATAGCATCAGTCATCAAACTGGCAGGTAATGACTATGGAATGTCATTATCACACATGGTTCAAACGTTCTTTTATTTGAAAGTTTAAAACGTTTAAGATGAAAGGAGTTTTATGAATGAAAGTCCTATCACTTATTCTTCTACAAGAAGGCAAAGATAAGTAGGCCCACATTACAGCTTTATTTCTAAATTATATTATTGGCATGATCTTTCTTGAATATTGAAACCCAGCAGAAGGTATTGAGACAATTCAGCTTTGAAAATTCTGTTCAGAAGACACTGATCCTTGTAAAGCAAGCCTCTTGTCCCTTCTAGGTTTCAAGGCACTCCTTCGGTATGAGGGCTTCGATGACGACAACAGCCGTGATTTCTGGTGTAACCTGTGTGTCCCTGAAATCCACCCTGTCGGCTGGTGTGCATCCACCGGCAAACCCCTCGTTCCTCCCAAATGTAAGTTTGAGGGATGCGATTCTGTGCCAGCAGATTTGTTCGCTCATTTTATAATCCATTGCTAAGACATTACTCCCTTGCATATACTTATTGTCGACAGACCATTTATTCAATAGGCCAATTACTAGGGCAAATTGTGATCTCGTTAAAAGTAATTTTGTGTGTCTACCAGTCACACAGGATTGTAAATGCCGTAGTAGCATTCACTCCACTGGTAAACTTTCCATATCTCCTACTACATCCTTAGAATATGATGTTTGACTAAGGGCTCGATTTTAGCAAATTTAAGTAAACTTGGCTTGTTTACCACGCAAAATAAGGTCAAATGACCGCCCCCACTACCACTACCACCACCACCAAAAGCAAACCAAACTCCAACCAGTTCAAGAGGTGGTCTGGGTTCGGTTTGTTACAAGCCCACTTGGCCGGTTCATTTGCTGATGATATGTGAACAGAAAGTGTACCCAGCTCACTTCACTTTTCTCTCTTTTTGGATACCATACAATGCTGATGTCAAAACCAACCCAGAAAATGTTGAATTCTTAAGGTACTATGTACTAAGGTACTACTGCTGCCATATTCTTCACGCGAGGTGACGTGTACGGAACACGATGCGCACGCAACGCAAGCAGTGTACTGACTACTTGCACGCGAAGTTTACGTCTATCTGGAGGATTAAAGGTTATCTCCACCAGGGGGCAGTGTGAGAGAACCATCTTGGTCAGCTCCTTTGTTTCCAGTCTCACTTGTTTTGTATAAGGGTGTGACATGAAATAATGTACACTCGCTGCCTCCAAAGCAATCAAGTTGCTAATATTTTAATACTGCTGCAGCTCTCTCTGTACTCTAACCACTGCTCCACATCATACTTCACTCTGCCTCATTACCCCACGTTGAATGTTGCATTGTATGTTGTTAAATATCTCATAGTAGTTAGTATTTTGTAATTAGGCTTCACGACACTGGAAAATATCAATTTCTGCAATAAGTATTGTAGTATCAATAAAAAAAAAAATAAAGCAGTTTCCCACAAACATGTCTATTCATGAGTGATTTAAACAGAAAGGATGAAAATAATTCGGAATGGCTTGAAGAATGCCTGCAGAGCTCATGGAAAAGCAGCGGCGGGAAACTTTAAGCGTCGTGTTAACTCCTTGCGTAGGTGCACCTACGGCGCGTGGAATGAGTGCAGAAAACGTGTGGTGGCCATAATGTGTATGCATTGTGAGCATCAAGTATAAATCAGCCCTTAGAAGGATGCAGCCCCTGAATTCGGACACAGCCTGCATGAGAGTTTAGGCCGTGATCTTGCACAGAATCCCAGAATTCCGAGCTAAGATCAAAACATTGTCTCAGGAAAGCTAATGTTACTTGGTTTACTTTGTTGCATAGGATAAAGGTGTCTGTTTTGTTTTACTGGAGGCTTATACCTTAAGATCTTTCATGTTATAAAGTGTACTTTCAGTGGTTGTTATGCTTCTGTTTTTAAAGCCGTTTGCCAAATAGGTTTAAGAATTTAGATTGATCACATGGTTGGGATTAAATAATGTTTCGAGCTTCCTGTTGAGTACATGCGATTATATGTACCTGATGTTATATGGGGGAAGAAACGAGACTCATGATCAATTCAGTGTCTGAAAGGGCCGAGTGTGAACGTGAAATGGACTGAGATCACGTAAAAGCTGAAGTGCACCGGAAAGTGACCCGAGTGCTTTTGGAAGGTTATGGACAATGTGAATTCAAAGAGAATAAAATTTGCTTTCTCTTGGCACACTTAAAGAGGGCTGAATTTGGTTTGTTTAGGGTGTATTCACATATAGCCCTCTTTAAAGATTTATCTGCATTGTTTAAATTTTATATCTCATAGTTTATTAGAATTCTGTTTTAATTGTGTAGGTTGCGATCTGACAACAAAAAATGTAAAGGTAACCAGTATTAAGTAGTATAATGTCTTTCTTGCTAATCTTTGTATTGTCTCTCTCTCTAGCCATTCAGCATAAAAGCACCAACTGGAAAGCATTCCTAGTGACGCGCCTTACAGGAGCAAAAACGCTTCCACCTGACTTTTCCTCCAAGGTGAAGCACTGTACTCCAGTGGTCAGAATGCGCATTCACGTTCTACAAAACACACCGATTACTTTGATCGTTCATTATTCATGTTGGAGTGTGGACCTAGTTGGATTTTCCTGCAGTGTCCCTATTCTCAGACTTGAAATTATCCTTCACAAGGTGCAAGAGAGTATGCAGTACCCCTTCAAAAAACTGATGCGGGTCGAGGTGGTGGACAAGACCCATCTCTGCCGGACGCGGGTAGCTCTGGTGGAGCAGGTGATTGGTGGCCGGCTGCGACTGGTGTATGAGGAGAGCGAAGATGGCACTGATGACTTCTGGTGTCACATGTATAGCCCACTCATCCACTCCATTGGCTGGTCCCGCAGCATTGGTCACCGTTTCAAGAGATCTGGTGAGGAAATGAGTAGAACTCGGCCATGTAGTCTGGTGTTTACATGCTACCTGTTGTTCGTGGTTGTATCTTTCCATAACATCAAAGTCACTAATTTTAAAAATGCCCATTTATGTGTTTTTTATTTTATTTTATTATTTTAGATGTATCAAAGAAACTTGAAGGTCAGGCAGATGCTCCCGCGCAGCTATTTTTGAAGGTAAGAATACAATTGTGTGTGTTGACAATGTGTAATTGGTACCAAAGTCTCTCTTCAAACTGGCTCCATAAACACCTGCATCTAAAGGGTATTGGGGCAGCAGAAGGAAAATGAAATCGGTCACCTAATTTTCTGTCAGGTGAAGGACGTCGATCAGAGTGGGGATTGGTTTAAAGACGGCATGAAACTGGAGGCCATCGACCCACTAAATCTCTCTGCTATATGTGTAGCTACTGTAAGAAAGGTAAGGCCTGGCTATTGGCAGAACATTGTGACCCGATCTAATGATGGGGCCTGTATTATCTCATCAGCCTTCGACGTTAATGGGCACTTCTTTCTCTAGGAATCATAGCCTTTAACTGTGAAGAAAATGGCTGGTGTTATCTTCATTAAGAGATTTGTGTGTTTCACCCATGGTTAGGTTTTGGCAGATGGGTACCTCATGATCGGGATCGACGGCTCGGAAGCTGCGGATGGCTCGGACTGGTTCTGCTACCATTCCACATCGCCCTCCATTTTCCCTGCTGGTTTCTGTGAAATTAATGACATTGAGCTCACCCCACCTCGAGGTACTTTTAGTGGCTGAATGCATCAGATAGTGACGCCTTTAAAACTGCCCATGGCTCATTTGATGCTGCTCTGGATTTTAATCTAAAATAAAATCTTCCTCACAGGTTATAATAAACTCCCATTCAAATGGTTTGACTACCTCAGGGAGACGGGTTCCATAGCAGCTCCAGTGAAGCTCTTTAACAAGGTAACCCCTGTTGGGGATGTTTTGAGGAGACTAGTGCGTTGACTGTGCGGATGGCATAATTGCTAAGGATGTGCCCACTGAAGGTTGCTGGTTATCTCAAATTCCAGTAAAATTATGCACTGTGCGCGTTTGTTCATCTGAGTTGCTTTAGAAGCATGAGCTAAATTGCTATGTGGAAACACAATCATATCTATTGTGAAAAAGACACCATGGAATATTAGTCGTCTTCGTGTTTACTCTAAAAAGGGATCTGCATCAGGCATGCACTGGGCCAGTGTTTCCCCTCCAAAACTATTTAACATGAACTGGTGTGGGAGCTTTAAAGATGCTAAGTGCCCTTTTTAACCATAGAGCAGCTGCCTCTCAAAGTCTCTGCTCAGCCCTGATCTGCACAAAATGTTTTATGTGGATTGTTGCTTGGGTGGTTCATGTTGTAATTGGGATTCTGGGGCGTTGAGCACAAGAGGTGTGTGTTCTTTGCATGCAGATAAGTGAATTTCTTGAATCTAATGTGTTAGTGCTGAGATAAGACAAATGTTGTCCCTTTGGGTCCTCAGGATTAGAACCGGAAAAATTGGTTCTAGACTAGTCATTGCTCTTAGATGATCAAATACATTCTAGTAATGAAAAATTTGGTGGGACCTACTCTTTAAGTAATGATCCCCATGCAGGAATTTTGTGTTCAGTGGAATATGTCAGTTGAGATGAGATCAGTACTTTATTAAGTATAATCATGTAAATAAGGAATTTCAAGAAGGTGTTATAATTGATTAACTAAATTACTGAGTTGTGGCGCGTCTACATTCTTTTATCGATCAAGATTAGTAAATGGGTGTAATGGAGACCTGTTTTTTTCAAGGTATACTTTTATTCGTACCAAAAATGTCATGCGACTTCCCTAAAACAGCTAATGAAGTATGTGTATAATTCCAACAATCATCAAAAATAACAGGATGTTTTAAAAGAAGTGAATATGCTGAAATATCCAGAGGCATTGCTGAGTGTGCTTGTCGCTACCCTGGTACGCTGGCCTTCTGTGTGTGTAATTCAGTCGTGTCCTCCTGACTTGCAGGAAGTTCCAAACCACGGGTTCCGCACAGGGATGAAGCTGGAAGCTGTGGACCTGATGGAACCACGGTTGGTGTGTGTTGCCACGGTGACACGCATCGTGCACAGACTGCTGCGCATTCATTTCGATGGCTGGGAGGACGAGTATGATCAGTGGGTGGACTGTGAGTCGCCGGACCTCTACCCCGTGGGCTGGTGTCAGCTGACGGGATATCAACTGCAGCCCCCAGCCGCACAGAGTGAGTGGTTTTACGCTTAGCTTTGTTACTGCTGTAGATGTGTTTACCTTTTACATTTCCCTTTATTCACTAGTGAACTATATTTGTCTGCCATTTTGAGTGTTACCATTCATGAGCTGTGTTACGAATTTATAGATGACAGATTGCACTGTAGGCCGGATCACACAATGGCTGTTATGTGGAGATGAGTGAGCAGCATTGTGACATCTCTGAAACCCCTGCAAACTGGATTCTTCTGATCTTTCTCTTCTAGCCACAAGAGAGGTGCCCACGAACGTGACGAAGCAGAAGAAGAAGACTCAGCAGTACAAAGGACAAAAGAAAAGTGGGTCACTTCTCCTCATATACTCTTCCCGACGTTCTTTAAAATGCTTCCTTTTGTGAATGGCGACACTATTCAGAAAAAAAAAAACCCTGGCGACCTTGTGTTTCCTGTCGGGGCTCGGCGTCTTGGGTTTCCTTCCGGGTGCGGATTTGGAATGCGGTGGAATGAGGCAGCAAGTGCCACCTTGACGCGACTTGGTTCTTGAGGTTCTGCTTTGGAGCAAAAAGACGAGCGCAGCATGCTTTCACTTTGCAGTTCCAGGTACTCTAGGCTCTGATGGCGCAAAGCGTTTCACCGTCTGTCACACTAACTGTCGCCACAACGTAGGTCGGATTAGCAGGGAGCTGGACAGTGAAGCGACTTTGAAGACTAAAACCTTGAATCTGAACTGTGTCAAGGCCCACGCAGGTCTAACTTTGGCTCATTTCCAAACCAAGGGAGCAAGTGTCTAAAAAGCTTTTGGGGATAGTTGTAAATGATCCTTCCATACCGTAATGTGGTATTTACTGGTTAACAAAAATCCTGGTATTTGTGTCACTTGGGTATCCTGGATGGCCTCCAATTTTAAAGTATTGAACAAGGTATTTTGATTGGTATGGAGAGCACAGGGGAACCCGATGGGTGTGGG